GCAGATTCAGCATGGTGGCACACTTGAGTATGGCCTAGCAGCATCGCGGGTAGCTGCTGAGGCGTGTGTAGCAGCTCAGCCATCTAAGAAGACTTAGGGTGGAGGTGGTCAACTAGGAGCTCAGTCAACTGTTTAGCGCTATAGGAACTGCAGCAAAACTAGACATAACACACAAACGTGCTAGGAGGGTGCAGAAACATCTTCTAAATCTAATGCAAGCACGCAGTATGCTAGGTCACTGTTTAATAGCAAGTAGTTGTAGTTGCAGTAACTTGTCTTAGTTATGCCAAGAGAAAGTGGCTGGTTTGGTGATATGGCCGGCTCGGTGATAATCTACGTTATAGATAGAGCGAAATTGTAGCTTCAAAATAAGCGAAAAATTATTGTTGTAGGCCTACTACAACGTGAGTTACAGAGTGTTGAAGGTTTGTTTGTTGAAGGTTTGTGTTTTGAAGTTGCGACACCACAGCAGCTGCAGCTGCGCCAGCACACAATGTATCAGCTGCAGCTGCAACAACACACCACAAAGCACATTCTAACTAGCACACACTAGTGCACAGGCAGGCCTAGGCGTAGAATTCTTAGTTTACCTACTATTCTTGAATAATATTCTTGTATTTTCTAACGTTCAGGCTGCTAGAGCCCTAGCAAAGAATCTTAACTTAGTGTCTTAGCAAGGAACATTAAGCTTAAAACCTTCTACGCTTAATAACTATTCTATTAATAGGCCTATAATATTATTTAATAGCTTATTTTAAAGAGGAGACTTAGTAGTATATTAATATAATAAAAGTATAGTTTATTAAGCAGAGCTACTATTGTAGCAGGATTAGGAGTTGTTGTGGCTATTGCAGCTGTTAGGACTGTTAGAGCTGTTAGCTTAAAATTAGCTAGACATTGAATGCACATTAAATAACTGTTGTAGGCCTATAAGTCCTACTGTTGCCCACAGTACAATGCCACGATTTCCTGATTTCGACAACGGAAAAACTTTTCCCGATGTCTTACTATTCTATATACTGCAATAATCTACAAGGTGTTAGAAAGAATGCTAAGACAGTAACGTGCTAGAATGCTCTTAAGATGCAATTGTAAGGTTAACTTAATAAAGCTAACAAGCACTAAAGAGGAGGTAATTGTGCAGCATATTCTAAAGCTAGACAAGCAAGGATACCCACCCAGGCTTACTGATGTGGAGGATATGGCCAACTCTCTACTCACTGAGCGCCACTAGCCTCCTGTTAGCAAGAACTAGGCTAGCACGTTCGTTAAGCGTCGCCTAGAGCTTACAGTCAAGTTTAATTAAAAGTACAACTACAAGAGAGCCCTCTATAAGGATCCTAAGGTAATCTAGGGCTAGTTCTGCCTAGTAGAGAATACTAAAGCTAAGTATAGTATCCTAGATGTAACGACGCAGGCAAGAAGAGAGATATCCGGAATAGGTGTGAATCCGCTACGAGGCATATGGGAGTGCTGGGATGATAAGAACACCAGGATATATTCTCTACACCTATAGGTCTTGTACGAAAGGATACAGAAAAACTACTCTACAATGCTACAGTTCCTTGCTCCTTATATATAAGGGTTTGGTGGCAGTTTGGTGTGAGCTTATGCCATGTGACAAGGGCCATGGTCATGAGTCGCTAGAACCGTATCCTAGTGGTATCGGGTCACTATTCGTAGAGCGTTGTTACACTAGATAAAGACACCTACAATTTAAATAAGTCTAGGTTTATAGTAGGTGTTATATTAATAGGAGCTGTTGTTACAGGCTTAGAGCGTTATGTAGTAGTCTGGCCAAAGGCCAATAAAGGATATCTACTTCCTAACAACTTTTGCTAAAAAGCATGCACAAGTTAACTAGACGCCTAGTTAACTGCGTAGATAATATATATCCAGCTTTAGCCAAGCCGGCTAAGCTAATGTAACCGGCTAGCTCTAGCTCTTCTTTAGCTTTAGAGTCTAGACCGTTACACGTTATAGAAGACTAAAAACAGTATAGCAGGGTAACTAAGAGTAGACTAGCATTATCTAGGGTATTAACATGTTAGGATAGAGTATCCTACCCTTTATTATCTTCTAAGGCAAGCACCACCTCTCTGCCTAGTATAAGGAGCTGTCTTTACCTTACAACTAGGTTATTACTATCTCTAAGAATAGCTAGACTAATAATAAGCTTAGTATTAAGTAGCTAAAGCACTTTAATAAGCACACAAAGGAGCGCACTATTAGTAGCTATTAGCTACTTATTCTAGACAGCTATAAGAGCTATAATTTAGTTAAGTTCTACTAGTACTGTAAAGAATATAAGATTGTTACCTTATGTATGCCTCTACACTTATTACACCTGTTGTAGCTGCTTAACGTAGGTTGTTTTGCCCTAATAAAAAAGGCCTATAGTTGCTAAGCTAAGCTGCTAATGCGTAATAAGATTACTTGCATCACAAAACTTAAGTTTTTACTATGCTTTAAAGGAGCTTTTAATGCCTCTATTACTAGGAGCAATATCTAGGGAGGATTTAGAGGTGCTAGCTTAGTCCCCTTTAATCTAGAGGCTGTAATATTAAAGCTTAAAGTGCGCCTGTGTACTCTAACGTAGATTATCACCAAGCCAGCCATATCACCAAACTAGCCACTTTCTCTTAGCACAACCACCTTTTACCCTAACACAACATGCCTTAACAACAACAACTTCAGAATACTACTAGAGAAGGCAGAGTTATCCTTGCTATCTAGGCCTTCTATGCTAGCTAATTTTGCAGTATCTGCAGCGCTGCTAGAGCGTTGAACATACCTTATTAGTGGGTCTCTAATCACCTTTGTAATATTACGTTTTAACTAGACATATGCGCTAATTGCTAGAAACTTACTATACTAGAGGAGCAGATAATTATCTAGTATATACTTAACCTTAATTCGCAAGGATTTGCGCCCTAGCTATGTGAGGTGGCAGATATAGCTAATAAGATACTTAGTGTGCGTAGTGAAGAGCCTATTAGCAAACTATAGGCTAGCAGGCTTGTAATGTGTTTAGACAAGCTTAAAATAGCCTTTAATTAAGCTAAGGATAGATAGAGGATACTATAGGAAGATCCTAAGATAATTAGCGTGTAGTTTAAGCTAGTAGAGGATACTTAAGTTAAGTATAGTGTTTGTAATAATAATATACACAACTTTAATAAAACTAGGTTCTAGATAGGTGTTGCTTTGTCTTTAAAGGTTGTAACAGGCTTAGAGAGACGTGCTTAGCTAGAGCTTGTTTAGCTAGGTGATTGCAAGTAGGTTACTGTTATCCAGAGCATCTGCGCTGCTAGGTATGCAACCCTGCCTTTTATTATCTACAAAGGACGTGTCCATATCTCTGCCTAGTATAAGGAGATAGATATACCCTATAATTAGAAGCTCTTAGTCTCTAAGAATAGTTAGATAAATAATATACTTAGCCTTAAGTAGTTAAAGCACTTTAACACGCATATAAAGACATGTTAGGTAGGAGTATATAGGTTGCTTATCTTAGATAGCTATAAGAGCTATCTTAACTAGGAGTTTAAGGACTATTACCTAGAGAACTAAATCCTTACTCTCTATATACTACCTTACTTATTATATATCCTCTAGCTACTTAATATAGTCTATTTCTTGCTGTTAAAGTGTAAGTACTCCTAATATATTTAAGACTTAGTATGCTAACACATCTTCTATATTAATAAGGAAGGCTTCCTACTTGCCTTTAGAGATATATTCCTTAATATATTTATAAAGGTTAACTACTAAAAGGCCTTTAAGGTATTAGGGCTTATTCCTACTAATATGCAGGTAGTGTTAGATTACCTTAAAGTGCAGCTGCATACCCTACTAGCAGTACCTCTACCTAAAATGCTGTAGTAATCTAAGACACTAAGTAATACACACAAGTTTAGGTCTTAATCTAAGCTTATAAGTAACTCCTTCTAATAATTACTAAGTGTAGTGTAAGAGGGGTTCTTAAAGCTTATAAAAGGGGCTAAAGAGATGCTGTATAAAAATGTCCTTAATAAGGCCTATATGCAAGAGCTTAAAGAGTAATTAGCAGTAATAACTAAGAGAAAATTGCGTAAGAGAAAGCAGATTCAGCATAGTGGCACACTTAAGTATGGCCCAGCAGCATCGCGGGTAGCTGCTAAGGCGTGTGTAGCAGCTCAGCCATCTAAGAAGACTTAGGGTAGAGGTGGTTAACTAGGAGCTTAGTTAACTGTTTAGCGCTGTAGGAACTACAGCAAAACTAGACACAACGCACAAACGTGCTAGGAGGGTATAGAAATATCTTCTAAATCTAATGCAAGCACACAGTATGCTAGGTTACTATTTAATAGCAAGTAGTTGTAGTTGTAGTAACTTGTGTTAGTTGTGCTAAGAGAAAATGGCTGGTTCAGTGATATGGCCGGCTCAGTGATAATCTACGTTACTACTACCTACTATAGATAAGAGTATATAGCACTCTTAAACCCTATAGAACACCCTAGAATTTAGGTTGCAATTAAAGCTTATTTAAGAGAGGATTTAATAATATAGTAATAGCTCTCTAACTTTAATAGTTAATGCTCTTAATTAGCTTACTAAGGGCGCAGAGATAATGGCATATTTACTAGTTTTAGTGCGCAACTAGGTCGCAGAGCTTTAAGCTGCTAATAAGGCCGCCACACGCTGTAAATTACACAATAGGAAGCAGATCCACCTTGTGCGAGCCTCACTCAACACTGAGCGGAAGATGCCGTGAGAACAAGAGAGTCACGGTGACGCAACAGCTGGCTTCCCGTACTAACACGCCGTCGCACGGTGGCGCAATGCAGCTATTAGCTATCTCTAATTCTTCCGTCTTTGCCAAAAATAAGCCGGGCTTGTGAAGCGCGACTTGCAAGTCTCTGCGCGTAGAATTGCAACTAACGTCGGGGCCCGAGCAGAGCGTCACAATTGCTCCGAGAACATGGCTCCAAAAATCAGTTGAAAAGCCCGGCAGTCACGGAAAGATCAGGGACAAACAATGAGAAAACTCAGACACAGATCCTCAATATCTTCGCATAGAGTGGTACCACTCTCGTTTCAACAGCACGGCTTTCTCCAGTCTCTCTTCCAGAAGACAGAGAGTCTCCGCAACACAACTGTGGCGTAGCGCGAGACTCTCAAGCTATATCAGGAAACACAAACTAACGTGACCAAAAGACCATCAGCAATGCTATCCAGACCATCGAGAGACATGCAGAAATTGCGGAACACAGCCGCCCTCGCCATCATTTCCACTTCCAAAAAACGTTGAGATTGCGGGCTGAGCATAACAGAAACGCCGCGTACCTAGAGACCGATGTAGTTTTGATCGCAACAGACATGCAGCGAAAGTAGCTCAAAGGTCCGCCTTTTCGCATCCCTTCCGCATCGTAATCCGAGCAGATGCGGCGCAGGCAGACATGAAGACGTCGCAGAGAAACCTTCGTTTTAACTCGCGCATTAAGCCCACCATACCACATGGAGCGGTTCGAAAGCTTGTTTGTGCGGGGCACGAGAGAGACATACATCCAGATTGTCTGCTTAAGGTTTGATCTACAGGAAGCACGCATCGATGAGAAAGAAAGCGTAGCCGATAAGCTGGGAGCCACGTACTCCTCGTCCACATTCCAAATCGCGCGGAGAAAGCTGCAACCCCGCGCATACGGCAGCAGCACATGCCTCCTCGCTGAATTCTCCTCGAGAAAGCAAGGTTCGCCAGATCTGCGTTTGAAAGCGGTATAAAATCATGAGTAAAAAGTCATTCCTTCCAAAGTCAAAAAAAGAAAGTACACAGCAACCAAAACAACGCCCCACAGAACCGTGCTTTCGATGCGTACTGTAAATAATTCTCGCAGCGAAACAGCGCAACTGGTTAGCGTTCTTCAGAACAAATACTCCATCAGGTCATGGCATTCTGTTCCCTACAGAGCCGCCATGGGCAATGGCATGTTCGAGTTTTGCACACAAGCAGCGAGGGGGAAGGCATGTAATCGCAGCGATTTCCATTCGAGAGAAGAGACCGAGGCAACCAGCATGGACTCAATCAATCGACGTCTGTTCAAGTACAGGCATGTCCACGAGCGTTCCGCGAGGGCGCGCATGAGGATGGCGGCGCGAATTTCGAGCGCAGCAGAACGGCACAGAACAGACATCAATAAGAACCACTGAGTGACGTTTTTCATGTCCTTTAGAAGAGGAAGAATATGAGGAGAGGGACCATTAGTGCGATGGCGAGCCTTTATACACGTCTTTTGCTGCGCTAGCGTGTTCACGCCCTGGTGAAGTCACGTCACCCTGGCTCGACCTCCTATGTGCAATAAAAGATGATCTTGGCATATCCCGATACGCCGTGCAATGCTAACCCAAACTCCAATCTCAACACCGCCTCTATCCCTGACTCCCTCTCCCCAACCTGAACCCGATCTCTGTCCTCTTGTCATCCGTCAGCCGCCCCCACTCAAGCAGCAGCCTAAACATGTAGACTTCCATATCCTCCTTCCTTAGCGCCTTCTCCGACCAGACCTTACCCTGCCTCGCAATAGCCTCGGCCTCCTTGACACGGCCCTCCATCATCCTCTTGTTGCGCTCCTCGACACCGTAGCCGCCAAAGTACGCGAGAATGGAGAAGAGGTCGTGCAGGCGCAGATCGACAGGGACGAAGTGTTTCCAGGCGACGAGGCGGTCAGAGTACCATTCGCGGAAGATGCCGGACTTGAGGATGACGGAGTTCGACTGGAGGAGCGGGAGGAAGTGGTGCGATGAGCCGGCGCCATCGGCGTCGAAGAGATATCTGTAGCGCCAGTGGTGTCTGAGGTCGACGGCATCGATGGGCTTGAATTCGTGCGATTGGTCGACGCAGTCTTGGCCTGCGCAGTGGTTGAGCTCAGTGAATTGGGCGTCGATCTTCGTCTCCAGCAGCCTCTTGACATCAGACCTGCGCTTCATGATATACTCGAGTTTGTCGCTGTGGTCGCCCTTTGGTAAAAACATGGGCAGTCGCGAAGTCGTGTTGAAATTAAGGTAATGCACCAGCCGCTGACGCAGCATGCCCTTCCAAGATCCCGCTGTACTGACGCCTTCCTCTGTAACCCCACGCCAAAAAAGTACATCCTCCTTTTGCTGAAATGGTGGATCGGGGTACTTCTCGTCGAATTCGTACTTTGACTTTCCCAGATAGTTCCACGGAGATGGGTACCTGATGTCGACGAATCCAGCTGCACGACTTGCGCTGAAGATTGGCACGATGTCATGAGTGCCTGTGAGGTTCGTCGGGCTGAGGTAAACGCCATGAAGGGTCGCAACATCAGGTTGATGGCAGGGATCAGTAGCCAAAGTCCAGTTCGAGACGAACGCGCCCATAGCATGTGGCAAACTGCAAGTTGGGCAGAATGTCCTTGTGTTCCAGTGTCGTTCTTTACGTGCACGGGATTCGGGAGAGCAAGCTATCGAACCGTATGTCTGGAAGGAGGGATTGAGTCGGGCGTCTTCGAAGAATTTTGGGTCGCTGCGTATGTTGTCGATGTGAGGCCACCTATCTGCGCGGTCAATGCTGAAGTCAAGACGAGCTCGAGATGGCTCGGGTACGGGGTATCGTTGCGGGTTGCCCAGAGCGTTCTGCAGACGCTCAAAAGGTACTGCGACTCGACACTCGTCGCCAAGGTTGAAGGCAAGATCCATGTCAGGGAGAAACTCAGCAAACTGCTTGATCATGCTTGTAGCGCCGTCGACAACCCATTTGGACTCGTCGGGCACGTTGCCTAATGCATCTGCCGATCCATCACGGATGCGCACGCCTCCGACTTGTTGATGAGTAGCCAGTACAGTGGCTGTGCGCAGACGCAGGTCGTCCGGAGTATACGACGAGAACAGTGCGAGATCTTCTTCGATACTGTCGTAGTCATCAATCACAATGGAGTTCCGCGCGACAGCAAACTGGTACCACTTGTCGAAATATGGCGGAGGGTCCCGTTTGTAGCGCTGCTGGTAATTGACGACCGCCTGGGCAAGAGACTGGCTGCGATAGGCTTGCGCCGCCCAGTTCTCATGGTGGACGCTCGCTTGTTCAATCAGAAATGTGACGGGATGCTCGAGGATGGGTTCTTGGCGGCGGTAGATGACAACGCCGACGGAGAAGCCGATGAGAATTAGGACAAATGTCGCCGACTGGTTCCTGCCCAGTCGGACCGGTACGGTGGAGCGTATGCGAGACTCAATGTTGGTGTCTGTGACCAGGTAAAGGATGAGAGCAATGGTGAGAAGAGTCAAACACAGTACAAGGCTCACTGTGGACTTGGGAGGAAATGCGTGGGACGCGCCGGTCCCGAGTGCACGAAGAACGCCAATGTATGCAGAGGAAAATGCAACAGTGAGCACCGCGCTCAAAACGCCGTAGAGTCGTGCCTGGGAGATCAGCTTTGGCTCGGGGTTGGCCGGGGCGGGTGGTTGGGGGACGACTTACCGACTTCAAAAAGCACACGGTGATAAAGGGTATCATCAACGATAAACGCAACAAACCAAGCAGATATTCAGACGGGAATGAGAGCATCCACTCGCGGTACTCAGGCATGGTTGGGTATACAACAATGCCAGCAACAACAAGAACTAACGATGAAGCCTGGGACGTGTTAGCTACTGCCACGGATTCGCTAGTGGTGATAAGGTACAATGAAGGTCAAGCCAATCAGCAGATTGTTCGACGTGCCATCCTGGAGCTGGATGGTCCAGTCATCGACTGGAGAGATTCCGTCGTCGACCAAGCGATATAGCAATTGGACAATGACGGTGTCGAGGACGAAGCCTGCGAACTGCAGGGTGGGGACGAGGGCTGCCGTGGAGTTCGAGACGGGGCAGATGTAGGTGGAGCGCAGGGCGCTGGTCTTGATCAGGACGAGGAAGCTGCTGATCGCCAGTAGGATGGACGGAACGATGTAGCGCGTCGAGTTGCCATATGTGAAGCTGACGACGCGCTCGAGCAGCGTCTTTGGACGTGAGTCGGCGCTCCAGGCGGGGTACTGACGCTGTGAGGGATGGCGGAGGCTGTGGTAGAGGGCGAGGACGACAGGAAGGAAGGCCTGTGTTGACTTAGTATGCAGTGCTGGCCTGGCATGGCATGAGGCGTCTCAATACACACCACGGGCGAGGGACCAGTGCACTCGACGTCCCGGACGGTGAGGTAGAAGAGTCCAGTGCGGCCGCACAGCGCGAGCAGCAGCACAGCGAGCAGGGCGCCGACGGCCCTGAGGCTCCAGCTCTTTCTGCGGCCAACGAGCCCCGCGTCGGTCCAGTGCTGCTCGGCGGGCGGTCTGGCGTGGCCGTCGCCAAGCGGTATCGCGACATATCGCGCGGGCAGCTGTGGCTGGTGCGGGCGGCCGGGCGCGGCTTCAGCGGCGACGACGAGCAGGCCGGTCAGCAGCAGCACGAGGCAGGCGGTGTGCAGGGGCTTGTCGAGGGCAAACGAGTGCTCGAAGGGCGTCGCAGTGGACAGGTAGCTGCTTGCGAGTATGAGGCCGCTGGGGGCGAGCGCCGTGGTCAGCAGTTGTCGTCGCGCCTCACGGCGGTGTCGCGCTAGGCACCTACCACGGAAAGAAGAGCGCCTTCTTGTCCATGACCGCCGCATTGCTCGGGGGCGGGCTCTATGGCTGCGGTACGGCGCGGCAGAGGGGGCAGAGGTCACTGTACATGATCTTGCGGTGGGAGACGCAGACGCAGCTCGCCGCTGAGGTGTGAGCTGCTGCGGCTTCAAGCGTCCTGCGCCTCCGCCGAGCGGGACACGCGGGGGTCTAGCGGTTCCTTCGGCACTGTCTAATAGTCTATACGCGCGAATACGTGGCAGCGAATGCGACATGTTTCCAAATAACAAAGAATCGTGCATCAACACGTCTGGTGCCTTGTCCCAATCCCAGTCTGCCGTGTGCAGCCGTCAACGGTCAAGCTCTCGCCGTTGTCGATCCAGCGACCATCTCAGGAACGCGCCTTCCTGCTGGAGACGTTCCTGCTGCTCATCGCGCGGCCAGCACGGCAAGCACGGCAGCCATGTCGTACTATGACTGCGGCCGCCACGGAACCTTGTACGGCCAAGACATGGGATTTTGTGGGGGAGGCGAATCTCGTCAAGCGGTGTTTGCGGTTAATGTGCGAGGCCCAACATCCGCATTCGACCGCCTTTTTTCCACAATCGGTCGCTGGCGTCTTTGGACCTTCTGAAGACCCAACACATGCACTGAGTAAGGAGGTTGAAGCCATGATACTGCAATACAAAGAAACATATCCGGTATTGATTGCTCCATCTGCAGACGCCCATATTTCCTATGCGTATCGAGTGCCAGCCGTCGTGTCCCTACATCTTCTTCTCACCATGATGCACAGCCTCAGTCTGCAGCGGCGAGCCGCCATCCTTGACGCCAAACTGGCCCTCCGCATCACCCGCGCCCGAGTTAACAAGGCCGACCTTGGTCTCATGGAAGCTATCCGCAACGTTTCTGTACGCAGGGATGAAATTGACACAGAACGTGTACGACCACGCAGCCAAGAAAAACACCAGCGGGACCACCATGGCAAACGCAGTCGGCGAGTATCCCGCACCGACGTTCGCCGTTCCGCGCGAGTCGGCCGCGACGAAGAGCAGCGGCGGCACCACGGCACCGCCCGAGACGCCCGCCACGATGAAGCCTGAGCCGCGCTTGCTGTGCTTGCCCAGACCGCGCATGCCCAGCGCTACGATCGTGGGGAAGATGATGGACTCGAAGAAGAGCACGATGAAGAGCATGCTCATGCCTGTGTTGCCGCGCTCGGTGATAGCGGGGATGAGAAAGATACTGGTCTAATGTTAGCCACCAGACCCTGATGTCACCGTCAAAGGTGAATGAGGAGCCAGGGATACTCACATGCAGCAGCTCATGAAGACCAAAAACGTCCATCTAGGCTTCACAAACTTCATTGTAAGACTGCCCACAAACCGTCCCATGGTGAACGTTCCCTGCGCCCCGGCCAAGAAGCGTGCAGCATCTGCATTGCTGGTCGGCTGCGCCACTCCGTTCGCATCGTAGCTGCCGATTCGCGATTCAGTCACGTAGTTGATGAAAGCGCCTGCGATGGCGACCTGGGCGCCGGTGTAGCAGAACTGCGCAAAGGTGGCGTGGAAAAGGCGGTATTGCTTGCGGAACGGTTTGGCGTCGGAGCCTGCGTTTGTGACTTCGGCTTGGAAGGCCATGTCGGCGTCTGTGATCTCGGGGATCTGATGGCCGTTAGTTCCCGTTTCTAGGACCGGGATGGGAAGCCTACCGTGGCGAAGTAGAACACGACGGCCAGGACGTAGACGAAGATCGCGATTGCGAGGTACACCCACTGCACGTTCTTGAGCGCCTCAGAGCCCTCGCCGACATCGACGAAGAAGACGTAGGAACCGAGGACAGGCGCAACGACAGTCCCGATACCGTTGAAAGCCTGCGCGAGGTTGATGCGCAGCTCCGAGTACTTTGGTGGTCCACAAACAGCAACTGTGAATCCATCAGCCAGACCCCTTACAAGAATCAAGCACTCAGATACTCACGGTACGGATTTGCCGCCGTCTCCAGACTGCCCAAACCATTTCCGATGACAAAAGTCGCCGCACAAAATCCACCGAAAGAACGGTACACGAGGCACGGCCAAGTCAGCAGTGCACCTGTGCCGAACAGAAACAGTCCCCAGATGAACACCGCCTTATATCCCCAGTGTCTGAGCAGCCAATTCGCGTGTCCCAGCGAAGCAAGCGGATACGCGCCGAAGTAAGCTGCCTGCAGTCCGGAAGAGCGTGCGCGTGTGATGTTGAGCTCGACTTGGAAGTGCTTGTTCAGCGTATCGATAAGGCCATATGAGAAGCCCTGATAGTGTTAGACTGGGACTCTAGAGGGAAGGAGGTGCAGTACCCAGAGGAAGAAGAGGATTGTGACGAGGCAGAGAGGGAGGATTGAGGCGCGCAGAGTGAGTTCTGCGGCGCTTGTGCGCTGGTCATCGCGCGTGCGCAGGGTGGGCTTCTTGAAGAAACCCATGTTGCTGGTTCTCAACGGCAATCTAGCAAGACGTTTGGGTCGCTGATCAAGTTCGATGCGATTCTTGTGCTGATGTTCGAGATGAGCCCTTGCTAAGGCCGACAACGATGATCAAGCAAAGAAGACGTCTTGGAGGAGCGCGGTCTGCACCTAAGTACCCAGATTCCAAGACGTGCGGCGTGCATCTTCACGTCGCCATGTGCGCGCCTACCAAGCAAGGAACCCTGTCATTGGCGTGCCATTGACCGTTTGTCGTTGCTACAGGCTAATTGTCACTGTGGCCCGCCGCTGCAGTTGCAACCCAAGCCTTTGCTAGACCAAGCCTGGGGTAAATGCTGGGGTAAAAATCGCGGGGATCACCTTTTCATTGTCTATGGGAGGTATAGCGCTAACACGGCGATGCGGAGCGTGCTGCACGGTCGGGGGAAGTGGGAGCCGAAATGCTGCACCGAGCGTGTAAGGTCACGCTGGCTTGACGCCATCACTGGGAGTCGAGGGATCGGCATGAGCATAGCTTCTAGCGTCGAGCTTCGGGTCATTTCCAGGAAAATTGGACAGGGTGATTAATTATGACGGGTATATGCAGTGCTAATTGTGGTTCCGCGCGTCAGGGAGAGAGGAGTACGTGAGTGATGGCCAGGGACCATTTTCGCTGATTGCCTCTGCAGTTCCCCCACAGCGCTAGCGAGTTAGGTCCCGTGGTTAAACGGGCATGCATGTTGACAGCTTCCAGCCTCGAATATTCAACACTCTTTCTTCTTAATTCTAGACTCATGACCATTCTCTCACGAACAAATGCTACACCTTCCAGTATTCGACAATGCCTCGCACTGCCTTCACCCCCCGACCCTTTACGATGCCTTCTGACAAACCCTCTGCGAGGCGCGCACTGCAACGGCTGCATGATTTCATTCTTCGTTGCAAGCTGCGTCTTGGCTTGAACACGATCACCGACTTCAATATCCTCGAAGGCATACCACTGCGTACCTGGGTCAGTCCTTGAGACGACAAGAGGCTCATGCGTCCGCGGCCGCCTCTACAGTGCTGATCATTTGCCCACGCACCACATGCAGCCAACTGCAAAGTGCTGGTCGTATGTTCTATTCCCTTATCTACTTCTTCGAGTCCAGCCAGCTCGGTTCAATCCCCGAGCAAACATCCACATACGCATCCCAGCGCTTCATCTCCATCGGCCGGCCATCCTTCCCACCCCACCCCGCCGTAACCCCTTCCACCGTCCAAAACATCGTCCACTGTCCACCGGGCAAATTCCACATCCCCGTGCTACGCTCCTGATACCACTTATTCACCGGATTACTCGTGCGACTCCTCCACACCACGCCGCGCGGGAAACAAGTCCGCACCAGCGCGGCCCAGACGATGTCGCTCACGCCGCCGGAGCCCTGGCTCGAGGTCAAAACGGCGAATTTGTCGAGATACGGAACCCAGTGCGGCGAGTCCAACTCCCCAGCATGAGCCTGCGCGCCGGACCCGTGCTGCCGCAGCGTCGACGGCGTTTCCCACGTGCATATCGCGCCTCCTTCGTAGTCGCCTGCGATGATTATGCCGGCTACGCGGCCTTCGATGCGCTTCAGGTAGTCTTTTGGATCGAGCTTTCGGCGGAACGAGTCGTTGATCAGGTCGACGAGTTTCGGCAGGTTGATGCGCGGGTCGTTCGCGAGGTCGATGATGGGGTATCCCGTTGACGGCGGTTGCCAGGGGCCGCAGATGCGCGGGTCCGGAATCATGGTCAGCGGGATGCCTTTCTTGAGAAAAGTCGAGGGGTTGGGGGCGTGGCTGCTGTGCAGACGGCTTAGGGGTGAGGTGGGGAGCGAAGATGAGACCATGGGTTTGTCGGTGAGAACATTGTGGATCAGAGGATTGGGAGAGGGTGTGGGACGGCGGCCGGAGGAGTCGGCGGCGGGGAGCGACTCGGTGGCTGCTTCAATGGGCGTGAGGATCAGACCAGAGGATGAGGGCGGGAGGAGCTTGAGGGCTCTTTCGACGACGTTGAGGTTCTTGGTGTGTCGATCGGGCGGCAGGATGTCGCCTATACTATTGTTCGGAGGTCCTGGTGTAGAAGCAACCTCATCCGCAAAGATGTCTGCGATTGGATTTCCGCTGCCTGGTGACGCTGTGTATTTCTCGGCGGCGGCCCCCTTTGCATCTGACGAGACTTTCGCCAGCTCTTCCTTGATGTCGCGGTACTCTGCCTCGAGGTTAACGAAGACATGTGCACCATCTGCCCTGTTCTCAGAAGGAATGCCGCCTAGAGGATCCAGAATGATGATGCGGTCCAAGATGGGCCGGTCATACACATGCTGGTGGCTGTGCGCAGTGCCCTCTATACCGCTGCTCGTCCCCCCAGACAGACCAGCAAATTCTCTCACCAGTGCCAACACTACATCGTCGGCCAGAACAGTGACCCTCTTCAAATCCGCATCGAAGGCGAAGGGCGGTATGACAGGTATCACGCCGTCGTCGATGGGCGGGAAGAGAAGGTAGTTGTCCTTGACCTCGACGTCTCCCCGCACATGCGCCGTACTCAGCCCCTCTCCACCCAGGCTTGCGGAGCTGAGCGCATGCTCGACCAGCAGAGCGCCCGGCTCGTTGTGTCGCTGCAGGGCGGCCACCATGCGCGTCGCCTGCCGCCTGATAGTCTGTTCGAGAGGCGGCCGTGCATGTGCCGTGTCGCAGGAGGCATCGTCGTCGCAGTCCAGCACAACGGCGGTGCTCAGGCCCAGCTGCGCCAACTGACTCAGCGTCGATGCGATGCCGCCCAGTGTCACATCGTCGAGGGCCTGCGGCTGCCGTATCTTGACTAGTGCGAGATGGATTGGCTCCTCTTCGCTCTCCTTGAATCTCTCCTCAGGCAGCTGTTGGTGGGTGAAGACAGTGGGCTCGTACAGGTTGCCGAGGTTGACGCCGGTGAGCGCCGTGGCTGGGTCGCTGTAGGCGCTCACGGCCTGTCTGGCCTTCGATGCGGCTTCTCCGGGCGCCTTCTTCGCGACGTCGAAGTGCTTGATGTAGTTTCTCGCGTCCCGCTTGGCGTCGGATTCCTTGAGCAGGCGGGTCAATTGGTCGCGTTCGGCGCGCTGCCGTGCTTTGGCGTCGCTCGAAGCCCGGTGGACGTTCAGTGCATTGAGACATGCCGTCGTGTGCAACTGCGAGGTAAAAGTCTTCTCTACCGCGCTGCTCGTGCTATCGAGCCTGGGGAGCTGTTGGGCGTCAGTGCCCGTGCGACTACCTCCCCACGCAGCCGTGAGTCAATCGTCTCCTGTTTGCAGTCCTCACCTTCGTCGAAGCCCGCCCCAAGCCCCAAACTGGGGCTTTGCAAATGACCATTCTTCATGCTACCGCTCAGCTTCTGAACACATTGAGGGGTATCTACAAGCACACGTGCGACTTGCGGTGTGAAGAAATGCCGCGTGCACATGTTTTCTGCACCCCGGAGCTTTGACGACTTCGTTATCGATACACTGCCGCTGCGTCATGTCATACCGGTAGCCGATTTCGGCCCTTTTGCGTGTGGCCCGCGAGCATGACAAACCCGGGTCTGGCTTCACGGACGACGGAGACAGAAGTGCAGTCCGCAGTATATGAGTGCTCGACAGCCTGAAGTCACTGTTGGAGCTACTTCACACCAGGACCTCAGACCGACAACCCCAAAGCATCTTTTCACCAGCATCAATATGGCCCCGCAACTTGCATGGATCGGCCTTGGCAACATGGGAAGGGTAGGTGCTCCGGCCGATATCTAATCAGATGAAAACATGCATGAATACGAGCTCTCAGCTTCCACTCGGGGAATGGTTGTGTGCATAAAACAGAGAACAAATGATGGTCCTCGGCAAGAGTTGGAAGTGCATTCATGTCTATGATCACGTCAAAATGGGCAGCAACAACATCAACACCACGATCATGACTCGCTGACACGGACGTCTAGGGCATGTGCGCCAACCTCGTGTCAAAGGGAAGCCTTGACAAGCCCCTGATCCTCTACAACCGCACGCAGAAGCGCTCAGATGACCTCTCCGCCAAACTCGGCTCCTCCAAGACCAAAGTCGCGACCACGATCCCGGAAGCCGTCAAGGACAGCGACATCATCTTCATCTGCGTTGGCGATGACGCCGCCGTGAACGACACCGTCGACACCATCTTGACCGAGGACGTCAACGGCAAGCTCATCGTCGACTGTTCAACCGTGCACCCCGACACCACCAACGCGCTCGAGAAGAAGATCACCGCCGCGGGCGCAGAATTCGTCGGGATGCCCGTCTTCGGCGCCCCAGCCATGGCCGACGCAGGTACACTCGTCTGCGTAGCCGCCGGCCGCTCGTCCTCGGTAGCGAGAGTCCTACCCTACACCGACACCGTGCTTGGGCGGGCAACGATTAACTTCTCCGCCCAGCCGGCCGGCAACGCCACCCTGCTCAAAGTAATCGGCAACACGTTCATCCTGAACATGGTCAACCAGCTCTCCGAGGGCCACGTGCTGGCCGAGAAAACGGGGCTCGGCGTCGATAATCTGCATGCCTTCATCACCGCCATGTTCCCTGGGCCATGGGCCGCATACTCGCAGCGTATGCTCGCGGGCGATTACTATAAAAGAGAGGAGCCGCTGTTTCATATCGATCTTGCAAGGAAGGATGCGAGGCATGCAAAAGCGCTGGCTGATGCGAGTGGGACCAGTGTCAAGGGGCTTGATGTTGCGAGGGAGCGGTTGGACACTGTTAAGGAAGTACTGGGGGACAAGGGGGATATTCCGAGTGTGTATGGAGCGGTGAGGAAGGAGAGCGGCTTGGAGTTTGAAAATGGGAAGTAGATGCATGTCTGCTATGGTGTTGGTGCTTCAGCTCCCATGACAAGTTACTTGTGGAATGAAGAATCTTGCCTGGATACTGATTTGGTAGCAATAGTCTTTGGGGCGCAGAAATTCTCCGAGCAGGATGTGCGCCATCGATATCCGATCTTCCAACATCTTCGAAGCACCACAGCTCTTGTGAAGGCTGCAAGATTTTCGTCTCTATCAGTGTATCATGCGCGTCACGAGTGCCCATTGCGAAGGCGGAGCAGCAGCATTTTATTGTGTGTTCGGTAGAATGTGATCAATCTCCACCTATGCGTTGATTAGCATCTCGACAGGGATGCATCTAGCCTCGCACAGCCAAGCAGGCTGCAGCGTCTGGGTCGAGAAGTTCAAACATCCACTGTCATCCTGTCACTTTGTCTCTCTCTACCTCCACCTTAACCTTCCTAATCACCATAGTGGTCGATAATTGCAATTATGAGTTCGCTGTTGCTTACAACACCACCCAATACTTTACCTCCCCTTCTGCGACTTGCATCTGAGTTGCATTTAGCGATCATCTCATTTCTCCCAGCTCTCAAGGACGCCAAAGAGGAACATGATCTAGCACTTCTCCAACTTCGCCGAACAAATCATTACTTTCGCAACCTTATATCTCCTCCGACCCACAACGACCTTCTCTCTCTCGAGTTAGCTTTGTTCGAGTACTCAGTATACGCCTGTAAATTCTGTCTTTGTCTCCGGCCAACAACGAAGTTTGCTTCAACTATGCTCAAAGGCAAAAAAGGAGTCAATGGTAAAACTCGGGATCGAAGATTTTGCGCAGACTGCGGATTCGATACTACAGTTGTCGGGCAGAGTCAGCGGTATTGCCCTAGTACAAGAGCAGGTGTAAACGGAGTTGATTGGGTATGGTGCAAGCATTGCAAGTTGGTGAAAAAAGGGGAAGAGGCAAAATCAGTGTGCGTTGGGTTGTGTAAGGCGTGCTACAACATGTTGGGCTGTAGATGCAGCCTGAAATGCGGTAAGCCACTACTACATTCTACGACTCCACTGCACCCAAGGGCTCTGAGACCACCACGTAGCATGCTGCCAGAAGGGAGCTCGGGGCGCATTCGCTTGAACGCTAGCGATACAGATAGCGATGAGGATGATAAGAGTGATGAGTATGACTTTTGGGAAGAACAATTTTGGCTTGCTCAGCAGGAAGACGACGATTGGCGCACGCTGTAGGGGCTATCTATTAGATAAGGCAGGGGTGAAGCTGCGATCGCTAACGACTGTAATTGAAAAAGCCGTTGTCACGATGAGTATTGTGAAAAAACTGACAAGCAGCTCGTAATATCTCATTGTGCAATATATGCATGAGTTTGGACAAACAAGGAAGGAGGAGAAAGAGATGTATGTATGGTTGTTTGTGATACCATGGAAATTCGCCCATGGCAGGGAGCTTCAGCCCAATTGAGACATGCATTCAGAGCATTCGGCTGCTCGACGTCAAAATCACTGCAAAAAACCCCTTCGAACTAAGTGCAGGGCCACTTTGGGCCTGCTAGAGTAGCTCCAGGCGACCCTGTTTTGGGCGAATTCCCACGGTACTTGGACATCCTGCAATCGCCTTTTTTCCAGTGACTGTGATCGGTGGCAATAAATCAGCTTCCAAGCTGTGTTTCGGCCGCTCCTCAACAATCAGGCATGTAGTATAAGCAAAAGCCTTGGACAAGATACTTCCATTGAAAGCGAGCAAGGCATGTTCATGAATGCTTATTGATTGCTGCACGCGAACTCGAAACGGCCGAAGCGATCTCGCCAGCCCCGCAGAGACGGCGTTTGCAGAAGAGTGAATGCGAATATTCGTGCATTCATGATATAAGCGGCATCTCCAAGACCAGTGAGAATATATCCTTGATCGGTAGGATACCTGCGGCGTGGATGAAGCCAGGAAGAGACGCGCGAAGGACCCTTCCTCGGTTAAGTATCACCACTATTGCTATTTTGAGACTAGTCTCGTGTCTTTGGAGGGGGAGGGGCAATATCTCATACAAGCAAACGTGCAGATCTATACGTCTGCGGGCCAGCAAATTCAGCCTGTGGCAGTATGTTGAGCCTGCGCTACATGCAATGGTGCCTCTTGTGAAGTTCCGTCCCCGCGATCCGCTTCGGAAATCTCTAATTATCTACAGCGTGTACTCTGGTCCAGACTGCGCAACATATTTCATCGTCTGTAATTAACACCCCTTGTAACACAGAGCGTCTACCATGGGGAGTGACGGCCAAGTGAACCCCATCATCCCAGGATTCGCGCCTGATCCTTCCCTTGTGCTTGTGGGCGACACGTACTTTCTTGTCAACTCCACATTCCATCTGTTTCCGGGGCTGCCAATCTACACATCAAATGATCTAGTGCATTGGAAACATATTGGTGCGCCCATATCGCCGTGATTTCTTCTTTCAATCTAACGAGTGACAGGTAACGCAATCAATCGCACAGAGCAACTCAGCCTCTCTAAATCACAGACGTTAATCTTCCATTCCGAGGAAGAAGGTCACATGGTAGCTACTGGAGGTCTGTATGCTCCGACAATCCGATACAACAACGGCACGTTCTACGTAATCTGCACCAACGTCATTCGCAATGGTGGCGATGGATCGAAAGACGAGACGCAAAATTTTATATTGTCAACGACAGACATCTACAGCAGCAAATGGAGCGATCCGGTCATGTTTGACTTCCACGGTATCGATACATCTCTCTTCTTCGACACAGATGCAAAAGCATACATCTGTGGATCTAAGTCACCAGGCCCGAGAACAAGGATCATGCTTTTCGAGATCAATCCAGTCACAGGTGAGAAGCTCTCGGAAGAGACCGAGCTCTGGAATGGCACAGGCGGCATATACCCAGAAGGCCCCCACATCTACCGTCGAAATGGCTTCTATTACCTCATGATCTCAGAAGGAGGTACTTACGAGGATCACCGCGTGGTCATGGCACGCAGTCGAAGCATCCTTGGTCCATACGAACCGTACCCGGAAAATCCAATTCTGAGCGCTGGAGGCACAGATGAGTATGTGCAGTGCACCGGGCACTGCGAAGCTTTCGAAGACAAGAATGGCGAATGGTGGGGAGTGTGCTTGGGCATGAGAATGTCGGAGCATCAGCTCTATGGCCTCGGGCGCGAGACATTTCTCGTCAAGGGCCACTGGACCGATGATGGCTGGCTCAAGTTCGAGCAAGCGAAGACATGTCTAAAGCTGCCCGGTGTACAGCTCAGAAGCGACGAGAGAATTGACGCCTCTGCAGGGTCTGGCCTCCTTTACATCCGCGACCCTGACTTTTCACGATACACTGTCCCGAGTCAATCTGAGCATTCTGAGTGGTACGAGCTTACTGCAAGCGCGCATGACCTCACTTCTGCAGGCTCATCGCCGACTTTCATTGGCAAACGGCAGAGACTCATGGACGGAGCCAGCAGCGTCGTTCTGAACAGCACAACTACTCCGTCCAGCGATCCAGCAGCCGCGAATGCTGGCTTGACGGTGTACAAGGACGAGCATCGCTTTCTCCGGATCTTCCATTCGACACCCACACACAAGGTTGTGTTCCAGGTTTTCAACAAAGCAAAGCAAATCGAGCGATCTGCTGAGCATCAGCTCGAGGGTTCACGTGATTCGCTCAATGGTCTCAAGTTCATCATTGCATACACAGAGAAGGTATACCGTGCATACTTTAGCATTAATGGCGGGGAAACTGTCGAATTGGGTAAGGCAGACGCTATGGAGCTGAGTGCGAGAGATTTTGTCGGTCCTGTTGTAGGAATATTCGCATTTGCGAATCATGGGAATGCAGCAAAGGCAAGATTCGAAGGGTTCGTCGTTGACAAGGCAGAGTTTGACCACTCTGTGTGAGGTTGCAAAGCGTCGGAAGACGCTCGACTGATACAAACACTTTGAAAGACAATCCCATGATGCTCTTTTCTGATTTAGTGCGAACCTGGTGCTACAGGTATATCCTTTGCAGACGAGCCTAGATCTTCAGCGGCAATAGTGTGGTGTTGGGTCGTGGAACTGGTTGTAAGAGCGGGTAAAACTTCGATACTTCGTGCCTGCCAAGACGTATTGTAAGTGAATCCAAGTCAAGACTGACGCCACAACATTGTCTATGCTTAATTTTCCTTCGCCATCTCTTCCGCGAGCCAATCTGCTTCCTTATGCATTTCTTCGTCGCTCCTGGGCTTGCGACTGTCATTGTCGACCGCGGGGAACTTGCCCCTTTTCTCGTCCTCAGCGAGCTCAGCTTGGGCAGCCTGCTCCTTTGCCTTCATCTGGGTTTCAAGGTGTGCCTCACCGCTCTCCATCATCTCGTATATGGCATCAGTGCCACCCTTATGTTCCAGGTCATCCTTCTTCCGAGGAATGATATGGGCATGCACATGTGGCACGCTTTGGCCAGCGTCTATACCATCCTGGATGGCAATGTTCAACGATGAGGCAGCAAAGACGCGCTCCACCATGCGCGACACGCGCTGCACGGTCAGAAACAGGTCTTGCACCTCCGCCGGCGAAAGATCGTTGAAGCGCGGCACGACCCGCCTGGGTGAAACCAGCACATGCCCCGGCAGCAGCGGTTTGAGGTTGACAATGGCGAATGACAGGCGCGTCAAGTAAAAGACCTGCAGCTGTAAGCAGAAATACTCATCAACAAGCCATACCTGCGAGGATATCAACTCCATCACGTCACAGCTATGCCCCGCGCCGCCAATGGACAGAGCAATGCACACACCTGTCTTGTCACCACGAAGGTGCCAAACTTGACCACATCCTTCGTGATCAGCATGCCTTCTGCTACGAATGTCGTCGCCCGTCACGGAGGTAGCTTTGATACTCGCAAGCACACAGCCAAGACGCTGTGCTAGTGCTGTTTGAAGGCGGATGCGGTGCGGAACTGTTCCAAAACAGAGTGGCCTTCTAAGCTTCTATGCAGGGATCGGGCCGACACTGCGATTGGGTAGCTCCAGGCGGGCGTCGGCGCTTTGGACAGGCGCGCCCGCGTCACATGCCAGGAACGCGTGGTGGATTTCTGGCAATTCATTCGTTTGATTCTTTGTGTACACGGACGTTCTACACGGTGCCCTCTCCACCGATGATCGCGGCGACAATGACGGCCCTCGTCGCGGGGTTACCAGCTCGCCCAAGGCCTGCGCAATCAGATACGCTCACCCCCGTGTAAAGCATTCTCCACCATACCATGGTCAGCGTGGGCATCTGCACTCGGTCGTCTTATCTTCCCAAGCTGCTTTTGTGGGCCGACTTGTGGAGCTTTCTTTTGAAGTCTTGCCGATTTATTGCTAGGTTCTGCTTAGCAATGTTGCTTTCTCCAACCAAAAACGGCCGAGGGGTATCAGATTGGCTACACGGCTTGGCTATGTTATGCTGTTTCACGCAGCCGACGGCGCCTCATACGTGTTGCGACCCCACTTGGCCTTTGAGTTGAGCCTCATTGTCGCACACGCACACGCACAGGTAACCGCAGGGCATCTCTTGGCTGCCTACTTGGAACAGAAGAGAGCTCGGTCTAGTCTGCCGCAGCGCTTGACCTTCTGCTTGTCAACGTGAAGCGTGTCGAAGTCCTGTTTCAACCCAATCCGGACAGACATAAATCTGCTCTCTCCCCCGCCGGACTGCATGCAAAAGCACTTCCACGACATTCCGCACCCAGGCCGACCTCACCACAAACGCCTTCCACTCCAGCCACATATAAGCCGCGGGAACTGCTAGCCGTACCGTGGTTCAGTATCCACGTTAATCTTACGGCACCCATATAAGTCTCCAGTCGTTGCGCCCCACTTCCCGCGACATCCTCCCACAACGCAAACACACAACTTCCTCACGTTCGAAATCAACATACACCAGACCACAGTCACCATGGATATCGTTCAGTCCTCGCGCGCTTACTTCGCCATGCCCTCGCCCACCCCCGAGGAGAAGATCACCCTCCAGGCCTCCAACACAGTCTACACCTACCACTGCCTATGCAGCCACCTCCTGCTCGCAACCACCACACCTCTACCCGCGCTTCCCACACGGCAGAACTCGCAAGACAAGGCGCACATCATGCCTCTCCCGCCCGCGACCAAGGCGGCCTCGGCATCGACCACGCACTACGGCCTGCTCCTCTCAACGCGCCAGGAGCGCACAGCAGAGATTCTCACCAGCGACTCGGGCTTCGAGAAGCGCTATCTGCAGCGGTGCGGGCGGTGCAACCTCGTCGTCGGCTACCAGCTGGACTGGGCTTCGTTCGGGGGCGAACGCACGGGCAGGCGCGACGACGTCGCGTTCCTGATCCCCGGCGGCTTCATGACGACCTCCGAGATGATCAACTACAAGAGGACCCAGGCCGCGAATAGCAGTACCGGCACCGCGGCACCAGGCATGTCATCTGCGACGGCTGTGGCTGCGTAGGCATTCCGCTGCACGGCAGGGTTCGAGCACGGATATCAGCCTCACTCCCCCACCATCCGTGGTCCGGCCGCGGGATCGCAGTACTCCCGCGGCTAGCTTCATTTCTCCTCAGCCTCACGGCTTCCCTTTGTGGCCATCATGACTTCTTTACATAGCTCATCCCGTCGTTTGTGACGTTGGATTTCGTTGGCGTTACGGCATAGCACAGCACGGCGATCTGAAACTCTTGTCTCTTACTCACACGCGATACCCACCGGCTCTCGCGCCAGGCTTCTCACGCTACGAAGAAGCCTCCCACTCCATAGACGTGGCTCATTGGTCCCAAAAACATGTCTCGAATGAAATGAAATGGAATCAACTCAAGCAATATATTAAACGATCATCTTTTCCGCTTTGTGCTTGTCGTGTATTTGCCAAGTGACCGTGTCTAAGATTAATAATTCCGTGGTTAAGAGACGTCTTGGCGGCCCGACCTTGTGCTGAACTCGCATGGGAAGATCCGTGGCTTGTGCGTCTGGCCGCAAGAGGAGCGTGCATCGGTCTTGTAGCCCAGTGTCACCCTGCGTTCTGCTTGCCCTTCTGATTGTGTTCGCCCTTTTGACAACGTTCGTAGTCCCCTGTCGTGTCACTGCCAGGCTGAGGAAAAAAATACACAACATGTGCATGAATCGTATGTCATTGCGGCCGCTGTAGCAGCCTGGCTACATAACTCCGCTCTCCTGACCAAGGCAATGGAGAAGACCGTGCCCTCGAGTATCCCAACGCCAGTATCCGCATGCTGAAACCATAAACACGAAGCTCCTCGTAGAAACGTAATCCATCCTCGCCGTGCCTAGTTCTCCGCGATCGTCTTGACGAATTCTGTCTAGCATTAGCACACGGCTATTCCCTCACGCTGCTCACTATTGGCGTTAAATTCGGACTCACCCCTGTAGTCGACCTCGTCGTTGCTCGCGTCAATCGTGCTCTTGAACAGCTCGTCGACCTCCTCCTCGCTCATCTTCTCGCCCAGATTCGTCAAAATGTACTTGATCTGACCCTTGCCGACGAACCCGCTGCGGTCCTTGTCGAACACCTGGAAACCGCGGATGTACTCCTCGATGTCAAAGGGCTCGCGGAAGCCGCCGGGGCGGTTGAGGATCTTGGAGAACGAGTCGAAGTCGACTATTGGAATGTCAGCTTGCGCGTCCACGACCAAGAGGCCGGAGTCGGTGCGGAGATCGTGGAGACGTACAGTCAGCGCCCACACCGCGCTCGAGATCCGTAATCTCAGCGAGCGTAGGGTTCTGTCCGCATGCGCGCAGCAGGTCGCCGAGGGCACCACGGTCAACGCGCCCGTTGCCGCGCTTGTCGAACAGCTGAAACGCTTCGCGGTAGTTGGTGGAGGCCTGGTGATCGTTATTCATTGTGTCCTTTGCACCGTTGTTGCCTTTGTGTGTATTCTGGGCGTCGGATCGTGGTGGAGGATGCGTGCGCCGAGTGCCTGGCTGCTGTGTAACGAAGTCGCGTTGCACCAGCAGGTGAAGGCCGCCAGAAAAGGGTCTGTTGTGCCTTGCTCTGTTGACCGGCAACGGCAGGCGTGAGCAGCCAACCACCACCCGCGGAGCCGTCGCACTCCCCGCTCACCTCTGCTGTGAACAAGACTGTTGTCTGACTTACCATTTTGTATGTACAGGATGTGTGGTAGTTTGTACAGGGAAGTATGTCGCAAAAGGCCAAAATTGGGTCTGTATGGGGAAAGCGGTGTTGAATGCAATGTCGAAGGGGCTCAAACAGACGTGCGTGAGCGAGGACCAGGGAGCGCATTGAGCGCAGCACCTGGCCGCCAAGCATGCGTTGCTAGGGAACCACTTAGTGGAGGAATACGGTGTGCGCAGTCGCTTCACCTCATTGAACACCATAACGCAGAAGTCTGAATGTCAAATACGCCACGGCTGGAGAGACATGAGGGTGTGATGGCGTTGTTGTTATCATGCTCAACGCGCCTGCCCACCATCGACCGAACCACCCTCATTTCGTGCAAATTTCCAACTACACCATGCTCTGTCCGCAGACTGCGCTGGAACACATACACATGGTTGAGTCAATCGAAGCTGGTAATAACCCTAGCCTTTTATCCTTCCCGGTCTTCTTTCGGAGCGGCGGCGACTTGCGCTTTTCGCGCGGTGCGTTCCAATTGCTATTGCAACAACCTGCAATTCTCAAGCTACCTGAAGCAAACTCGTACCTCAAGGTTCTCCTTTTTGAACAACATCAACTTGACCTTAGAAGCCTCTTCTATAGACACATTGGCAGAAATCTTGTGGACATCCACTCGAACCATACTGTGCCACAAACAAGAACTCAGTCATTGCTATCAAAGCTCATTTATTCACGATCCGTCTTCTCCAATTGGTCATGGTCTTGCTGTTCAGTACGTCAAAGTTGTGATGACGGTGAAGACGTGAAACAACCTGTTCCACATCGGCCCAAGAGCGTGGCACATTCCTGTCCACCAAGGCTTCCGCCATATCAGTGATGTTTGGGAATAGATGTTTGGTTGTTCATGACTGCTCCTTCCCTATATGAACGTTTGTAATTCCAATACGCAATAGCACAGGACGGATGTCGCCATTTGAAACTTATCTGCCTTGGCACATCTTGTACAAAGCGTTGTTATTGAATGTCTAACTAGGCGGTAGGCCTTGTTCATAGACATTTTTGTCTAGTTGCTGCCGGCTTCAGGTATGTGAGCTAAGCAAACTGAGAGGTGTTGAGCACCTTGCCACATGCTTTCGATCACTGACATGACAGTGAGGTACTTGGTGTGGATCATAGCTACGAGCAAACAGCTCAGGGGTATTTAAAAATGAGCTAGCGACCACTCGTAGGGAGAAAGGAAAGAGAGAGATCGCCGCTTGAATCGTCATCTAGAGAATGGTGGAAACTGCCCAATCAATACAAAATTACGATTAGTAGTTTGAAGCAATGCAACTTACCCATAAGAGGTATTCAGAGATATAATCTTCTTGTTGTGAATGAATTTGTCTGTACGGTGAAGGGCCTGCGAATTTGGAATTCACTCAGATTGAAGATATTAACTGTAGTGACAATACCATACTTGGTGCAGAGATGGCTTTAAACTTCATGGCCATCGTGGGGAGCCTCTCGGTGAATGTGAGCTGTTGTTACTGCAAGATTGGTCAATATTTCTGTGTTGCAGTCCATGCATGTAAGCTTCTCTTCCACAGTACGTGTCGCCAAGAATGCAAAGAAAGTGTGAAGTGTTTGTTATCCGTATTGCTGGTTGTTCATAATCTGTAACACTGCGTCTTCGAAAATAAGAACGGTCTGTTCGAATGTTCTGCGATGAGCTGTAAGGAAATTAGCCATCGTTGCCTTTGGTATCATTGCCTCTGGTATCATTGCCTCTTTCAATGAGCTGAACCATATCTCCGCTGTCGATAGAGTTGCCATATGGTATTGTAGTGATGGTGAAATTGTCCAGTGTGCAGAAGATTTTTTCCGTTGCTGTTTATTCCTCCCAGCTCCAGCATCAGTGAAGCTTGCTCGACTTGCAGAAGAACCTAATCATCTAAACAGTAGTGTTCTGAAGTGGGTTCTTCGTTATTAGTTAGCTGGATTGTGTGCTGCTTGAAATTATAGACTGGTACTATGATGAGTGCATTTCCAGATTCCAGCGACATCTGGGCAAACTACACCAACAACTGCATTCCTGTCAGATAGTCTAGCATAGCATATTGGTCTGAAAGATCTCTTTTATCAAAGGACAGGTTCGTACGACTTAACACGGGTCTCCTGGCTTCCTAGCTTCCTAGTCAACTAGCTGCCTTGCCCTACTTTCGAGTGGGAGAGGAACCGGATCATACCGACTACAGCAGCGTCGAAGATGACACCACTACCCAAAAATGGAACGTAATTACTCTGCCTTGGACTGTCCTAGGCCATTAGAATATTTTGTTGTTCTAATTCTATGTTATTGTATTCTTTGCTCCCTCGATATCGCCTGATCCGAATGCCCTACAGTCACGATCAATAATCTGGTGCCGAGGTTGCTGGCTTCCTTTGAGACTTTCATTGATTTCCGGTCGCTTTAGCAACTTCGTTCGTTGACCTCATCCAAGAATTTTGCAAGATTCCATAGTGCTGCTATTACAGCATAATGACCAACCTCTCGGCGATCATATGTTGCAACAACCCAAACAATGTACGAATGCCGCAATTTGTGTAGATGTTCGATTTCCAAATTTGCTTGTCTCTTCCAGCCTATGTGAACACCGTATTGTCTTCCGCGCAAGTCGTATCCGGCGGCATTTAACGCAGTCCACAATGGCCGATTGGCTTTCTCCAAAATATTTCGAATATATCAACGGGATTTTCGTCTTCGTTGCGTGAGGTATACTCTGCATGCTCTCCACGTCCTGACCAGTCCAATTTGTTAATCAGTATGCGGGTGTAGAACCTATGCAAGCTAATGACGCTAGAACAGATGAGCGCATCTCGCGAGATAAAATCGTTGTGCGCTATGAATATCGCTTCCTCTCTAGAGCTCCAGGGAAGTGTTTACTGAATGGAGGCGGATGACATGAAGAGTGCAACTTCTTCAATCCCTCCTACGCCGAGGACTCTTTGAAGACCTAGGGCTCTTTGGCACAAGTCTTTCACCCTGGGCCTTCATCTTGTCCATGGCTTCTTCGACAAGGCGCTGCTTCTTCGCTACATGCTTGTGGCGTCTCTCAATTTCTGCCTCGAAGCGTCGGGCCTCCTTCCGCTTCGTCTGTCGTGCCTCTCGTGTCTTTGTGATGATAGTAGTAAACTGGCCAAGGAACCAGTCGCCCGCATCTTCCCACTCGGTGGTCGGGAGGGCACTAAAGAACTTGACTTGATCGGTGGGACGAAGCTTTTGCTGTGCGAACTGCAGACGCTCATGCAGAGGCTTGTCACGCATGTCTTCAGGCAACGTAGGCTCCTGCTCGCGTGGATCGTTGTCGAAACTCTCATTTCTCAGTTCCTCGTAGTGCATCTTGGAGAGGACCTTCTGGTCATAGTCACCCACATGCTCTAGGTGCTCTTCGACAAGCGCGGATTCCATAATTTGAGGTTCACTAGGCTGTTGGATGATAGGCACGACTTTGGTGCGCGTTACTGGAGCACGCTTGGAGATGGTCGCTGGTTCTACGATTCTCGGAACTGGGGTCTGTAAATACCCTGATGCAGGTGGAACTGTCCAGGCCGGCTGTGGGAAGCCACTCTGGGCAACTTGATCGACCGTATGAATCGTCGGAGGCGCCACGAAACCTGGTTTAGGGTTGGCTTGGCTGTGTGTGGGCGGTCGACTTGTTGGTGGCTTGAATATAACGTGATGTCGGCCAGACTGAGTATGGGCATGTGCAGCAATCTCAAGACGCTGTTGTCCACGTATCTGCGCACCCTGTCGATAAAGCTTGGAGCTTTGCTGCATGACAGGATTATAGTGTTGCACATCGGCCGCTTGCTGTCGTCGCTGATTGAACGTTGAAGGAGTTTGACCTTGTCCAGCAAGACGCTGTGGAGATGGCGATGGTGGCGATGGTGGCGATGGTGAGCCGGGGTCCGCATAAATTTGCTGCTGCTGCTGCTGCTCCTCCACCTCTGTGGGATTACCATCAGTTGTGGTTGGGTAAGAATCGCCATCGATTGTTACGAACACGTGGGGTTGGCTTTGTCGTAGGAACCGTATCTGTTGGTCGTGGCTGGCCTCTGCATAGCCGTGGTCAACAAGATACTGCCGATACTCTTCCGGGATGTCCTCCGGGATGTCTTCCGGGACTTCTTCGTCTTCGAGATCATCTTCACCAGAACCTTCTTCGTCTCCGCCAGACTCATCCTCTTCGTTGTCAGGCTGGAACTGCTGTTGATCGAACAGCTGATTATCTTCAACCTGAACAACTGAGTGGTTCACCGTCGTGTCAATGCTTTCGGCGTCAGTATCGTAAGTATCACCCTTTCTACCGTCACCTGACGGCTGTTTCTGCTGGTGCTGATGTTGCCAGGAAGCAGGTTGATGTTGGATGATGCTCTCACCGCGCCCACGAAGCCCTTGTACGGCGGACGGCCGGGCAACCTCGGGTCTCATCGCGACTTTCAAGTTCGCTGCATGAATCGCTCGCTGGTGGTTGACGGCTGGCTGAGGGCTCTCTGGTCGACCATTGCGAGCACCCTTCACATACTTCTGCATGCCTGACATGGCAGCTGTACCTCGACGCGTCTTCTGCACGCCGCAGGAGTGGGTTGAGCTGTGTGACGCGTATCAAAGTGGAACTTTGCGAGATAAAAGGTGAGGTGAAGCTCAGACGGGGAAGCGCGTTCATGTTTGGAGCTAACTCAATATAGCATAGCATTGGGCGCCACGAGAAGTCGCGACGATGACGATAGTTTATCTCCGTCGGCTTCCCTTCACCCTTAATACATGCTGATTTTGAACAACGGCTTGAACTTTCACCCTCGAGTCGCATACGCCCAACTGTTAAGAATTTTCAAATATGTCGCAGTGCTACCTTTACAACTTACCGAACGAGGCACGTAGTACCGCCCGGACATCTGCTTGACGGCTGCTAATAATGTGGGTTACACAGCTGCTTTTGCACTTGTTCGTGCCACTGTCGACGCCTGAACTGCTGCCTTTGACCGTAGTCTCCCACCGTATCTATAACGTCATCCTGCGAATATTGCACAATCGTCTAGTTGCTGCCGCTGAACTCGACTCGCACTCACTGTTGCTTGAGTGCTACCATCCGTCTGCAAAACTTACAGAACCCCCCTATTTCTGCGCATACCGAGGTACAGATGGCTTGTCGCTGTACGAAAGCCCTTCCAAAGCCGATCGAAATTCAGTCGCCAGGCTAGGAGAGATGCGGCGAATGTATTCGCGGTTTCGACCACATCGGCGACAGCTCGAGGATGGAGGGCGCAGGGTTGTTCGCAGACCCGGTGACATACCTGGCAGCCGTACCTATCCCGGCTCTGCTCAAGACAAATTCCAAGGCGATATCGTCAAACAGACAGTTAGCTTAGAGGGACATGAGTTGTTCACACAGCTTGTTGCCCAGACCAACTTGGTCAAGATCGGACCCTACAACGGCCTCTTCAGCGCGTTCGTTGACGTCGAAGAAGGCGTACTGAGGGTCTGGAGGAAGTGGCTCAGCGAGACAGCTGCCAGAGGGAACAAGATCAGCCCAGAAGTACAGAAGGAGACTGTTGAGGAAGCTGGCAAGGGCAAAGCAGCTGTGTGTGAGGTTGAAGAGCCCTTCGATCCCTACGACAAGCGTATACTGTGGGTCAGTATGGCCAAGAACACAGGACTACGCTTCAATGTCAAGGAGAAGAAGCTACACAGAGATGCTCCAATCCTCATCAGGAATGACGAGGACATGCCTGTCAGCTACGATATCGAATACGATGGTAAGCAGTGGTGATACACAATTCGTATAGGCAATCACTAACATCGGTGACAGAGCTCCTGATACGAACCTCTCACCTCCTTCTCATGCTCGAAAAATCGATGGATCAGGAAGACAACTCATCGGCCAAAGCTGTCGTCTTTGGCTCGTTCGGGTAGCAAACCATTGCCGCCGCAAAAGAAGATGGGAATCACAACACACTCAAGCGCTGACCTTCTACGCCGCTCTGTGAGGGCAGGCAATGATGACGATGTGGGCAAAAGCAAGTTTGACTCTAGTCGTGCCGGAGAGCAAAAAGAGAATGACCCGAAGGCGATTTGAACGCCTAACCTTCAGGAGACACCTTAACTGGAATCTGACGCGCTACCATTGCGCCATCGGGCCGGTAAACCGTGTCATTCGATTTGATAAAGGATTTGTGACAACAGTCCTATTTATACTCAGTAAAAGCTGTCCCACGACTTGCCAGCATGGACTCAGTCGCATGTCCCAATGCACCTCGTTCGAAATTAATGCCTGCAATCTATTTTGTGCAGTTCAACCCGCGTTATTAAGTTACCAATTTCAATGTGGAAAGCAACCGTGCTTCAACCCCACCACCCCACATTGCCTAGCACAAGCATCGGCCAGGACCGCGGCACAGCAGCGAGTTCCCATGTGCAGACAATCCGCGTCTTTACATATCTCAAGCGACTTGGCAGCTGTTTCTGTCTGCCCCTATAGAACTACGGGCCGCTCCGGGTCTTTTCGATAATAATTGCTGTCACAGTCGAACCTAATAGAAGCGCGCCAAGCGGAGTTGAATTGAGGAGTTGTATGTCTGAAAGAACGCTTACCCTTCTAAAAAAACAGTCGACACCATTGTCCATCCTGTCACAACAGCTTCCAAACCGACAAAAACATCTCCGCTCCCAGAATCGAACTAGGGACCTTTCGATAACAACAGCTATTACAGTCGAACGTGATAAACCAACTACACCAAGCGGAGTTGTGCGTCTGCAAAGAACGCGCTTGTGTCTGATTTGACTGATGAAGGGTCATCTTGGATGGTGTGCTCATGTATTCAGCGACCGACCGCTGACGCACTCCTCGGGACAATCGGATCACCGTTACAACATCATCGAAAGATCAAAAGCATCAGCGTCGATCCCTACTAAACCGGTTTCGCCACCTAGAGTCAACTGAGTCCACGGGGCATTGGCATATCAATGTTGCAGGCGATGGTTTTCGATTTACCATTCCGGACCGGTTTTTCCTACATCACACAGCAGTTCCCAAGGGTGATAATACTACTATCCATTCACCATACTGCTATTTGACTGAGGACACTCCCTCCACAGACATACATTTTCAGAACTGCAACCCCATCATCGCCCCAGCACCCTAATCCTCCCACACATCATTCCTGCAACGCCCCCCAATGCTCTCCCAACAACACCCACGATCGCCCAAATCAACACCAAAACAAACCGCAACGGCACAAACACAAGGTAAAGCGCCTCTCTGAGCGCGTCGAGAATGAACCACAACGCCACGACAATATACAGAGCAAGTGCGACCTTCACACCCAGCACAACGAGGTCTTGAACCCGCTGCATTCCCACGTCGATAGTCGACTCCGTGGCTGGCACAGGCGGCGTTTTGCTTCTCGGGACAATTGGTGCTCGTTTCGCAGACTCGGCTTGAGTTGTCGTAGCTTTCGCTGCAGCTGCAGATCTCGCAGGTCCCGGCCGTACGCGCGGAGGCGAAGTAGCCGGTGTCACGATGCCCTCAAATGGACTGACATAGGTGCTCACCGGCCTCTTGCTGGTGAGCTTGATATGCGCAGGCGCCTTGACGGGTGCGAGGACAGGTGGATCCGGGGCGGGCATCGCAGGCGGTCTGCCTGAACCTTTAGCACCGTCCCTGCGGATCCATGGCCAGCGATCTGTCAGAGTCCTCTTCTGCTGCGGTGCTTTCGACACCGTCTGATTCCCCGTGCTGGACTTGGGTGTCTCTTCGTCACTGTTGCTCGCGCTCTTGTCCGCCCCTGCTTCGGTACCGAGGGGGTCTCTGACTTTGTACCCGAAGATCGAGTCCCCCTCGATCGAGTACTGGCGCGCGAAATTCGGGATCGTCTTTGTCGGGCTTGGCGATCGCGATGCGCGCTCCACGTAAGGAGCACGGGAGTACATGCCGCGGCCGTGCTCGGCTTCGCAAGCATGTGCACGGCCGGTCTGCGGTCTGCAAGGCTCGACTTTGAGCGCTGGAATCGCTGGGGCTCTCGACGGCGACGGGGTCTTGGGCTTCATGCTGATCTTGACGGTTGTTGATCGCAGCGGTGTCGTTGGGCTCGAGGCTCCGGTCTTTGCGTCGGCACGCACGTACGAGACGCATTCTGCGAGGACGGCTGCGGAGGTCGTGACCCCGACGACCGTGGGCTTGCGGTACACGGAGGTGTTGCTTGGGATCTTGTTCCTAGGTGTCGGCTCGGCTTGTGTCCACTGCTGCTGGACTGCTGGAGGGCTGATGGGAAATGCGCCTGCCGGTGCGGGAGGGCTGCCGGATGGCTTGAGGACAGCTGGGATCGCGGCGCCCGGCTTTGGTGTGTTGGCGTATGCGTAGTCATATGAGGCGATATTGTTTGGTACGCGCACGCCGACATTGTTGTTCCGCTTGCGTGCTTGTTCGGCCTTCTCTTTGTACGTCTGTACCGCTTCCGCCTGCGCACGCGCAGACGAGCCTATTTTGGGCCGCGACACAGGCGCATCGATGATGGGTATGCGCGTGGTCGGCATATGTACCGCAAAGGCATCACTCTCGAAGGCATCATGGCCACCGACCGGGTCCGTGTGTATTGTTGCATGTCCTGTCTTCCTGCTACTTGGTGCTCGCCTTGGTGCGCTGCTCTTGAGAGGACTCGATGCTGACCGCAGTGGTGTTGTCTTGAAGATCCGAGGGTTGCTTGCGACAGTTCCAACCGCGTGTGGAGGGGGCTTTGGGGCGCGCGGGCTTACTGCTATACCCAGTATCTGCTCGAGTGTCTTTGCCGGAGAGACGGTGTCTTTCGGCGGAGGCGTGGGCGGAGAGTCGATGGAGGTGGGTGTATGGGAGTGGAAACGTCGTTGGAAGATCATTGTCGTTGGCGGAAAGGGCCTCCTAGCATGAGCCTGGGTCAGATGCCGCAAGATAGTATGCTTACAGTACTATAGATGCCTGGACAGTACAAGCTGAAGTCGCAGTGGGACTAGCTCCTCAACACCCGCTGCGTGATACTATGCAGTGACGAGTGAAGATTCTAGATAGCCGCGCACCAGAACAACGAAGACTGAATGAATCGGACATCGTGACGAGGCGTGAGATGGCTTTTACAAGGTCGTGTGAGGTCAGAGCTGGTACAAGGCCGGCCGGAATGCGTCGTGGCTGGCGTTGGGAGGCTGAAGCGAGGAATGTGTCGTGACGCCGCGCCTGGATGTGGGCGACCTCACGCAACAGCAACCATACTTCTGAACGCGTATCAGCAGATGAAAACGCGACCTACGTGAATCATGACTTCATAGTTCTATCGAGTGACGTATCGTATGCTGTCACCGAGGCTCCCAGCCTAGGGTATTCGTCCAAATCGTGTAATATCGATGTGAGATAATTTGTCGCCGTCTCGCCCTCAGCAGAGCTACGACTCGTCTGTACCGTCTTCCGAACGCCGTTGCTTCCATCTCTTGTCCTGGTCGGCAAACTGAATGTGTTTAAGAGACTCAGCCGCCGAGGACTCCTGCGCAGAAGCATCCTAGTTCTCGCGCGCAGTCTCGATTTCGGCATATTCGGCCCAACACCCATTCACGGCTTTCTTCCAGGTGCGGATGGAGGCGTCGTCCCCTGTGGACACAAGCAGATCACCTATTCATCTATTAAGGGGCTGTTTAAAGTGTGACTGGTTAACACTTACCCATCTGTGAGAATGCCACTCGCCAAACTGCACCGTGGTGATCCTTCAGCTCTTCGGCGAGCTTCGCCATCTGCGTGATCCGCCCTGGGTTCTGCTCGTTCTCGCGTTGGTTGTCGGGTGCCTTCGATGCGCCAGCCAGCACAGCTCCTATGCCGGAAGGGGCGTTCCTGCGAGTGTCTGTACGAAGCGATTCTGCAGATGTGAAGGATGCAGCAGCTGCGGATGACCCCGCGGTCGCATCTTTGCCTGAGCTGGGCGTGGAAATTTCATAGATGCGGATAGCGCCGTCCTTACTCGCTGTCGCAAGGATGTCATATCCGCGCATAGATCCGTTAGCCCAAGCCAAGTCGCGGATGATGTCTGTGGAGCCTTCCAGCTTTGCGACCTGGAAGAAGCGTTTGGCCTTATCGGTCCTAAAGATCAAAACGTCCTTCATAGCAGCAACAGCAAGCGACAGCGACTTGCGATCCAAGCCAGCCATGATTGCGGTCCAGCATGGCAGCTTCTCCTTGTGGAACACAACCTTGAAGCCTACTTCGTCCTGGCGGTCGGGAGGGTTATCTTCGGAGACAGAGCGCTCTGCCAGTATGGTCCATTCGTTCAGACTACTCTGGTCTGATGGCTCGTAGACCGTCAGCCGCCCATCACGAGTTATCAAAGCAAGCCATGTCTCTTGCATGATGTTTTTGAAGTCGAGAGACATGAAAGGAGCGTGACCGGTCGAGACCAGATTGGCAATCAGCTTGAACCGATTGCCTGACAGCGGGACTTCTGTAGCATCTTCTTGCCAGAGTTTGCAGCGTCCATCTTCGCCAATACTCCCCACAACCTCGCCCATAAAGGGTCCGTTCCACTTGGCCTGCAGCGTGTCAGCAGGGTCGTGAAAATTCGTAGCGAGAATACACAAGCAAGGTTGATTCCAGAACGAACTTGCGCAAAAACCCCGAACATTCATGTCACACACTGTTGTACGATGTACTTACATCGGTGATCTCAGCATCGTGCGCTTTCCAGCTCTCGACAAGCGACCAGGATTCGTCCTTCTTGTCCCATACCTTGAGGCGATGGTCTGAGCTCGCAGTGACCATGCGCGTACCGAAGTAGTTGAAATCAATAGCAAGCACGAGATCCTGGTGGCCATGCGAGAAGGTCGTGAAGTTGCGCTCCGAGGCCATCTTCGCGTACGCGTGGCGCGCTCCAACGAAACCCTCTTGCAGGTGTTGGATGACGCGCTTATCGACGCGTTGTGAAGTTCCGTCAGCGCAGGGCTCCTGGATCAACGGGGCGATAAGATCAGCCTGTTCAAGCGCATCGTCAATGGTCACGGCTTCGTTGAGATGAGATTGACGATGGCTGACCAGCGGGCCAGAGTGCAACCGTGCTTCGTCGCGTGTGGGGCTCAGGGACGCATCGCTCGCAGCCTGCGATGGCAGTCGCGACGGGGTGATGCTGGAGAGAAAAGCTGGACGTGTAAGGCGACGTATCACAGCCTCCAAGAGCTGAACAGTATCGGATCGTGAATGCGACGCTGGGGCGTTGAGGTCCATGGAGGCTGCGTGTCTCGAATGAGCCTTCTCTCGTTTGGGGCTAGAGCAAGGAACCAGCCACGACTCTTGAACGTGGCCTTTCAACACCACAAAGACTCCAAGTTCTCGGGTCTTAAACAACACGCGCAATTTGTCGCTCGCCGCTCCTTCCTTTGTTGCCCCTGCTTCTCCCCGCATTCTTAGGGCCCTGGGCCGCTGTCGATCGTCAAAATTTATGCACGTTACTGCGGCACCCTGCACGGCTGTTTAAAAGCAAAGGGGAGCTTTCCAGCTTACTGACTGCAGTCGCACCGTTGTTGAGCTGGGCTTTACCGCATTCGTGTATATTCACGTTCACCTCAGCGGGTGCTGCGGACAGTGGCCCTCGAACAACTTTCTCATCCGGAGCCTAGCCTCCCCCTCGCCAATCTCGACCAAGAGTCTGGAACAAGATGTCGACATCAACGGCGCTGACTACAACTGAGACCATCTCACTTGCAGCGGTGTCATGGGCGAGCATCACGGTCTTGGCGAACACCTTCCGAGGCGAGGGTGAACCACTCATTGCGTCGATAGCATTCAGTGCGCTCGCGTTTGTGGCAAGCTATGCACTGATACGATGGCTTGGAGATGCTTTCATGCGCCGGGGATTCAAAGGGAGAGACCTTTGCAAGGTCAAGAAGAACGAGATGTGAGTGCATCAAGGCGTGTCTCGAATGCTATGAAGCTAACCATCGCAGCCCTGAGATGATGGGTGCAGTGTGCGCCATGGTGTACCTCTTCATCGTGATCTTCTTCATTCCTTGGCCGTTCTACAAGGACATCGTTGTAGCAACATCAGGCGGAGGCAACCGTGACGTTATCAAGGAGCTAGAGGAGGTTGAGACAGGACGACTCCTTCACAAGTTCCCCCACAACAAGCTTGCGTCGTTCCTCGGAGCCATCCTCTCGTTGCAATGCATCGTCCTGCTTGGTGTTGGCGATGATCTGTTCGACATCAGATGGCGTCACAAGGTCCTCATTCCGGCTGTCGCTTCTATCCCCATGCTCGTTGTCTACTTTGTGGACTTTGGCGTTACGCAGATGGTCGTCCCGCTTCCTCTGCGCCCGTATCTAGGCGAGTTGTTTGATCTTGGTAAGCTCTATAGTCCTTTGCATCGTTGTCGTGTGGCGCTGACCCAGCCCAGGGTGGGTCTACTACATCTACATGGCACTGTTGTCCATTTTTTCCTCGAACAGTATCAACATTCTCGCAGGCATCAACGGTATCGAAGTCGCTCAGTCGATTGTGATAGCTGTGCTGATAGCCGGTAACGACATGCTCTATTTGTCGCCCTTCACCAGTTACCCGCACCCGGCAACAGACTCGCATCTCTTCTCACTGTACTTCTTGCTACCGTTCATTGGAGTATCGTGCGCACTGCTGAAGCACAACTGGTATCCTGCAAAGGTATTCGTGGGCGACACTTACTGCTATTTTGCCGGCATGGTTTTTGCAGTAGTTGCGATTCTGGGCCACTTCAGCAAGACGCTGATCCTGTTGCTGCTGCCGCAAGCGTTCAACTTTGTGTATTCGGCTCCTCAGCTGTTCCACATCATACCGTGTCCCCGACATCGGCTTCCTCACTTCAATGCACGGACAGGCCTGCTAGAGCCATCGCGCGTACATTTCCAACGCCCTCTTCGACGACCGATAGCGGAGAGCCTCAAGGTGCTGCACCGGCTTCGGCTGCTTGATCTAGAGGTCGATGAGAAGGGGCAGGTGCTCTCGTCGTCCAACTTCACGCTAATCAATCTGTGGTTGGTGTGGTTCGGCCCCATGCGGGAGGATCGGCTGGCGCTGGGGTTATTGGCATTTCAGTTCGCAGTCGGAGCGTTGGGGCTGTTTGTACGACATCGCATGGCGCTGCTCATCTTCACAGCGGACAACTGGTAGAAGCGCAGCATCTGCACGGCTGCATGGCGTTAGGTTCTGCACTGCTGGTGGAGGGTTAGAGGATCGTTCGCCGTCTTTGTACACGACAATCGAATCCACCTCTTAACACCACACGAACCACGGATCTGTATCACGGATGAGCTCGGCAGCTGCGCATGCGAGCGGTGAGATGCACAGGCGGGCGAATCGGAGGCTCGATGGAATAATCGCTGACTGGTGAGGCGGTGCCGTGGTGCACGCAAAGCTGCCCCGCTGCGGGGCTCTTGCCAGACAGACGCGCAGGAACATCGTCATTGCACGCGGGAATAGGCACGAAGGTCCTTTGGCGCAACAGCAAGTTTTCTGCAGAAGGACAACTCGCGGCGGGAGGCGCTCAGCCTCGGCCTAGGTATGCACAAGCTGCAGCAATCAGGGCCAAATGTCGTCGCTTGGACATTCGCTCATCTGCCGAGAACGGACCGCAGCAGGCATCAAGGCATCAATCAGCGGCGCTCTGATTCGACATTCGGCCTGGCCGCCCTGCCTCCGGCATCGGCGGGACATTTCTGAACCCTACTTTTGCCATCAGAGCTATTTGAATGTCGCGATCTGCGCCTTTAATAGCCCAGACATTCCCTTTGCTGGTACCTCGCACACTTCCACCGAGGCCTCAGCGTATTTCTGCACCCTCAGCCCCTAATTGCCTCCCAGACAGCCGCAAAGCGCACATATCCGCCATGCCGTCTGCCGTGAAACCCCCGCAGACCCTGTACGACAAGGTGTTCGAGGACCACATTGTCGAGGAGAAGGCGGATGGCACAGTTCTGCTCTACATCGGTATGTCGCGTGTGTTTGTTCCCGAGGGCGGAAGTGGCTGACAGCTTGCAGACAGACATCTGGTCCACGAAGTGACATCACCAGTAAGGTCACCATCGGAATCGTACGGCACACAGCTGGCATCCGAACACGCACCACACAGGACACCAGCTAACAACGGCCGCAGCAAGCTTTCGAGGGCCTCCGCAATGCCGACCGCAAAGTACGGCGACCGGACTGCACGCTTGCCACAGTCGACCACGTACGCTGCTGCCCACTGAGTGTACCCGCGTGTAGCCGATGGCTAACACGTCCCAGAACATCCCGACCATCTCGCGGAAGAACCTCACAACCACGGAGAAATTCATCGATGAGGCCGACTCGCGGACGCAGGTCATGACGCTCGAGGACAATGTCAAGGCATTCGACCTCACGTACTTTGGCATGGGCGACAAGCGACAGGGCATCGTCCACATCATCGGTCCGGAGCAGGGCTTCACGCTCCCCGGCACAACCGTCGTCTGTGGCGACAGCCACACGTCGACACACGGCGCATTCGGCGCCCTCGCGTTCGGCATCGGCACCAGTGAGGTCGAGCACGTCCTGGCCACGCAGACGCTCCTCACAAAACGCAGCAAGAACATGAAGGTCCAGGTCGACGGCGAACTGGCGCCCGGCGTCAGCAGCAAGGACATCATCCTGCACGTCATCGGCATCATCGGTACCGCAGGCGGCACAGGAGCAGTCATCGAGTTCTGCGGCTCGGCCATCCGCAGCCTCAGCATGGAGGCCCGCATGTCCATCTGCAACATGTCCATCGAGGGTGGCGCACGAGCGGGAATGGTCGCGCCCGACCAGACCACCATCGACTACTTGAAGGGACGCCCGCTGGCACCCCAGGTCGATAGCCCAGAGTGGAAGAAGGCCTGCAGCTACTGGCTGAGCCTCAAGTCGGACGAGGACGCCAAGTTCGACCACGAGATCTACATCGACTCCAAGGATATCGCCCCGACCGTCTCGTGGGGCACATCGCCGCAGGACGTTGTCCCCATCACCGGCAAGGTCCCCGGCCCCGAGGACTTTGACGACGAGGTCAAGAAGGAGGCCTGCAAGCGCGCCCTGAAGTACATGGGCCTGACTGCCGGCACGCCCATGCAAGATGTCCAGGTCGACAAGGTCTTCATCGGCTCTTGCACAAACGCCCGCATCGAGGACCTGCGCGCGGCCGCAAGCGTCGTCGAGGGCAAGAAGGTCGCCTCGAACATTAAGCACGCCATGATCGTCCCCGGCTCCGGTCTCGTCAAGCGGAAAGCCGAGCAGGAGGGTCTCGACAAGATCTTCATCGAAGCCGGCTTCGACTGGAGAGAAGCCGGCTGCTCCATGTGCCTGGGCATGAACCCCGACATTCTCGCCCCCGGCGAGCGCTGCGCATCGACATCGAACCGCAACTTCGAAGGCCGACAGGGCGCTGGCGGCCGCACCCACTTGATGTCCCCCGTCATGGCCGCCGCCGCCGCCATCGTCGGCAACCTTGCTGACGTCCGCAAGCTCGCGCCCTCGACGTCCTCGGCCGCAAAAGGCTCCCCCAAGGTCGAGGTCGCACATGTGCACGACGCCGAGTCGGACGAGGACCTCGACAGGATCATGGACCTGCCCGAGCAGAACCAAGCCACGCACTCGGAAAAGACGAGCACCAAGGGCGCCAGCGTGGGCATGCCCAAGTTCGAAACCCTCCGCGGCTACGCGGCGCCCATGGACATTGCCAACATCGACACCGACGCCATCATCCCCAAGCAGTTCCTCAAGACCATCAAGCGCTCTGGGCTCGGCACCGCGCTGTTCCACGCCTGGCGCTACGAGGCGGGCAGCGACAAGGAAGACACATCGTTTGTGCTGAACCAGGAGCCGTACCGCCAGGCCAAGATCCTCGTCTGCACCGGCCCCAACTTTGGCTGCGGCTCCAGCCGCGAGCACGCGCCCTGGGCCCTCCTCGACTTCGGCATCAAGTGCATCATCGCGCCCTCGTTCGGCGACATCTTCTTCAACAACACGTTCAAAAACGGCATGCTGCCGCTGCGCATCACGGACGCCGCGCGCCTCGCCGCCATCGCCGCAGAGGCCAAGGCCGGCCGCCAGATCGAAGTCGACCTCGTCAACCAGGTCATCCGCGCCGCGGACGGCACGGAGCTGAGCACCTTTGACGTCGAGGAGTTCCGCAAGCACTGCCTCGTCAACGGGCTGGATGACATTGGCCTCACCATGGCGAGCGAGGACGCGATCCAGAGACACGAGGCGAAGCGCTCGAGCGTCTGGCCGTGGCTCGATGGCTCGGGCTATCTGGCCAGGCATGGCAAGGGCCCCGTGCGGGTCGAGGCTGCAAAGCTGCCGAGGACGAATCGTGGGGAGGCGCTGAACGAGCCGCTGGACTGGTAGGGGGGTTGTGTGGCCGACCGACGGCTGGAAAAGAGACGGCTGGAAAAGTGCCGAGCTTATCTAATGGGTTTAATTTCTTTGCTGTTCAGACACGGTTATGCATCTACGAACGCGGAATGCGAGTTCATGACTTCAAATCACACGCACACTTCTTGCCATGTCCGCTAACGCCGGTTTGCGAGGTATGCCATGCGTGCTATCCGCTCATCAATGCCAACGCCCAACGCCCAACGCCCAACGCGATATGCTCCACCCAGCGCCGTGCACTACCTCGACGGCTGCTGCCCCGCCAGCCCCGGTCCCTCCCTCGTCCACGCCTGGCGGCGCATCCCCTCCTCGATGCGCCCCCAGATGCGCTCGACGACCTCCCTGTCGCGCCACCGCCCCTTCTCGCTACCCGTCCACTTGTCGACCTTTGCGCTCAGGACGCCGCGCCCGAGGTCCTGGATGCCCTGCGGCGTGTCCTCGCCCTGCCACCCAACGTAGATGCCCGGGTAGTGGCTGAACAGCTCCGCGGGGCTGGGGTACTTGTACGACTTGAACTGCCACGTCTGGCCCGTTGTGAAGACGGCGACGACGCGGGACCAGTACGTCGGCTTGAAGGATGTCGTGCTGTCGACCAGGATGAACGTCAGCGGCTGGCTGCTAATGGACGGCATCAGCCGCCGGATCTGGATCATGTTGGCGCTCGTCGTGTCGGCGGCGTTGGGCGGGACGAATATGCCCTCATCGAGGAAAGATTTGATGTTGCTCGTTCGCAACAGCGACGAGGCCGAGGGCGAGAGGAGGATGATGGGCTGCACCTTCTGGTGCGGCTTCTTGGTGAGGTTCGAGACGAGGGCGGGCTGGGGCGCCGAGGGTTTCGAGTCGCGGGCGCGGAAGAAGGCTGCGGCGGTCTTGCGGTAGGGGGAGAAGTCCTGGGGGTGTGTTAGCTCGGCTCTCCGGCGCGGTGTTGGCGGGCTTACGACGGGCTTGTGGCCGCGCAGGACCGTGTTGTGGTCGCCCATGTTGCGCTCGCCGTCGTAGATCTGCAGCAGGCGCGCGTCGACCATGCCGCCTTGTGTGCTCTTCATGTTGCGGTCCACCGGCACACCCTTGCCGCCTGCAATCGCCGCCGCATCGCCGGCTGCTGCTGTCGCGGCGCCGTTGTCGATTGGCGCAATGCTGTCGCTGCTCTCCGTCTCCCCGCTCAGCCACGCCATCAGCTCAATCTTCTGCGCAAACGTCACGTTCTGCACGCTTCCGCCGGCGCCGCTCGGCAGCTCTTCGTTCAGCGCCGCCACCGCCGCCACGTAGTCAGTGACCGAGGCATCTTTGTTCACCCACGCGAAGTAGCAGCTCCGCACGTCGACGGGCTTGCCGTCTGGCGCAAAGCGCGTGGCTGATGTGAGGTCGAAGGTCCGGTGCGCGTCGTCGACATTGAATGTGATGTGTGTTGCTCGCGCCAGGTCGTCCGTGTAGTCGGCGGGCACGGGTTCCGCGCTGGTGCTCAGGATCGGTGTCGCTGAGGCTTTGATGGACAGGCGCAGGTTGTAGAGCGGGTCGTCAACCTCGGACTGCGCTGCTTGTGCCATGGCGGGCGTCGCCGTATGAAGGTGAGGGGCTGGGGTGACTGAGAAAGATGGTCGATGTCACGTGAAACAATTGCAAGAATTGGTGACGTTAGCTGTGGTGATGCGTGAAGCTCAACTTTTAGAAGCCGCCAAGTCGCGCAGCTGCCCTGCCAAGACCGGGGGTGAACACTCGCTTGTCGCCTTCACTCTACAACCCTGCAAGCACTATGTACTGAGACCCTGTGCAACATAACACCGTCCAGCTTGGATGATGGTGAGGGGTTCGGACACAACATAAGCCATTCGTCACACCTCTACTGCCATCATTCTGAACAAAGCAAGACAACTCTCTTCTGAGCAATATGATTAGTAAAATATTATATGTTCGAACTGACACACGATGCAATCTGAATCTTGGGCTTCCACCGTGTTGTGCAAAGTCGCTGCGATGATACCTAACCCTGTCACAGAATCTCGGTACATTGGGAACTACCAGCATACATGGAGTCCAATCGAGCGCAAACGGCAATCTGATGGCTGTGGAGATACTAATGGAGATGATGTCTGCCGCCTTGGAGATTTTAACCGCTATCAAAGGCTTGCATGGTGGCTACAACGCCGCCGTATTGCTTTGTGTATGAATCGTTGAAAACAATTCACTGAAATAACGGTCACTGAAATCACAGAACACGGCCAGTCTCAGTGCCAGAGACCCAAGTCTTCCAGCATAAAAGCCCGCGAATCCTAACCCAATCCCCAAGCTATCTGCTCTCAGCGACTGCGTTCTTCGCAAGACGTATCAACTGCTTCCTTCCTCCAGCCACGATGAGGCTCTCCCTTTGTACCGTCATCGCGGCTGTTGTGGCCTCCGTCGCCTCCCAGGATGCTCCCAATATTCTGATCTATGGTTTGGCCGACAGCGTTGAAGACCGAGCCGCGAAAGAGCTTGGCTACAATACGACCATCGTCGGGGATGCGGACTGGGGTAACATGACTACCCTCGACTTCGCAGGCTACGACGCCATCGTGGTGCCGGACCTCAACACAGACTCCTTGACCAGTCTCGACTTCCTCGAGAAGTCGAAAGACGTTTGGAGTCCCGCTATCACTGGAAACATCATTGTCATTGGTAAGCTGGTGCAAAGATTCAACACCACACATCAATCGACTGACAGACTCAGGTGGCGATCCAGTCAATCACATCAGCAACGTTGGGGCAGGAATTCTGATTAGTAACGCTGTCCGCTTTGCTGCTACCGGTCGCTCATCTCCAAGCACAACGGGCTTCTATCTCGTGCTCTCACGCATCTACAACAACGTGGACAACGCCACCGTCGACGTCGTATGCTGCATACCCCCACGTCTCGAATCAAACCACTAACATCCCATAGCTCAGCCGCTTCGGCGACTTCATCATCCGTGGTAATCTCGACTGCTACGACAAAGCCCACCTCGTCGCCTCCAGCCCCGCGTTAGACTCGCTCAACGATACAGCACTGTCTAATTGGGCCTGCAGCGTGCACGAAGCCTTCGCCTCCTACCCCACCACCGGCCGGATCGACTTCCAAGCGCTCGCCATCGCCCAGGACGTGCTCGTCGACGGCTCACAGGAGTTCGGCGACGGCTCGGTCGGGCTGCCGTACATCATCTCGCACGGTGCTACGCCGGCGGCCTGTGGTGATGGGCAGTGGGATGAGTTGTATGGCGAGGAGTGTGATGATGGTAACGCGAGTAATGGGGATGGGTGTTCGTCTAGTTGCAAGTGTGAGAGTGGAATGCCGAATGGTGACGGGACTTGTGAGGAGCCGCCGTCGAGCAGTGGGTATGGGCCTCCGCCGTCGTGTCCGAAGGAGACACATCGACCTGCGGGTGGCTATGGACCCGCGTCCAATGCATCCTAGTAATACTATATAGTGCTCCACGGGCCCCTTTGTGTGTTCACATAGCCGCAGATAGACACGCATGTCCGTAGCTCAAAGACATGATCCTCGTAGACTGACAGGGCCTCTTCTGCAGAGAAGGTTTGGCGCACACACTTCCTCTGAGTGCCTGTCTGAATCGCACGTCTCACTAGCCCAGTCACACCAGTTTACCTTCACGCTTCAATCTCGCATCGCCTTCTGCCGTCCGGTCTCACTACGGACAAGCAGACAAAATACTGGCACCAAGCGTGTATGAGTACTTGAATTTTGACAGTCCAGGATTGCAACGGGCAGGTGGCAGCATGAGGCTGCACCCCAGGCGTCAGGATAAGTCTCTCGAGGCAAACGCCACTCACGAAGCTGCGCCTTGATCACTCGTGGTCTACAGCGGAGCTGAAGTGCAGCTTATTGGCCTGAAGTCACTGGAAAACGGTGCCTAAAGAAGGGTGCATGTTGAAACATGCCCCGTTTCTGGTTGCACCAATATCCCTCCTTCCCAAATGTTAGCAGCTTGACTTCATGGTTCGCTTCGTCGCGATGATACAGCTCCATGACAATCGCACCACCACCTTACCATGATTAGGATAGGAACCAACAGCAGTAATGGGAATCGAGTTGGAGAAATTGATCGCAGCAACGATCTCCCTTATGTCGAGTAGAAACGCAGCAAGTGCTGGTTTCCGATCCTGCAAACCCAAGTTGGCGATTCCTTTGCGCCCATCTCCACTGATATGTTCGCGAGCAGAGTCCAGGAAAAAAGGGAAGCGCACAATCTCCAAGGGCTTCAGCAAGACGTCGATGAAGACTTTGTGTGCTGTTCGGTCGTGGTCGACTACCAATCGCTGATCCTCTGGCACGAGACCCGGAATCCTGTGGACTTTGTCGCGCGCATCTTCACACTCGCGGTCCGTGGGGTGACTGATACAGGGGTATAGACTCTGCAAGCGGTTCCGGGAGGCGTAAAAGCTGACGATGTCGAAATGGACGTTTCTCGCGTCGTCCCTGCAAGGCGAGGAGTGGGTGAAGATAAGGTAACCCCCTGGGCGATTGAAAGCAACGTGTATGACTTGCTCGCTTTCAAGCCATACATTTCCGCACAGCAAGAACGCGGCTGGTGGTACAATCATCTCCTGCACGACCCAAGTTCGACCGAAGTATCTCTTGCGGAGTATCCTTGTCGCACTGTGTACGTAACCTGGCAGCCTGCGCGTCAGCGCTATGATTGGCATCTGCGAAGTCCCGGGCTGAGGAGCCGCGTTCCAAACCAAGCCGTATAACGGCGCTGTTGCATCATCTGTACGTCTTGGACATCAACTGGACCTGGTGGTTGCGCTCTCCCGTGTGGCCTTGCGAGATGCAGATCTGATCAGTCCAGTTATTATGTTGGTCTCTCGCATCGTTGCGGTGAGCTAGAAGAAAGTCGTGTAGATTCTGGCGCGTTTCTGAATGCTCGCCGTCGATTGGGATGAAGTTTGTCTACAGATGCTTACGCTTCGACGTCACTGGTTCGATATCGACACGGTGAGGACCTGGCTTGGCTCTTAGAATGTGAGGAAACATATGGGGATAGTTATCTTGGACATCGAAGACTGTGGGGGGCTACGATTGGGCAGATGCACATACCTGCGTTCTTGGAGGCTATTCTAGAACAGAGGGTTGCAGCTGTCAGATACGTAACACTGCCTGAAGACCTCTAGCACTACAATACGACACATCCCAAAACAAATTGACGTTAGGTTTCAAAGGTCATATGAAGAGCCCGCAAGCCTTGGGAGTCGTTTACTACCAAGGGTGTACGCCATTTTAGTCATATCTCTCCCTGCATCGTCGTCCCTTCCCCCCTTCGCCGACCTTCCTAATGAATCCTCTGCCAGCACTTGAATTCCCTGCACCGATCTTCTTCGCGTACCCTAATTTCACACTGCCTAGTCCTGTCCCCAGAATCCCGGGGCAAGTACCAAAACACTTCACGCCATCGGGGTCTAACTGGTTGGACCAGTGTTCAATATAGCAGATCGGCTCCGACGATGTTGGGGCTTGTCTAAACATTGACTTACTTTCCTTTCCCTTCGAGGCTTTCCGTATCAGCAATCGCACAACATCTCGTTTATTGATTGAACGGACTCAGAGATCGATCTAAAGAATGAAAAGGACTCTCATTACGTTACGTATGCTAATTTTTTCTCGACGCACGGCGCTGGCGCTGCGGAGATCGGATGTGATGAAAACGATACTATATGTAAGATTCGTAGAAAAGAGACGGGTCAGATTTGAATGGCTTATCCAGAAGTCAAGCTCCTCTGCTGCCCGCGACGGGGTTGCTATCGTTGTTAAAATTGCTGATGAACACCACCAGGACCGCACAATACGCAGCAGACGCTGCGAAGAGCTCGTGCCTTTTAGCCTTGGTCAGCAAGGACATAGCTGCTGAGAAAAGCAGTGTGAAAACAACCAACAACCCAACAGCATCGATAGTTGTTTTTCGATTACCGATGCAAGTCAGCTTGTACATCGCGACGACAGGCATGATGAGTAGGACGAAAATGATGAGGGTGATGAAGACACCGACGAGCTTCTCGACCCGTGCTGGGTTGTAATATCGCATCAACGGGTCGTCAGACTTCTCTTTCAGTGCCTCAGTGGTGAAGTACCTCTATGCGAAAATTAGTTACGTCCCATATCGAGCTCAATGTATGGGTTAGTATGCTTACTTCCAGACCAAAGGGAAGTCTCTTGATCCAGGACTCAATCCAACCGTCGAATCCGGCCCATTCCCTACCCTGTCTGAGTGTGACAAGGTCGTCTCTCAGCTTGATCCACGTCGACTCGCGATCAACGAGTGGGGTCTTGCGGTAGTACCACTGTCTCAGGCTTCTATAGTCTCTGTCACTTGGTCGTTGAAATGCATTCAAGTCCCTGGCCTTGGCCATGATCTCATCATATCGTACCAGCTTTTCACGAATCTTATCGAGCAGCGCAGTTCTCTCTGCACCAGATCTTCGACCAGATGCGAGTTTATCTGCGTCTTCTTCGTTATCATCTGCATCGTCGAGCCTCCCAAGCTCCACTTCGAGTTCGTTTATCTCATTTTGCAAACTTAGTATGACACGAGAATGAAGGTAGTTGTATGAGCGGTAGATAGAGAAGCTGGATTCACTTGACAGGAATGCGGCCAGGCGTGGGTACCCTATGGGATAGCGATGTACTGTCAAGGTATCAGTGATGCGCGACCAAGATGATGACCGATGCAAAATACCAGGTATTGATGTTGTCAAGGACGTTTCGTATTTTACTACTGCCGGATCTTCATACTCTTCGAGATTTTCGGTCTCATTGACGGGAGCGGGCTCGATCTTCTCGGAACCTAAGCGTGTTAGCTACGTTCTCCGATCGAAGTGTATGAACGTACATTGTACGTTTGAGTCCACTGCCGTACTTCTCCGACTATCAAATCCGAGTGTATTATCTGAATTAGTAGAATCCGTTGGGCTTCGAGGAACACCCTGCTCCGGGTCGACCTCTTTGCCTTTTGAGAACCACCTGCACCACAGATTTTGCATGATGAAGAGAGAATGGTCAATAACACATGTATGATTGATGAGTTGCAAAGTCGTGTTTGACATCCTAGACATTCAGGAGCAGAGCGATGACCTTATGCCATAACCAAGCGTCTTGCTTCAAGGTCTCCAATCGGTGGGGTGGGCGATGCACACAAGGCTGAGCGGCAATGGAGCGGCGCTGACAAGGACTTGCATGAAAACCGGTGAGAGGCTGAGCCCACTCAAGCTGGAAAGATGTCTATCTCGGGAAAGTACTTGTCCCCTGAATATTGCGCCCCATCCTTCTTACAGTTCAGCTGATACTGCCAGAACTTTCCCGGGTTTCGCTGCGGCTCCCCACGAATCTTGAAGCGAACCCAAGACTTCTGGCCCTTTGCGTCAGTTACTTCCATCTGTACCTCGGCATCCTTCCTATGTTCAGCTGGTGGCTGGGTGTTTTATCAGCGACGGTATAGAATAAATGGCTTTAATTCCTACTATTCCCCTTCGCGAGCCATGGCCGACCATGCCTGACTTCTCTGCGTCGCCATAATCATAAGTCTGTTCATAGCTACACATCAGTCGTATTTCACATCCAAAGGGCTTCATTGTCGCCTACCTTTCCCTCCGTCGAGTGCTCAGATTCGTGGTCCATACTGTATGCCGTACTAATGATCACAGACTAGTGCGTAGAGTGCTGTTGACGTATCAAGGCTATGGGAAATGGTAGTCCGGTAGACAATAAGGCTGAAGGCAGACTCGGTTTTCCAGAAGATGCAGATTCCGCCGTGCGCCCTTTATCGACTTTAGGATGCACGCAGCTCCATTGTACAGAACCTTCAGCCTCATCTTATCGCCCCACCCGTTTGCCTGGTGAGTTCGAGGGTGCTTGGGCATGGTGGGTCAAGTAAAGATTTGGTTGGTTGCACGTTCACGGATTGGGAACCATGGAGCTCTCTGAGGTGTGGGGGCCGTTCACGCGGGGTCATGACATGGCAGGCAACAAGGCAGGATTCAATATAGCGTGCAGCGCTTAGTGCAGCCATCCCCCATCCTCAGGCATAGCCTCCACCTGGAGGTCCTCCTTCGTTGAGCTGACAGCATCATGGGTGGAACACTCTACAGATAAGCAGCAAGGCTACGCTTGCAATGATTGTCCAACTGTGTTCGGCCACGATGATGGGTACACAACAGCCTCACCACGAAATTGTGCCTTTCACAGCGACGGGCGAAGCTCACCTTGGCGTACTCACTGGAGTCGACCTCGCCCCGAGTCTTTGTCGCGACGAGTCGTGCGCAATCTCCCCGACCGATGATGAGAAGAAGGAGGAAACGCAGAGACAAGCTTGGTTTGAGAATGCGGTCAAAAAGAAACTGAATATCCCAAATAGCTACGTCCAGGTAGCCCCGTTGATCATCAGGTGGGCTCCAGAGATCGATGACTACGATGACGGCCACACGAGCGAGGTAATTGATCTTTCCTAATATTCAGCTAGAGGTTGATTTCGACGCGACGTCCTCTTTGTCCAATTTTTGACAAGTCTTAGATTGCGCAGCTCAAGACAGTCTTCAACCGCTTCGGTTTCTCGAAAAGCACGGAAGTCCGCCTCGACGCCAATATGCCGCAGCACACCCTCAATGCCGCTATCATGAACCACATCGCTCAAAATGACGGACCGAATAAGCTCATCATCATATACTATACCGGACATGGTATCCTGAGCGAGGACGACTATCTGCAATTCGCCGCGTAAGTCTTCAGCCCAGCTTTGATATATTCTCCTGACCGTGGTGCAGAGAAGACGATCTGAATGGAAAGGCCACCGCATACTGGTACAAGGCCGAGGTACCACTTCTCGACAGCGAAGTCATGAGAGCTGACGTGCTTGCAATTTTCGACTGTTGCTATGCCAGTAACGTGAAGGGTTGCCAAGATAGCCGCAGACTTTATGATCTACTTGCTGCGTGCCCTGAAGGTAAACCAGCAAAAGCTCCCGGTAAAGATTCATTCTCACAACGACTGATCGATACTTTGAACGAGATGTTGGACGAAGAACCCGATCAGCGTATTTTGACGACTAGGATCATGGATGAGATGAATAAAGAATGCCGCTTCCCTGTGAAGCTGCACGACAGGCTTCACAAGGGCAAAAGCAACGGTCGTCACGTACAACTGGTGCGGATCAATGACGGATCCAAGAAGAAGACCCAGAACGCGGCCAAGAATTTCAAAGGAAAAGCACGTGAGGAAGCTCGAGTGACCTTGCGGTTCTCCTTGTACGCAGCAGACTTGTCGCAAGGACAGATCGAAAAATGGGCCGAGCAACTGGTACCTGCCAGTAATAATAGCAAGGCAAACATCCCGCTGCGCCAAATCGAGTGGGTGAGAATGGAGAAGAGTCCAGGCGGTCGTTGGAGAGACGCTATCGACACTGTCATGAAGAATCGTCCCGCTCAACGATTCCGAGATACCGTACATACAGCGCTCGAGAATACGGCCATCCAGTCATCTCGGCCGGATACACGGAAACGAGCTCAACAGCATCCGGCGTCTTCAGGAGCCAAGCGTCAAGCCCAAGGACTCCATCTGACATCTGTGAGTAGATCCAGCCCAAGGTTTATGACACCGGAAAGCAGCACCGCAGGCCCGTGATCTTGCATATGATGCTGCGAATTCGAATGTCCTGCTTTGATGTCCTGAGAAGTGTCGAAGATTATGTCCGGGCATTGCGAGCAGGGTTCCGGTCAGCGCCTTCCTTCTGTACTGTAATTATGTTCCGTTTTATACCCAGATAATGTATGTCGATGTTCTCCAAGGAGGGCAACTCGATGAAAAGGCTGAAATCTTCCGTGACGGTCAGGCGCGCTCAGCGCTGACACAACGCGTGACCGTGATCTATGACGGCATCAAGCTAACTTGATTGGAACAGCTCGCTATCTAATCGCCGCATCGCTGCGGCAACTCCACTGGTACCCTCGTGACAACAGCATCCATTCATTCTTCACCTCCATCCACTAGCAACCATGAAGTCTTCAGTATTGTTGTCTCTGTCCGCTGTTGCGCTCGCTGCAGCAGCTGCTACCCCAAAAGAGCCCCAAGTCGTCTTCCAGAACCCTCAAGTGACGATTGATGAGCCAGACCAGTACCTGATTGAGCTGTCTCCTGGCGAGACACGGTGGGTGACTGAGGATGAGAAGTGGACTTTACGCCGTGTACGTAATCCATCCCGAAAGCAGGAGCCTGTTATAGAATCACAAGACATGCTGACAGCCACAGCAAAACATCAATTTCTTTGACATCACGAACGCCGATGACCTTAACATTCTCAGCGAGGAGATTGCCGCGAAGAAGGTCACGTATCCCTCGAAGCCGGCGTACAACAAGACCGTAGTCCCTCTGCTGAAGGAGCTTGAGAAGGACAACATGCGCACACACCTCGAAACGTTCACAGCGTTCCACACTCGATACTACAAGTCGCAATATGGCGCACAGTCGTCAGCATGGTTGCTGAAGCAGGTGGATGGCACGTTGAGGGATGCCGGTGCCAAGCATGCCTCCGTGAAGGCGTTCCCTCACCCATGGGGCCAGGCCAGCATCATTGCCACTATTCCCGGCAAGAGCAACAAGACTGTAGTGATCGGAGCACACCAGGACAGCATCAATCTGTTCCTCCCCTCGATCCTAGCTGCACCCGGCGCGGATGATGACGGCAGCGGCACCGTCACGATCTTGGAGGCACTGCGCGTGTTGCTCAAGTCAGAGGATATTCTCAAGGGTGAGGCAGAGAATACGGTCGAATTTCATTGGTACTCCGCCGAGGAAGGCGGCCTTCTGGGAAGTCAAGCTATTTTCCAGTCATACCAAAAGGAGCGCCGGGATGTCAAGGCTATGCTGCAGCAAGACATGACCGGCTATGTTCAGAAGACACTTGACAACGGCGAGCCCGAGTCTGTGGGGGTTATTACCGATTTTGTCGACCCTGGTCTTACCGAATTCATCAAGGAGATCATCACCGAGTACTGCGACATTCCCTACATCCTGACCAAGTGTGGCTACGCTTGCTCGGACCACGCCAGCGCGTCCAAAGCCGGCTACCCATCAGCTTTTGTCATTGAGTCTGACTTCAAGTACTCTGACAACAAGATCCACACGACCGAGGATAAGATCGAGTACTTGAGCTTCGATCACATGCTCCAGCACGCAAAGCTGACCCTTGGTCTTGCGTACGAGCTTGCGTTTGCCGAGTTCAAGTAGATTGTAGGACAATAAATAGTGGCTTGAATTAATATAAAGTATTGTAAAAACATTAAGGGTGTTATGCACCATGGATGTAGCTCCTGCCTCATTCCGCTGCGCTATTAAAGCACGCGAGGCGCGTGTCGATGACGTGACACATCCCTCGGCCTATTGCATTCGCAGCCTTGCGCTTCGATATCATCGCTCAACTGTACACACATAAATAAACTCATGCCAACGACAAGAGATCAGAGGCGAGACAAGGAAATGGAAGCTGCCCTCATCACGTTCTTCTTATCGCCACGCTTCGCCGTGGCAGGTGCATCTTCTGACCCCTCCAAATTTGGTCACAGAGGTATGTAGCAGCGACACAACAACACTCACCGTTCCTCGACTCCCTTCGAGGTATGTTGACATGCACTGACAGACCAATAGTGTTTGCATGGTACCTTCAGCACTCCCTCCCCGTCACACCCATCAATCCGCGCTCCCCCACCATCTCCGTCCTCAAGCGCGACCACACCACCGTCCCATCGCCGACCGCTCTGTCCGACCCTCCAGCCTCGGATTACTCTCTGTCTGTGATCACGCCGCCAGCTGTCACCAAGCAGCTGCTGAAGGAGGCTAAGGAGGCTGGTGTGCCTGCCGTCTGGCTGCAGCCCGGCAGCTTTGACGGTGATGTGCTTGAGTATGCACAAAAAAGCTTCAAGGCTGTTATCGCCGGCGATGGAGGCAGAGGAGGTGAGGGGTGGTGTGTGCTTGTTGATGGAGAGGCGGGGCTGAAGGCTGCGGGGAGGGAATGGTCGAGGCTATAAATCAGGACATCCTTCAATACTCTGACAACGTCCAGGCCAAGCTGTCAAACCCGGTTGACATAGAGTAATTATGGTCGCATAGAATGTTCGTTGTTGTCTTTGCTGCACGCTTTCAGGTAAATGTCTGTAGCTCTACAGGACCCGGGAGGCCTCCAGGTATCCAGAAAATCTGCTGCGATGGCCAAATGTTTCAGGTTTCTGGAACGACTGTCGTAGGCGAGTCTGGAACACCCGTAACTGCTCATTACAACTCTTCAGCCACTGAGTGGAGCACAGTGAGCACCAATGTAATTCCACCTTAGTCATCTGTCCTCTTGAGGGCTCTCTTTCTCTTTACTCCCCAGGACGTATCAGCAATACCTCCTGTTGTCTTCGAATAGGATGAGGCGTCCTCGGGCTTACGAATGTGTTCATCATGCAGCCAGCACAGACCCGATTGACTGAGAGGATTTCCCTCAGCCCTAGATTCTCCTCCCGCGATCGACGCCAAGAACACTTGACCGTACAGCCGCACGCCTTCTCATGCGGTAGCTCAAGCCGGAACTTGGGGGCTTAGTATCGTGAGCCGATAGGGCAACCGCTCTAGAGACTCAGCCACGACGCTTTGGCTCAGTAGATATACTCAGTCGACACACGAGCCACAGCGCCGGACACGATGAAGTCCGTATGTCATGATTCCCAAGATTCCTCTCCCAAGATTCCCCCAGCTGGCTCTGGTGTAAAGTCACAATTGCTATGTCAGCCTTGTTTAATTCTGGTACCGGTATTATCGCAACAAGCACCGAGATCCCTCAACTCAGCGCTTGCAATAGGGCGTACTACTAACAGTATCTGCAGCGTAATACAGCTTGTATAAGTAGTTGGTGATTAGTATAGGAGTGAGCTATACTATAGTCACGTTCGCAGCTTCGCACTGTAATACAATACAACCTCAGTTCAATCCCTTAATTTTCCGCACATGCGTACTGTTCACTCATCGCGACACTACCTTACATGCATAGAAGTCCACATCATCACGTACATATCGACCTAACCACAAACAAGTCTGATTTTCCATGTCCGTTGTACATTCCTAATATGTGTAATTACTGAGTCGGCTACGAGTGTCCTGCAGCCCTGTAGTCCGGACAGAAATCGTTGACGACTTTGTCAGTCATGGAGTAGTTTTATGGAGGGTTGGCACAATTGGGACCTTTCGGCTTCTCCTGACAGTCCTATAACGTTACTTCTTCGGTTCCCTCCACCGTATGACTGCACTTGCGGTATTTCGTGTCTGACCAATAGGACGCCACGAATCGGACCCGATTCGTGGTAGACTAAGCATAGCGTTAGGGTTTACCCTTCCTAGATAGTAGACAGGAAGATCATGGGACCAAGCTGCGGGCCCAATTTGTTTAAGACTGAGCATTCTACACAGTAAGTTTTACATATAAATAATCTGAGCATGTAAAAGTAAGGTCAAGTTACACAGTTGCATAAGCTTGCCGTGTAAGGTGCCGGACTGAAGACAGCAGAAGGGCAAGGTTGAACGGAGTGAATTCGATAGAAAGCTATCCGAGACAGAAGGGCAGGCTACTTAAATGGACAGGCAGCTGCCTCCTGGAATGTTCTAAATACATTGCGTAACGCGTCAGATGGTAGTCTTCTCATGCACTTCACTTTCCTGGCTCTCTAGGAAACAAGTTGCGCGATGTAAGCAACGCGTGCTTGTAATTTCTTGAGGAATGTGTCAGAACATTCCCATCTTTCACTCTTCCGTTCCACTTTGTACTTGTACCCGAAAGACATGTGTTCAGAGGTGTATAGTCCGACGCGGCCATAGCAGAACTCGAGCTTGCCACAATACTCATGTACTGGGCTGAATGCAGCTTGTATGCACGAGCCCTGGCTCGCACGACTTCCAAGCCAATCTCCAATCGTTTTTGGCAATACCTGGGCATGGCTCGTTGCAAGGTAGTACACCGTATCTAAGCAAGCCAAAGTATGTGAACCTAAAGCCGACTGCTGGGGCGTGTAATCATACATTACCCTGGCTTGTTGTATTGCGCATCCAGCTGGCTGTCGTAAAAGGAGCGCGAAAAGCCGATTCTGCAAGACAGGCACCGAGCCCATAAGGTAACGGCCGTATGGATACATAACAATACTGGGCAATACGTTCAAAGTCCAGTTTGTCATTGTGTTAGGCTCGGTGTGGTAGTCCATCAGAGTGCAGACGATCGTTTCTTGGTGATGAGGTGTTCATGTTTGTGTATGCATTATCGTGTTCAGACACACATCTAACAGCGTGTCGCCTCTACAATTCGCTACCATAGAGCTTGCTCCATTTAGCAAGAGTGTTCTTGCTGCTTCTGCTCGCCCACGCTCGATGGCGCAATGAAGTGACGTCAAGGCGGAGGGAGCATACGAGTACCTACAGGTCAACTGTAGCTCCGTTCTTAATGAGCTCTTGCATGGCGTCAATCTTGCCTCGCATTGCACCCACGTGTAAAGGTGTGCAATCTAGGGTGGTAACAGCATTCACATCAATCCACTGGGTTTGATTGAGAACCTGAAGCTGGTATTCGATCTCAAAAACATTCCCAATTCCGGTGGCTTCGTGCAAAGGATGTCTGTCGTCACCGATTTGAGTGTCAGCGTTGATCTCACCGATGGAACCTCGCAGCGCGCCTTGCTCGGATAAGTTGTGCCGATGTGCCCTGCCACTCATGGTCAGGCAGTGTTCAATCTACGTTCATAATCAAGTCCTACAAGGTGATGTTCTCGTGAACTTAGGTCATGCTCTGCACTTATTGGTACATGCGGGAGTCGGGATCATTGAAGTCATCCTTGTTCCACAGTCGATCCCATCGCGCGCCCATAGTTGCGAAGTCGCCACCATGACGTCTCAATAATGCGAGAATATCAGCAACGATTGTGCTTCCTTGCCTTAGGTGATTGTTCAGATTGACAAGAAGAGGTTTCTCTCGTCTTTGGAGCCAGGAGTTCTTCCAACCTGCGCGCTGAAGTTTGTTTGGGCTGATGCGGTGCGCGAATGAAGGTAACGAAGACTCTGAGGCGCACCGCTCCAAGCATCTACGACACGCTTGAGCTGCACGACGGCATATACCAGCTGCACAGCAAGAGCTATAGTGCCGAGGCTAAGAGATGCTGGATCCATTGTCTTTGCTGCGACAAGTGTATCAATTGATGGAACGTGGTTAGGGCTTGAAGCCTCTATGTCTGAATAGCAGGAGCAGCCATAGTGCCCTTGTTTGACCGGTGAGCAAGGATTTCCAATGCTTCTGCTTCTCACCACATCTTCCTCGCCAGCCCATGTAACAGTGTTGCCAACTGGACGTATACGGCTACAGTAAGGGTCAATTACCGTAACCTACGGCAATTGTAGGCAACCTTAGCGTCCCGAATTCTACGTAGCATGTGTGGCATACTGACAGTAGGCGTAAATAGCCGTAATTGGCGTAGTACTGCAGTATTGCTGTGTACGTGACAAAGCTAAAAAGCAAAAATACTTAAAAAGTGCTTAGAGTGTGATTTGAACTTGTGAAAGAACAAATTAACGCTACTGTTACTGCTATCAATGTAGGCATTAGCACAAAAGAATTAACAGGCTCTATTTCTAGCTTTACAATCCTAATAATTATACTTTAAAATAAACACTAAATCTTGGCGTATTACTGCCGTACTACGCCTCAATCTACAACTACTTCCTGTACGGCTACGGCTCAATATAATTACCACTACTTACTTTTGCCTAATGCAGTGCACCGTAACCGTAGATTCCAGTACTACGTCCAGTTGGTAACGCTGGCCCATGTACAGGGTCACATGTGTCCATTGGTGCTTCGGATGCTCCCTGTTGTTTCTATACATGCTCGCTTGCGGTTAGCTGGCATAAACAGGAGAGTCTAACGGAATTAGCATTTACTGTAGGCTGCAGTCGTGGGCACGTGTTGCTGTACCGAGACCAGGCAACTAAGTGATCCGACTCTAGCCATAGAACAGGCAGAGCGCAGGTGTGCACGGGTAACTTACCTAGGTAACCAGTGAATGGGCCGGTACCCCTCCTTAGATTACCGGTAGCCAGCTAGGGTAATCAAGGCCATTCCCCATGGCCATTCCCGGCTGGCAACAACATTCTCATCTCACAGATTACAACAGACAACAGCCTCCGTTCAACAAGCCTTGTAGATACTAAAAACTTGTGCATCTACCCTATCATAGCATCATTGGCACTGTTCACTCTATTCTACGAACAAATGGAGTCCCTTTGTTTGGTTTTCCTACCAAAAGTTTTAGGCGTGAGCACATGGAGTGCCTTTGTTCGCTCCGTACTCCAAACATGACGCAAATCTCGCAAAAGATGCAGGGCATCTACAGTAATTGTACATCTAATTTTAAGGGAAAAGCGTGCTATGCTCATAGATTTAAAGTGTGGGAACTCACTGGACATCAACGGAATCACTGAACATCAACGGAATCACTGAACATCGACGGAATCACTGGACATCGCTGAAACTCATTGTCAATTGGACATCGACGTAATCACTCGAGACACTGCGAGAAGCGACCCCAGTGACGCCGTGTCAGGTGCTCGACGATGGCACGGTCAAGCGCGAGTTTGTGCTTTGCGAGGAGATCAGAGGCTTGTACCTGATTGGAACACCAGTATACTTGCGCGGGGAGTTGGTTTGGACATGGGTAGGCACCTCTCTGCAAAAGGTTGCTGAGAGCGCCACGAACGACCGCAATCGCAGTACGACTTGTGGCGCGACTTTAACGATTCTAGAGCAGAAGGAGGTTGGCAGGTGTTTCGCATCACGGTCCTTAATCAAACCTAATTCGAGGATGTCGAAGTAGCACTGCAATTTCGTGTCGCAAAATAGACAGGGAGGATAATGTGCGATATAGGTCTGAAGGTCTTTTGTAGTCTAGCTCCCAATTAGCAGTAACAATAGCTAGACTTTTGTAGCGTCCCTCTATCAAGTTGCAAGATCAGCGTTTCCAACTGGACGTAGTATTAGAACCTACGGTTTACGGTGTGCAGCAGTAGGCAAGATTAAGTAGCAGTAATTGTAGTCAGCCTTAGCTGTAGCTATAAGTAGCTATAGATAAAGGTGTGGTATAGTAGTACTAAAGTATGTTGCGGTGCAAGTCGGTCCGACAGGCCTCGATCGTCACCTCCGTTGACTACCTTGGACTAGCACATCTCGGGGCATGTATATATGGTCGCCTCCTAGCTAGCAAGCAACTCAGCGCAGTTTTCCATCGATATACAGCGGCTACGTTTGCCGCAACAAAGTATGGTTATACTAGTCGTTCTTTCTTGTTTACCCTCATAGGACTAGATTAAGATGGGCAATAATACTGTAGTACTCACGCAAATTATGCAAATTACCGCAAACTAGGCTCACAGACTATACAGCTACGTGGTTACGTAGTTTTAGGACGCTACAGTTGCTTATAATTGCTGTAGGTTACGGCAATTGACCTTCATTGTAACCGTATCCCTCTCGTTAGACGCGCTGTGCAGCAAGATACTCTCAGATTGCCTCTGCCAGCCTCCCAAGATTTCAGGAATACTGGCGTACATCCAGATATTTTCTGTTAATTGAGAAGCTCGAGTAAACTTCAGAGACGATAGTCAGTATGCAATGAGAAAAAAAGTCGCGAAATGTACACTAAGCCCCAACCTCACCTAGTGTCCGGTACTTCCTTACGAATCACTACAGCCACTCAAGATCTATTCCTGACTACGTTTCCAAGCGTATACGTCATCTGGGTACTCAGCGTTGGAGTAGTCTTGCAGCATTCGTTGATAACGGGCTCGGCTGCAGCCACCCGACCGGTGAGGCGCCAAGGCGAGCGCATAGAAGTACAAACCCAAGGGGCTTGTAAGTTCTGAAGCGGCTGTCAGCATTGTATTGTTGTTTTTGACGATGGCGCGTATGTCGTTGGCCTCGATTAGGGCTGTGAAATGACGAACCCGGTGCTGCCGAACAACGTGTTGACTCGTCCGGGATACTCGGATGCCTGGGTTCAAAACAGATTGGAGGGTTCACACGTCAACCAAAATCCTCTCACATCAGCAATCCCAAGATGCAATAAAACCTGTCTGGCCTTCAAGTCCAGGCGTGAATGTGTTGCGTGTCATCTGCGACCCTCTGCAATCTTCTAAACCATCACCTTCGACGGACCCTTCGTCACCAACCACCATTGTCGATCTTACCTTCGACCTCGAGCCTTTGTCTTTTAGCATTTCAAGATGTTCGAGCTTGCTAATAACTACAGCTCCTACCACCTTATACCTCAGACCTCGGATCTTGCGCTCTCACCCCCAGAATCCTACTTCTTCGTCACCGACTTCCTTATCATTTCCTGCGGCGTCCTCTATACACTATGCTACCTCTTCTACATGACGCGCACCTACAGCGATCGCTTCCTGGCTGGTTCCGTGCTCTTCCTTTCCCAGACCATGGCTTATGAGCTCTACTACGCCTATGTCTGTACAACGACGACTTGGCAGCGTGTCTGCTTCTTTGTGTGGTTCATGTTCGACGTGAGCTTCGTTGCTGTGGCATTAAAGAGGGCCTATAAAGAGGAGGAGAGACCGAAGACTGTCTGGAGGTTGGTGTGGATGACATCGCTAGGAATTGCGTTCCTGTGGGGTATTGGACAGGTGTGGCCAGATGAGAGGGAGCAGTTGACTGCCTTCTGGACTGGTGTGTATCTGGAGCTGCCGATTGGGTGGGGACAGATCTACTACCTGTTGAAGAGAGGAGACACGAAGGGTCAGAGTCTAGAGATCTGGTAGGTATTCTTGGTACTTCTGCGGTGATCGCCACTGATGAGCTTAGGATTACGAGATATCTCGGTTGTATTTGCGCGTTCCTGGTGTTCATATGGCGATACCTCAATGCGCCAACGAACTGGTCTTACGTTGGCTCGTTCTGGAGTATCGCTGGTATGATCATCACATTACTTCCAGAGACCATCTACCCTTTCGTCTATGTGTGGGCGCATAGGAAGGAGCGTGGAGAGGAAAAGACCAAGGCCGAGTAGATTTTCATCACTCATGATATCTGACAGTCGACATTCACACCGCTCTCCATGGAGTTTGTCGCGACACCCTGCGCTAGCAAAAATTCGACGAGTCAAGAGAGTATCGAGCTCATGTGGGAGCTATCGAATCGAAGTTGTGCAGTCGGCCCGTGCTGCGGATAATCGGCTGGCTTGCTCATTCGAAAACCTTCACGAGACGAGCACGAGACGGCCCAGGGCGATAATTCGCGACTTCCAAGCCGGGAAGACGGAGAAGCGATTGCTCTGGCGAAGTGTTCTTCCAAGGACAACGGAGTTCGGCAATCCGCAACACAATTGCGAGACCTGCGAAACATCTGGCAACTCCGGCTGGCTATGCAAGGGGTCCCATTAGTGGTTTGGAATGTGCCGCCACATTAAGATCTCATCATCTCGTTACGACCTGTTAGTATGCGATAGGCTAAAAGAGACCAATCGTCTTTAGGAAAAGGGGAAAAGCTTCATGCGGACTGGCTGCCTCGACGGGAGCGAAGATCTGCCATAATTGGTTCGATGGCTGGAGCAAGTACCGCTGCCAACGGCACAAAGGTATATGCCAATCACGCTCGCACTGTGCCACGCTAGCAGCGATCTTCAGCCACAGAGGTAGGCGCATGCCGCTCCTGTAGTCGACCGGTCATGACATGTGACGTCTACGAACATCATTTCATTAGCTTTTGTTGACTTCCATTCTACCCGTTCCGCACTCCATTCTTCTCTCCTTTCGACAACCGCACGCACATTATCCTCTTACGCGACAAGCACCAACTTCAGCGTCGCGATGGCGCAACAAGGCGAAGCCGCGGGCTACTATACTGGCGCGCCACAACAGCCACAACAAAGCTATTACCAGGGCCAGCAATATGGCCAGCAACAACCCATGAACTACAGCCAACAACCTCCACAATATGGTAACAGCTATGCGCCTCCTCAGGGTCCACCGCCCCCGCAGCACCCACAGCAGCAAACTGGCTATGAGCAGACGAACTATGGGGAGAAGCCAACATTCGATCAGGCCTTCAAGGTGGAGCGGCCCAAGTACAATGATTGGTGGGCCGGTTTGCTGCTTATCGCAGTCTTCTTGGGATATGTCGCTGTATCTGCGATTTCTATTAGAGGATACGGTAGGTTGACTGTCGTGCTGAAGGGTTGCGCAAGTACTAACAGCTTGCAGCGCAAAATATCAACTTCAATGGTGGTATTTACGGCAGTCGCAATGACTTCGGACTGGATTCTAACACCGTCATCCTCTTCGCATTCGTCCTCGGCATGGCCACTATCTTCTCGTACGCATACATGTGGGCTGCGCGCGCCTTCACCAAGCAGTTCATCTGGATCACCGGTATTCTGAACATTATTTTCGGATTCGTCACAGCGTTATACATGCTTTCGCGCCGTTACTGGTCTGGAGGCATCGTGTTCTTGCTGTTCAGCATCTTCTACGTGATCTGCTTCATCAGCTGGATTCCCCGTATCCCCTTCAGTGTCCTTATGCTGCAGACTGCGATCGACGTCTCAAAGAAATTTGGCCATGTGTACCTGGTCTCTCTCATCGGAGGACTCATCGCCATGGCATTGAGTGCTTGGTTCTCGGTCACACTGGTTGCAATCTACGCAAACTACCACCCTGGCAACAACCCCGCATGCAACAATGGAAGTGGGGGCTGCAGCAACGGCAAGGTCATTGGTCTCATCGCATTCGTCACGTTCGCCATGTACTGGTTCTCTGAGTAAGTCCGAGGTTTCTGTCCCACGAAGCGCGAAGCTGATGATCACCCAGGTGGCTCAAGAACACCATTCACGTCACCATCTCTGGCGTGTACGGTTCCTGGTACTTCAACCCAGATGGCGAGAAGTTCCCCAAGGGTGCAACGCGCGGCGCCTTGAAGCGTGCCTTGACCTACAGCTTTGGCAGTATCAGTCTGGGTAGCTTGTTGGTGGCCATCATCCAGTTCCTGCGCCAGCTCTGCTCTGCCGCACAGCGATCAGCATCCGGCGACGGCAACTTGGTCGGCTCGATCTTGTTCTGCGTTCTTGGTTGTCTGATTGGCTTTCTCGAGTGGGCTGTCGAATTCTTGAATCGTTATGCGTTCTCGTACATTGCACTGTACGGCAAATCGTACATTGATGCTGCTAAGGATACCTGGAAGCAAGTTTTGTTCCGAAGCTCTTCACATTATGCACGTGCTAATACATCACAGGATGATCAAAGACCGCGGTGTCGATGCCCTTGTCAACGAATGTCTCATCGGCCCGGTGCTCTCCATGGGTGCAACCTTTATCGCGTACGCATGCGCGCTGCTGGCTTACCTGTACCTCATTTTCACAGCCCCCGCATACAACCGGGATGGCGGCTATACCCCCGTCGTGGTCGCATTTGCCTTTCTCATTGGTCTGCAAATCTGCAAAATCTTCACGACACCGTTGAGCAGCGGTATCGACACAATCTTTGTCGCAATGGCTTGGGATCCGGAAGTTCTTATCCGTGCCCATCCAGATCTCTATCACCGCATGGTCGCCGTGTACCCTCACGTGCAGCAGGCTATTCACGCGTAAAGTGCTACAGTGGGCTGGCGGTCTTGAGGTAAAGAAGATATTGTAATGGTGGGGCTGATGGTAATGAGATTTTTTTCCAGATCGGATCGCGATACACGGGTTTACAACTAGCAATCGATCAATAATCGATGACGACCCTCAATAGATGTTTTGCGAGTTGAAGAAAAATACGCTTGCCCCACTTCGCTCCAGCTAACAATAGCGGGAACGGAGAGTCTGCTTGGGACGGACCATGACGTCGTTACTCCACCAGCGCGTGGTGAGGAGGTGTCTGGGAAGCCGGACCGTGAAAGAGCAGAGCGTCAGAAATTGCCGGAATTTCCGTCAGAGTCGCGGCTGCATTTCCAGAATCGAATGTTTCGGCGCGCGCCTTGGAGCCTCCACGGCCGGGAGCAACGTCGAAGGTGAGCAGTTGGGCAGCATGGCAGCACGTTCATCTATTACTGTTACGGTCCGTCCTTCAGCCGCAGTTCAACACCTAGGCAACTGTCAAGTTGCGCAGTTAAAATCTTACTATTGAATCTGGCGAGCCCTGCGCGTCACTTTGGCAGGCAGTCGTTCGCCTCCAGCCGCCAATCGGGTGTTCGCTGCAGCGTCATCGCGGGGTGCATCGCCAGCGCAGTGGCCCCAACATTCACCTGGAGACCTCAAGTCTTTCCTTGTAATTAGCTTGCAGCGTTGTAGCACCCCAGTCACATACCCTTTGTGCCGTAAGAAGCTTCTGGCCAGGCAAAATCCACAGTATTACTGCGACACTTCACCGCGTTTGCACCACCTGCCACTGCAGTTGCGTCGGTGGCCCTAGCTCCTGCCATAAATACCCCTCATCAACACCTCCCCCTCCGATCGTCAACAAACACCCTTCTTCGTGCCTTCTCACCACGCCCCGAAAATTTCACCAGTAAGCCTCATCTCAACCTCAGCCCACTTCACTCACCAATCGTGCGGTGACAACCCTCACGATTGACCCTCCTTTCACCACTGTCACCATTTTTACGAATACTCTATTGACCTCCATTGCCAGCTGATCCTCACCACTACACTCACCTACTCGACTGCACACCTCTAAACATTTCGACACACACACATCCACACAACAAACATGCCTTACGATAAGAAGGCTGTTCATTTCGGTGGAGGAAACATCGGCCGCGGCTTCGTGGCTGAGTTCCTTCACAACTCTGGCTACGAGGTCATCTTCGTCGATGTCATGGATTCGATTATCAGTCAACTCCAAGAAACACCATCGTACACAGTCACCGAGATCGGTGATGATGGCGAGCGCCAGTTCACCATCGACCACTACCGGGCCATCAACTCCAAGCACGAGATGGACAAGGTCGTGCATGAGATCGCCACTGCCGATGTCGTCACCTGTGCCGTTGGCCCCAATATCCTCAAGTTTGTCGCTGACCCCGTCGCCAAGGCCATCGAGGCCCGGGAGCTCGACTACCCCATTGCCGTCATTGCCTGCGAGAACGCCATCAACGCCACAACCACATGGAAGGGCTTCATTGAGAGCAAGCTGAGCGAGAAGACCCTCGAGAACATCGACAAGAAGGCCCGCTACGCCAACTCGGCCATTGACCGTATTGTACCCCAGCAGGACAAGGACGCTGGTCTCAACGTCAAGATCGAGAAGTTCTTCGAGTGGTGCGTCGAGCAGAAGCCCTTCGAGAACGGCGGCAGGAAGCCCGAGATTGAGGGCGTTCACTACGTCGACGACCTCGAGCCCTACATCGAGCGCAAGCTCTTCACCGTCAACACATCGCACGCTACTGCTGCGTACTACGGTCACAACCGCAAGATCCCATACATCCACGAGGTTCTTCACAACAAGGAGCTTCATGATATCGTTCGTGCTGCCGTCAAGGAGACTGCTCATCTGATTGTCAACAAGCACGGCATCTCCACACAAGAGCAGGACGACTACGTCGAGAAGATCGTCACGCGTATCTCGAACCCAACCCTCAAGGACAACGTCGAGCGTGTCGGTCGTGCTCCCCTTCGTAAACTGTCTCGCAAGGAGCGCTTCATCGGCCCTGCTGCTCAGCTTGCTGAGATGGGTGAGAAGGTCGATGCTCTCCTCGGTGCCATCGAGATGGCCTACCGCTTCCAGAACGTCGAGGGCGATGAGGAGTCTGTCGAGCTTGCCAAGATCCTCAAGAACACCTCCGCCGAGGATGTCGTCAACCAGGTCAACGGTCTCGACCGCACACACCCTCTCTTCAACCAGATCGTCCCAATCGTCAAGAAGGTTCAGGAGAGCACCAAGAGCTCTTCGTTGTAGTTCAAGGAATGGTAAAGGGCGCATGAAGTGCGTCAAGGCGTGATTTATTCCGGCGAATGGTGCAAACAGGTACTGGGCGATAGTTCCACTTAGCGGGTCTTTCCTAGTTTCTCACGATACTCCCACAGCGATGATCGCAACTAGCGAGCTGTGACAATGAATGATACATGATCGATGATACACCTTGCCTTCCCTTACTGTGTGTTCATTCCGTACAAAATTCTTCGTGATAGCTTTTCGACCTTCTGAATCGCCAAAGACTGACTGACTGCTAAGTGCACATTGAGAACGCCCGCTACGACTATGGCCAGTGCATACGCATGGCCACTGGGTCATGCAGCTACGCGTTGTCGTAGCGAACATACATAAGCCAGGCCAATGACTTACAAGCTGTTTGTGAAAGGTGTATGTACTCTGACTCTCGATCGCAAAATTAAGCCCTGCACTTCCATGAGGTTTCTCCATCCAGACGCTGAAATATCCGTCGATACATGTTCAATGGAGTGAGGAAACAGCCGACACCAATATATACACTTCGAGTCTCTCGAGAAGTCTTCATCTGCCATACTTCACCTGTGGTGGCTTCTAAAGTCTGAATACCCACTCTCAGTGTGCCACTCTTGACATTTTCGCCGGATCTTTGGCTTGAACTTCACTTCTGCAATACCGCTGTCGAAAGAGGCACATTCATACTTTATGTCCAGGTCACAACGGCCAACGTTTCTTTCCATAACGTCTTATCGGAAAAACTCATGGCAGCAAGCCTGGCTTGAGCTTTCTGTGAGTTTGGCTATCTTGTGAAGATAGATCTTTAAGAGTCGTTTCGTACCTCGATTCAATACGCTTGTGTTTTCCAAAAGTCACTGATGTCGTACCAAGTCTTTGCTCAAATGGAGATTCTTCCATATGATGATATTGTGCAGCAGAGGCACACCAAACCCGCACGCCTTACACTCGTGTCTTTTCTTCTGCCACTCCCTTGACGCAAGCTTGAACTGCGGGTCATACTAACTTTCTGCCAGCCCACGACGACATCGAGGGGCTACAAAGGACGCCAAAATACCTCACATCTGCAACATGCTTTTGGTTCCAAGACTGCTTCTCAAGTTCTTCATGCATCGCTGTGTGTCTCCCTGCACTGGATCGAGGTGTGCATGCAAATTTACTCCACATTTCAAGAATTTCGATCCTCACCTCTTCGAAACTAATCCTGACTACTCGCATGAAATCCTCCGAAGATGAGCAGCGGACTGTGACAGAAAAGAGTCTGAGGTACCAGAACATATCTGTCCACCAACTTTCTGGCCCAAAGTACTTTGGAGTGTCGAATCTGACCTTTCGCATCCTCTCGATACAGATCACGCTTCTTCTGTCCAAATCTCACGACTTTGTCGCGTTCGCACGTGATTGCTGCTTTGGATACCGCGAATGTTCGAAAACAGCTACATAGGCAACGTCGCAAATAGACTCGAAGTCTAAATTAGTGTGCAGGCGTGCTAAACTCACGCCTGAAGTCGCGCCCAGATGGAGCTATGTCGCTGTATACGATTTGAATCTGTGCGCTCTTTGCTCTGATCGAAGGAGCGTACTACTGACCCGTGACGAGTCTGGAAGATGATGCGGATCTGTCCGTAGCTCTGCGTGTTTAGTGAAAAGACGAGTGTGAAACTTGATGTCTGTGCCTCATGAAGACTTTCGACAAGCTACCCGGATACTTCTGTACATGGATTTACATGTTGCCAATGCCAAGCACTGCATCGCCCTTTCGATGTCTATTCTCACGCCCTCCCTGCACAGCTTACTTGGTCCGCCACCCCTGGATCTCATCGAGCGTGAGCACATACGCATCGTTGTAAATTCTCTTCAGCAGGTCCAGCGAGTTCCACACGCCAGCGCTGATAAAGTCGCCACTCCAGACCACGAACCACGCCCAATCCGCCTGATACGCCTTCAGCAAGCTCGGCTCCATCACGCTTCCGATTTCCGTGGCGGCGATGATCTTCGTGTCTCCGGTGAGTGTGAGGAGGTTGTTGTATGTCGCACTGATGGGCCCATGGTCACCTTGGGCGTAGGTGTCCGCGCTGACAATGTCGACGTACGAGTTGCCCGGATACCAAGCGGGATCGACCGAATTCCACACCCAGATCAGGTTCTTGAGCTTGTGGATGCGCGTCAGGCGGTCAAAGACGATCTTGTATAACTTCTTCGCGGGTTCGGGGCCTTGAGCGCCCCACCAGAACCACTTTCCTTCGGCCTCGTGCAGCGGCCTCCACAGCACCGGCACACCGTTGTCCTGCAGTTTCTTGAGCTGCACGGCAATGGTGTCGATATCTTTGATCAGCAGCGTGTAGTTCGCGTTTGTGGTGTCCTGGAGATCGTCAGTGAGGTGTGTTTGGCAATCGATGTGTGAGACTTGGGGAAGAAACGGACCTTTAGCGCCGTCTCGATGTTGAAGTCCGTCGCCACAGTGTAGAAACCAGACCACCACGGCTGTGTCGCATTATCGTACAGACCCGTTGGCGCACCCCAATGCCACACAAACGTCACGATACCGCCTCTTTTATTGAACGCGATGGCTTTGTCGACATCGGTGGACGATGCACCGCGCGAGATGCGACTCTCGGTGTAATCCATCAAATCGAGCCCCAAGATAGCAGGCGTCTTGCCCACATTCGCAGTCACCCAGTCGAGAGACGCTTGATCTTGCTGCCCAGAGAGGATATTTTTGCCGTAAATACTGCCCAGGTACTTGAGCAGTGCGCGCGCGTCGGCGTTAGCATTGGGGGATACTGGCTGCGTGGTGATTCTGTGTGCGCCTCGCGTTGGGCTGGGCGAGAGGATGATGGAGTCGATCAGGTACCAGCCCCAGTTGTTCTGGATCTCGATGGTGTTGTTGCCTACATCGAGAAGCACCTGGCCGGCCGACACGGTGGTCCATGCCGTTGTTGCAGGGAGCGAGACTTGGGAGCCGCCCGCGCTATTGAGGACGACGTAGGTATATTTGTCGCCGTATGGACCGTTGTATACGAGTTTGAGGTCGTAGAGTTGTTGGGCTGTTGATGGGACGGTGAAGGTTATCTTGTCTGTGGCCTCGTCGAAGCCTTCGACATAGCCGGTGCCTGGAGGGTATTAGCCCATGTGCATAGGGCGTTAATGGAAGTCCTACCGGTGTATCCAGCAATAGCAGTGGCAACGGTAACACCAGACAGTGTGGCCGACTCGGCTTGGAGTGTGGTTGTCTGAGCGGCTACTAGACCTGCCAAAAGGCCTACAAGACCTGCTATCTTAGCGGCAAACATACTGACGGTGGATTGAGATGGTTGAAATCACTCATGGTACCACTACGTCTTCAGTTTATAGCATGCGAAATATGTTACCCCATCTGCCGCGGTCATACTGCTCCGCATTGAAGTAGATGAAGGACTGCAGGTACTGTGGGAATCGGCCGCCAAATCCGGGGTTTGGTCTAGCGCGCAAGGCTGTACGCCCTTTCGGCGATTTCGAAACGACTTGCAAGAGGCGAGAACAAGAGCGAGAACGTGAGTGTGACCTGCGTTAATATACACAAATTGAAAGGGTCCCGCGGCAGGGGTTGACTTCCGCCCAGAAGTGCTTGGCGAACACCAAACTGTACTGTACCTAAGGACGTTCCGGGATATTTGAGTGCTTTTTGAGAAGAGGAGAATGGTGGAACATTTGCTGTTATATTGCTGTTGTCATCGAACCACGGATATGGTACTGCGCCCTACTGACCAGTCCTGATGAGCTTCGTGATGTCGTCAACCTCCTTAGGTGTCGGTGTCAAATTCTCGCTACCACCATCAACGACGAGGAGGTTATCTGTGCCTTGTCAGTAATAATGCCATTACGTTCTAGGTTCGAATACTCACCCTCAATCCTCACACCGCCAACATCCCAGTACTTCTCCAGCACCTTCTCGTCAATGTACTGCTTCTGCCTCTCATCCTGCAGATACGGTTCAATGATGAACCTACAGAAGTAAATTCCCGGCTCAACTGTAATAACGCTCCTCGCCGGCACCGTGCCCCTAACCCTGAGGTAGCGGAACATAGTGTCTTTATCAGCATAGTTTGCATTGCCTCCGGTATCGTGAGTGTCCATGCCCAGATAGTGTCCGAGACCGTGAGGGAAAAACGCAACGCTTATCCGCGCCTTGAAGATCTCGTCGGCATCGCCTTTAAGAATGCCCAGTGCGAGAAGTCCGTCGATGGCGATCTTGTGCGCAAGCTCGTGGATCGAATCCCACACCGCACCGGCTTTGAGCGCGGCGATGCATTCTTTCTGCATGTGCAGAACGATGTCGTAAATAGCTTTGCTCTCCTTGTTGAAGGTGCCCCTGATGGGGAATGTGCGGGTGATATCTGAGGCGTAACAGTCAACCTCGCATCCTGCGTCCAGAAGGAGTAAGTTCTGCTTGTTGATAGGTGCTGCGTTGTTCACGTAGTGGAGAGTTGCGCCATTGGTGCCAGCCGCTACGATGGAGTGGTAGGCCTGATTCTTTGCGTTGCGCTCTACGCACGACTTCAGAAATATGGCCTCGAGCTCGCACTCGTTCTGAGCGTTGGATGCGGCCTTCATGACATTAATATGAGCAACAGTTGAGATTTCGTTAGCCTTGCGGATGAGCGCGATCTCATAGTCCGTCTTGGTCACACGGCAGTACTCGATCGCAGGCTTGAGCTCTTTGAGGTCCTTCTCTTTGAAATTGAGGAAAGTGACGTGGTCCGAGATCTGCTCTGGGATGGCGTAGATGGTCGACTGGGACGTGTCGATGGAGCTGGCCAAGTGCGAGTTGACATCGGCGGTCGTCTTGCAGTCATCAATGTCATACTTGGTCTTTGCTTCCTTGGGGCTCATGGGAAGGCCAGACCAGATGACCTCCTCAGGCTCAACACCAGGTATGAACAGCGTAAGCTTGTCTGAGCTGATCTCATACGTGAGGTATGAATCTGGAAGGTCGCATCCACTGAGGTAGTAGAAGTATCGTCGTTGTCTTGATCAATACGGTCAGTATCTGCTCGCCCTGATAACAACTTGAGTTAACGCACCTGAAAGGAGCCTCTCCATCGTTGTCCTCGTTCAGTTTCTGCTTTTGAGCCTCGAGGTAAATGGTTCCATTCTTATCGCCGCCCTTTTCAATGATCCACCTGGCGACCTTCCTCGCGTGCTCCTTGGCTGGGTACTTGCCCTTGAGTACCTCGTCATAGTTTTCCGCGATTCCCATTCTGGCAACCGAAGCAAGTCCTCGTGGCTTGCTAAGCTTCTCGGCAAAGTGTGTAAGGTTATGGAATCGGGTTGGTCGAGGCGAAAAGCTTCTTCCGCAGTGTAGAAATGGTTGCCAGAGAATACGCGCGAGCTTCCTGCAGCTCATGTTTGGGTGGTGCGGATAACAGGTGGGGCACAACTGCGACTCTGACATCGCGCTTAGCCTCGGCGCTTCAAGAGGCAGGTGCAAAAGCATTCTTAGTCATTGTGGATCAAGCATCATATGACGTATGGAAGCAAAGCGTAATGGAGCTGGTTTCATGTCTTCATTGTGGATGTATTGAACGCTATCAAAATCATAGGAGCTTCGCCAGGAACGCCCTCACACGTGCGCGCGGAAGTCGCGCAATGCGCCCATCACTGCAAACCATCATGAACATTTCAATGTCGCCCACCAGCCATAGCATGGCGCATCTAGTCCTTCCACCTGTTCAAGAACTTCTGCATGTCGTCTGTTGGGTGAGAAGCCGCAGCAACCTGGTAGATAGTCGGTGCATGCGCAATGGCCGAATGTGTGGATGAAACTTACTGTGTTCTCAACGCTGCTGACCGAGAAAGTCTGAACCTGTGTGATGGTGGTCTGGATGCTCGGGATCGGCAAGAAGGTTGTCGCAATCTGGACGCTACTTGTAGGGTACAAGGGCTTCGTGTTCTTTGCTGTGACCGTCTTCGGTGGAATGGGCTGCATAGGCGCATATCTTGTAGGGCCCGTCTGCATTGTGTAGGCGACGTCGTAATCGCCGTCTGCGCCTGCTGCTCCGCCAGCAGCGTCGCTCGTTGTATCCTTTGCCGCAGGTCCGTCTGTGCCATCGATATCGTCCGTGTTCACGTTCGTTCCCCATGCGCCTGTCATGCCGGAGTACGAGAATCGGTCGGAGTATGTAGTGAATTCACCTCCAGTCTTGCCAACGGCGACCATCTTGATGAAGCTGCATAAAGTCAGTCCTCCGTCCAGAATCTGCGCGTTTCTGGGTCAACCTACTAAGCATTGGCGGGCTTGCTCGCTCCAGGCAGACCTGTCTCTACCAGAGCAGACGCCTTGTTGCCTCCCAGCGCAAAGTTACCCGCTGTTGTGAGGACCTTGACGACCTGCTGCTCTGTATCCTTCTGACCACCGCCGACCAGGATGAGCTGGTAAGTGGTCAACTCGCTGATCGAGGGACCAGTGCCGCCTTCCTCCCACTCGATCTCAATTGCGGTGCCAGCGGTCAATTCGGCGCCGGCGATCGGGCTTTTGAACTTGATGCCGGCGCTCACGAGAGGCGCCAGCGCGGCGAGCGCAGTGAATGACAGCAGTAACCGCGTCATTATTAGGCGCGTGCAGCAGTCGCTGAATGGTGCCTAGGAACGTGGCTTCGTCGACGTTATCGTGGGGTATCGTGAAGGCAGTCGCCGTGTGCTAGCGTATCGTGCAGACAGTCAAGGTAGTGCACGTTGAGCTTGAATTCTACAAGGGGGCACGATTGCGGCAGGGACGATCGCCTAGCGCAAAATGGCATGGGTGCATTCCGGTTGCACGACGCGCGCGTTCAACATTGTGGAGCCATCCACACCGGAGCTGTTCAGCGCGTTGCTCTGGAAGCCATTCAGCAGACTGGAAGGCGTGATGTATTGTGCTCGGAGAGTGGGTCCTCGACTGGTACCTGAACTGACGTGGCGACCTTCAGTGGTGTCTTTACCCAACAATCTTGAGTTGCTACGACATGACTTCACGGCATGTGAAAGCGCAGCTTTGCATCAAAGTCGACTCTCGTATTATATGGTGGCTACTCAAGTGTTCCATCGTAGACGTGATGCAACGTGGGAAAGCGCGTGGTCAATTGCCAGCTCCCAAACTATCAAAAAGGCGGCCGTGCAGCCTGGTATCATACACAACAATGTCAAAATGCCGCTATTCTGTTGCTGGAACGCCGTCGCATGCCGTTGGGAATATCCTAAACAATGGACGGAAGAGATTTACCAAGGAGACGCTTCGCAGAATTACGCAGCAACTTCTCTCCGGAGCTTGGGGTTGCCCAGCTTCAGGTTGAACGAGGATGGCAGCCGGCTGGTTATCATGGCTGCTTGTCCCGCCTTTTGCAGCGAGATTGTGAGGTCCTTCAGCTTCTCGGGCGTGAAGATCTGGACGTTGAATGAGAGGAGAAACTCGACGCAAAGCTCCAACCGGCACAGTGCACCTTCGTCTACCCCTCCAACTGCGGCAAAGCGCTTCTGTGGCCAGCGGTGGTCCTCGAGGGCCTTCATTGCAACCAATGCACAAGCAAGGATCAGGCGGTGCATTGTGCGGAAGGTAAGAGGGACCACTTTATCGATGACGCATAGCCGTAGAATGTAAGAGCCAGCGGCAAGCCAGACTGCTGTTGAGAGTGGGCAGTACTTCTGGATGCGGTTCATGTATTCTTCCACACCCACTTTTGGGACACTTTTGGAAAAGAACTTTCTTGCCATGTTTGCCCGCTGAAGGTGCTCGGGCAGCGCACCGGCGCCGATGTCGTGCGCAATTGTGGGTTCATCATGTTCTGCTTCTGCTGGCGAAAGTTGTGTTGGGCGATGGTTCTCCTTATCAGCTGGAATGGGTGTCGCAGGCCTGGATAGTACGCGGCGATGTCCTCTGAGTGCAGGAAGGTTATCTTTCGAGATGGATCGTGTCAGCGGTGGTGTTGCTGGTACATCGCCTGCTGCGTTCGCCATTGCAATGATCGCCCGTGAGATCAACTTCATGGCCGACTCCCGTGGCATAGTGCAAACATCCAACTCTTCTTCGTTAGCCGGCGGTGATGGCGCTTCTTGAAGGGTCAGGTTTCCAAACTCTGGTAGCACACCAGCATCGCCCGCTGGATTGGGCGCAGATGGTGGCTCCATGGTTCTTGCGGATGGTACTTCTCGTAACCGATAGATTAAGTGCTCTGGATGCACTTCTGGGAAGGTGTGAGGCGTTGGGTTACAGACTTGAAGCATTGGGGCTAAGGTAAATGTCGTTGCCGGGGTTGTCCGATGTACTTGGGTGGGATGAGGTTTGATTCAGGCAGACAGGTGCGGTCCAGGAAGGTTTCGCGCGGCTGGCCTTGCAAGGCTGTCGTTGAGAGGTGACGATCGTGTTCAAAGGTGACTCGGATTTATACAGCAAGATGTTATGGCCGGTGGGTTGTTCGATGCAGGCGTGGACATTACCAAGGGTGCGGCTGTGATAGGTCCAGGCGGTGAAGTGTTGTTACGCAGCGTCAGGTAGCAAGAATTTCCGGTCAGGAGATGCTGTGGAGTGGTCGGTAGTAATTGAAGGGTATACTGGGCGGAGGAAAAGGTACTTGTCGAAATTTCGGCCGTTTGAGAAGTCAAGTGACGCTAGGAGGATTTCCGTCTTGCCCGCAAAAAGACAGTCGACAATACTTCACAATCGTTTCCGAAGCACGGATGCCTATCTACTATAGCAGCGGAGGCCATGCGGTAGCGTATTGAGGCTGTTTTAGTCGCGTTTACTGCCGACGCGCCACTAGGCCGGACTCAAACGCAGTGTGAGATTGCAGATGAGTTGGCGAGGCCACGATAGAGGGAGTCTACGTGGGAGGCTGCAGCGCTGCGCCGAGGCGAGATGATGGCCACGGCTCAGGTCTCGTGCACTGCAGAGTTGGGCTAGTCCCTGATGGCAGACGGGCCGGGGGATAAAGGCACAAGAGGCGATGTACCCTCGGTACTGGTGCTTGCTGCATGCACAAAGAGTGCTGTCATAGAAGATCGGAGGCGGTTAATAAGTGAGGTATAAAAGGACGCCGATTTGCATGTGGTTGCAGCGGAGGGAGGACCGTATAGCGAAACTGCGGGGGACAAGCCGCGGCTCAGCTGCAGGGTCTAACAGGGAGTGTAAACGAGACAACAAAACAAACAACAGACACGCCGGAGTGGGTTGCTAGTGGCTCCGTGTGAGGGTCTGGCGTGCGCAATCAGCGTAAGGGAGATGAGAGACGGCGGCCCAAAATTGCTGCGTCCACAACCGTCCAGGGCCCGGAGCGTTCCTTCCTGATCGTGGCTATCTCGGGAAAATCCCTCCACCCCTCCAACCATCGCCAGACACAAAGCGCGCTTGGTTCCCTTGCAAAAGCAATGTCGTCCGGCTGCCAGAACCTGACGAGACGTCTGACAGGAATGACCGTTCGCCAGGTCCAGGCTAATGCACGAGTTCCCCGACTAGGACGTTATTCGACGGTCGACCAGCCAGCGGCAATTTTGGCGGTACACCCTCACGGCAGCCCGCGTTGCAGAACGTCAATGTGCATCGCGGCATGTGCATCACGGCACGTGCATCGCGGCACCGGGAGCTATAGATCTGGGGATCGCACGGCATACAGCGAACACCAATCGACGTGAGCTGACTGCGAATCGCAACGAATTTCTTGCATTAGTATTGGGAGCTGAGCTGTTACTTCGCATGTCCATTCGAGTTAGGCTTCGACGTTCGATGCCCCTGCCACTACTTCGTAGAGAGCAAGTCGGACCGGTGGACCTCAGCTAAGAAGGGTTTCCCCGTTTGTGCCATCGCAGTAAATTCTCCCAGATGAACTGCGATTGACTGTCATGAGACGCTACTCGTATGCCGAACCTTGGGTTCGATCCTGGAGTAGCGCGATTCTGCGTGTATTCCATATTCAAGCAACGGTCTCTGGCGAATTCGGATAATCCACTGCACACGCTATGGATCAATCGGAAGTCACCTTCATCCGATCTTACGCGGCACGATAAGTGTCACTGCAGCTTCTCAGCTCTGTTGCCCTGTCCTCAAGAGTGTTGGGCAATTACCGCACGCTCTTGCAGATGCAAACTTGACGCTTACGATTCTGCAGGGGGGCTACATCAAGTACAACCTGGCCCAGGGAAGACTGTAGCCGCACTCCATCCAGACTGAATCGTTTCAATATCCAATTGACTGCCGCACGATGAGCCGTAGACAACATGAACAGGGCGCAGTCCTGCAGTCCTGCGCACCGTCTTCTCAACAACATGTCGTTACCTCTGTAGCGCAGTGTCAGATCAAGATGGCACTACCTCCTCGTCCCTGCGTTAAGCGGTAGCTCGGGAATGCTGACGTCAACCTGCAGCAAACATTAATTTCATGCCATCCAGCGGAGTGTAACCCGGAACAGCAAGCCGCATTTAGCTTGCACCACCATCAAAAGATGGCTGATGTCAATTGTTTCCGCGTCTTGGCAATGCTTGTCGACTTCCACCATGCGCGCTTCGATTTTGGGCCTCTGGGCTTGCATCTTGACCACAGCTCTCTGACGGACGAGGCCCATGTCGACATTTACTGGTTTATCGGTAGTCGACCGGACGAATTGCACGATCATAGGCAAAAGCATCGTTCCATGGAGATACTTCTTCAACACTGTGACGTTCTCGTATACGACTCCGTTCTGGGGCTGGGAAGACTGGGAGTTTAAACTCGACTGGCTTGCTCTGCATGGTGTCAACCTGCCTTTGACCTGGGTCGGCTATGAGAAGATCTTGCTTGGCGTCTTCCGCGAGCTTAGTCTTACAGACATTGAGATCCTGCCCTTCTTCTTCGGACCTGCGTTTAAGCATAGAATCGCTTTGGTAATATCCAAGGATCTCGGGGCGGTGAACTACCCTTGTTGCGGATCGACTCACAGTTAGAGCTGCAGAAGCAGATCTTGGAAAGAAGGCTTGAGCTTGGCATGACACCCATTCTGCCAGCATTCATAGGGTTTGTTCCAAGACCGTTGACGAATGCATTTCCCAATGCAATAGTGGTCAATGGCACTCAGTGGGAAGACTTTCCTCCAGAGTATACTAACACGGCATCCCTCGAGCCATCAGATCCCCTCTTTGCACAGCTACAAAACCAGGTCATCTCCAAACAGATCGAATCCTATGGCAACATCACACAATTCTACACGCTCGATCAGTACAACGAGAACGACCCCTATTCGGGCGATCTCAATTGCCTCCGCAACATCACTCGTGGAACCTGGCAGTCCCTCAAGGCCGCGAACAGCGCAGCAGTATGGGTAATGCAAGGCTGGCTCTTCTATTCCAACTCGGACTTCTGGATCAACGAACGCATCGAAGCCTACCTTTCCGGCGTCGAAGAAGACTCGGACATGCTCATCCTCGACCTCTTCTCCGAATCGCAGCTGCAACGGCAGCGCACAAACTCCTACCACGGCAAGCGCTGGATCTGGAACGAGCTGCACAACTACAGTGGTAACCAGGGCTTCTATAGACAGATCGATAACGCGACCATCAATCCCATCAAGGCACTTGCCAACTCCACATCGCTCGTCGGCTTCGGCCTCACGCCTGAAGGCCAAGAAGGCAACGAGGTCATGTACACGCTCCTTCTCGACCAGTTATGGAGTCCCGCACCCATCGACACAGCACAGTACTTCCACGCCTGGGTCACGACGCGCTACTCGTGAGTGACAAATTGCTCTTCCGTGCCGCTTCTGTCCGGGCTGTAAAAGCATGGGACCTCCTCCGCACAAGCACACACAACAACGCACACCTCACCTCCAACGCGGTACCGAAGAGCATATTCCAACTCGCGCCCAAAACCACGGGGCTGGTGAGCCACGCAGGTCATCATCCCACGACGCTGAACTACAATACCAGTGTCGTCGTGCAGGCGTCGCAGTCGCTCCTCGCTGCGGCGGACAAGCAGGAAGGGCTGTGGACGCATCCAGCATACCATCACGACCTCGTCGATGTGATGCGGCAAGTCTCCGCCAACGCATTCCTCAGCGACTACACACAGCTTATGCGCGCGTGGAACACGACCGCGCCCAGCAACACTTCTGCCGCGCTGGTGGAAACGCTGGTGGACAGGCTGCTGAAGAGTCTGAAGAGTCTGTACGCGCTGCTGAGCACGCTCCTGCAGTTCCGGCTGGATACCTGGCTGGACTCGGCGAGGGCGGGAGCGGACGACTCGGCCACAAACTCCTCTAGCAACGCGGCCAATGCGACTGTGAACACAACGGCGTTAGCGCACTTATACGCCTCCACGGCACTGAACCAAATCACCATCTGGGGCCCCGACGGCGAGATAAACGATTACGCATCAAAGCAATAGGGCGGGCTGGTCGGACCGTACTACGGGCAACGCTGGGGAGCGTTCCTGAGCTATCTGCGCACCGTGACGCCGGGTGCGTATGACGCGACTGTGGCGTGGGAGCGTGTGAAGGCTGTCGAGACTGAGTTCCAGGTGAGCGGGCTGAGGGACGGAGAGAGGGTCGAGAAGATGAAGAGGGGGTTAGGGAGGTCGTGGAGGGTGTTCGGGGAAGCGGGCTTTGGTAGTCTTGCAAAGATGCACTTGAAGTTTGCACAGCTCGTTTTAATTCAGTATGCACGCTTGTCGGGCCGGCAAGAACGCCCAACGAGAGATGTCCTGAATACTATGATGTGGAAACCCCAGATATGTGCTGTACCGGGTCCTGGACATATCCTGTGAAGCTCACCTGAAGCTTGGGAGCGAAGACTAGTGTCCCGAGCGCTTCATCTAAACAGCGAAGTTATACACATTTGCGCTAAGACCATCGTAGTTTATCCTATACCGCGCTGGCATACATGCGCCGCGCAATAGAACCAGGGATTTTCGGCGAGTGAAGCTCTTTCTTAAACCTCACCAGCTGTCTCGTCAACAGGCACCTCGACACGCGGCTCAAGCTATATACAGCATTAGTCAGAGCCTGCAGAGACCAGGCGAAACGTTTACTGGGCGGTATGAGCAGGAGTGGACCCACCCAAAGAATGCAACATGCCAATTGCATCTAGATCTGACTCACTCTAGCCCTCTTCCTGCTGCTCCCGGGCACCACACTGGGCCCACCGCGCCCAGGCCCGTCATCGCCACCCTTACCCCGGCTCTTCTCCTGCTGGTCAAGCACCAACTGGAGCACATCGTACGAGAACTGGGGGAACTCGAGACACATGGCCTTGAACTCTGGCTCCGCATCGTGGCGCAGGCTGTAGCTTCTTGAGGCCCAAAAAGCGGCCACGGGCTTGCGGATGGTCTGGTCGTCCGGATTTGACTCCTTGTATACGAATCGCGCGTAGGCGAGCTCGCCTTTGGCAGTGGAAGCTGTGCGGTGGATCTTTGAGTGTGCGAGAGACTTGAGTTCGGGGAGGCCGAGGCGCTCGGCGAGCGTATAGACGCGGGCGTGGACGAGCAGGGCAGCGCCGTCGTCGTCCGGGACGGGTTGGCGCGGGTCCTTCTCGAGGGGGGCGTCGCGCGCGGACGACGTCTTCTTTGGGAAGTATTCGCCTGTGTACAAGTACTCGATTACGGAGCCCATGGCATCGACGTCGCAGTCGGGGAAGGTAATCTGGCGGGCCTGCTGCGGGTCAGCGTGCGCGATTGCGGACTAGTAGAGCTTGTTGGACACACAACGCCCGGCGCAAAGCTCGCGACCTGCTTGGCGAACTCTGGCGACTTGAGAATGACTGCTTCGTGGGCAGAGTATGTCGTCTTTGCGTCTCCACTTCCAACGAGAACCTCGACGATCGGGCTCTTCATCAAACTGGGCCACGGTCAGTCGTACCCCCCTAATGAGATCTTCCCGAGTCTGAACAAGACAGCCTTTAGCTGTATGTGCGTCGTATCGCAGGATTGAGTCCTGCTGCGCCCATGTGCGCCAGCTCCGCGCCCACCCGTCGCTCACCAATCCCCTTCCCTTCCCTTCCAACCTAGCCAGAACGATCTCAAAAGCTTACTCAGCAAACAGCACCAACTTGGGCACTTCAGGCTCCATCTCCGTCAAGCCCGTCTCCTCCTCTCCCGCGCCCGCCTCAGCCACACCCTCCTCTCTCATCTCGATATCAGCAGCAGGCGTGCCGTCGACAGGCGTAGGCTGTTGCGAGTCGGCCATGACGAATGCGCGCGCAAGTCTCAAGCGGGCAGCAGGGGTTGTAGAATGAAGGTGAGGGAGCTGTTGAAAGCTCTCTAGCTACTGTGGTGAGATGTAAGCAATTGCGTGATCGGCCAGGAGAAAAGCGCGTTGGAAAGTGTAACTGAAATGAACGGTAGTGTTTCGGCGCATGAGGAGTCGGATGGGTGTACTGGCGTTGGATGGCTGCTGAATGGTTGGGGACGGCTGGGTGAGCTCGGGTGGGCGCGCCGGAGCTCAAAGACACGCTAGCGTCGCTCCTGCACTAGCCTGTTGCACGACCCTCACGTTCAACGAAGTCAGTAAAGTTGAGTGTCCAGTGATGAGCTATCAACTTATGGTTTGTAGGGAGGTGTACAGGTAAGTATGAATGCGAACAGAGAAGACTGGGGACAGGATGGGAATGGAAGAGTGCAATCATGATATCGCACCGTGGTGCACGCAGGTATCTACCATACAGACGTGTATGCAAAAGTCATGGGATATAGAATCGCTCTAACCAACGCCGGTCCAATGCCGCCAAGCTAAGCCAAAGGTGTGTAAAACGAGTAGATGTCGAAGTATAGTCAAATGCTTTTTACAGGCTGCAGGAAAACTGGTGCATCTACAAGCGTCCGCCGCGCTCGTGGAAGCGATCGCCAGTGGTGGGTGTGGGCTTGTCTACTCGGAGAACGTAGAGCAGAAGATCCTCGAGCGGAATAAAGACGTAAAATACCTTGTTACACAGGAAGGCAAATAGGACGAACGAGGTTGCGACCATGGCGTCCATGAAGTAGTGGTTGGCAGTCGCAACAATGGTGATCAGAATGAACGTCGGGTATCCAAGACCAACAAGGAGGTAGAAGATCTTCCAGAAAGCGTTCTTGCGCACCTCGCCGCGCTCGAGTGTACGGCGGAAGAGACCAGAGTGGTAGATCATAGTCATGCCGATGCAGAAGGAGTAGCCAAAATGCATGGAGGGCATTGCTGCGAGCTGGTTGACATATTTGCCGCTCATCCATACACTTTGAGCGTCGTCGTGGTGGACGGTATCGAGGAAGCCGTACTTCGAGGGGAGCAGGCGAGGAGGCATGCAGGGGTAGATGACGAAGGTAATGAACGCGCAGAAGTTAGTCAGGGTCATCGTTCGGCGGGCAATAGCGAATGTATCGAACGAAGGCGCAACATAGTAGTACCAGCAGATGAAGCTACGATTGGTCAGGTTGGGCGCAATCTGACAGGTCGCACAGTGAACTTACCCAACAGTACCGGGAATGTGGATGAGAGCATAGCACTTGTTCAGCACTGTAAGCGCATCCTGGTGGCCATGCATGAACCACTGCTGTACGCTCTGCTCGCGGATGGGAAAGAGGAAGCTCAGTATGCCATGGTCTTCAGCCTCCAGTACTGCAATTCCATGCTCTTGTGAGACATCCCAAATTCCCCTCCCTGCAAACAGTTTCGCCGAGAGAACCGCAGTCATTCGATAGAAGGCGTAATTGATGATCCAGTAGAACATCTCGATCAAGAATGGAAAGCGCTGCAGGATGCGGCTGTGAATGTTGTTTCTGAAGCGCGATGTGTTGGGCATGGCAACCTTGGTGCAGCACCATTTCCGCACCTTGGGAGGGTACTTTGTTGTGTTGACATCTGTCAGGTCGCTGTCGTCGTCGGAGGAATATGAGAGCAGCGCATCGGACGAGCTCTGCGAATCGCCGTCGAGGTATCCAACACCTGCATGGCTCTCTGTCGATCTATCGAATATTCTATAGTTCCGTCGTCGCGTAAGGGCCATAGCACCAAAGAGGATCGTGGCTACCATCTATGCGAGCGTTAGCGAACCGTCTTAGGTCTCTTCAGACAACCTCGATAAACACACCAAAGGCTCGGCCCAGCCCGGGAGCTTCCACGCAGGCTTGCTGCTCCATTCTGGCTCGTCGGCCATGGTCGTCCAGTTCGTAGCTTCGAATTGAAGCTGTAAGTAAGGATAGATGATGTTGTATAGGTGTCGCGTGACCAAAGTGCAGGAAGTCTGCGTTGCGCGGGAGATGCCTTGGATATGGCGATTACGCAGAGGTCATGGGATACACGTCCAGATATGCACAGCCCGGTTTTGGTACAAAGATCGATAAGGTCGAAGAAGTGGGAGTCCTGGATTCGTTGTAGCGCTACGATAGGCCGGGATGCGAAAGGAATGCCGTGTCTTTCCCTCTAGGATCCCAGGATTGTCACCCAAAGAATGCGTAAAGGACCACAGGAAGTCACAACAGTTAAAGGAGAGTTGAAATAAGTGGAGTGTCACCGAATAACGTCGATGTAGTTCCTGTTCATCCCTGTGTGCCCCAATTCTTTCCTTTCCTTGGCGGTCCACGCGGCAAGCTCAAGGTTTGGAGAGAGCGCCGCGTCATTGTTGTGGCAGGCTTGATCGCTGCTGAAGCCTTTGCAGCGCTTGCAAGGTTTTGATTCTGGACTCTTGTCTCCTCATTCATGGCCCCTTTCCCCAGCATCTGCTGTCACACGACACCAGCACTCCTCGCGGATGATCGATTGATGGCGCCCTGACGCAAGCCAAGCAGCGGTCATAAAAGCTCGCGCCCCGTGAGCCGCATTTGCAGCTCTAACGCAATGTTTGGCTAGCTCCTTCCAGTGCGGCGGTCTAGCTGCCTTCAGACGACACTTCAAGCATAGTTTTTGAAAGATATCCAACCGCAGGGCTGCGTATGCGCTTTACGTGGTCGCAGTGGCTAAAACATCGTCCCTGACGACGTTAGATTGCGCAGGCAAGCCTTTGGTTTCTCACCCGTCAAACCTCATTACCTACTCCCTGAGATTATGCTTCGGCGTCATACTCAGGCGGCACACGGAAGGACCCTCCGCAGAAGAGAGCTGCTGGCGACAAGTATTGTGTGGGTCTTTGCTGTTCATTTGCGAAGACGACCGCGACCGACTTTTCATCGATGGATGCGTTCCGCCAATTTCACACCAGCTATTTTTACTGGCGGCGCCACCTTTTGACTCCTTCCCGCAGGCCCGGCGCAGGGCAACTCCCGGTCCTGCGAGGGCAGAAAACGAGTACGTAACCGATCTGGGCTTCGGGTGAGCGGACCTTTGATAAAAGTTCGCTGCTGTCGATACTCATGAAAATGTTCACGATGCGCGTTCGTGCCTGTTGATCGTGACACAAGATGTGGTAGTTCGGCCACGCGACCTTGTGCGTCGACCGAATGCTTGCCTTGCGCTACGCAACCGACAGCCGAGTAGATGCGATGGCCTTTCTCGAACCCCATCTTTCGTATGCAGATCACAAAACCCATCGAAAGGCGGCTTCAAAAGCACAGCGCGAGTGCTTGCAACGTTGCAAGGCTATCCTGAACAAGAAAGCAGGAGAAGCGACACACGTCGTAGGCCGGAGTTTCGGTCACTGCTATCATCAATGAATGTCACCAGCCAAGTCTTACGTTCCTACTTACTAACGACCTGGAGCGCGCGACAGCAACATCGCAGGCTCGGATAAGCTTCCCCGCATCATTTGGTTGGAAGTTGTTACGACAGATGCCGCCATAGGTACTGGAACGGGGGGAGGGGGTGTGATTGACAAAGAGTTGTGGTTCTTGGGTCTTTGTGCTGCGCCCGCTTGGCCGCCTTATGCCCAGATAATTTGACACGCATCAGCGCCCGACTATGATCTTGTTTTGACAGTCGTCAGGATGCACTTCCACGACCGTTACCACATTTTTCATCCTGTTGTGTTCCGTTGCAACAGACGCATCTTCGATTGGAACTATGCGGAGCTGTGACTGCTACCTAAGAGCAAGCCACCCTGGGCCCAACCGAAGGAGCACCTGCGATACCAAACTTCGCTGTATTTGGAAGAAAAGCATCGTGGAACACACAAAGGAAAGTGAGCTACGAGCACGAGACTACTCAAAACCCTCTGTTTGGCGAACGCGCTGCAGCCTTGCCGCCTTGATGAGTAGAATTCGACGATGCCCATGCAGGTTTGAAGCCACACACATGACAACCCGCTTCGAACGTAAGCTCTTACCGAATTCAACGTCAACTCTGAGGATGAGGTGCAGTACAATCGCCAACGGTAGCTATCCTGGTTAGCAAATCGTCAAGACGAGCTAAGACATCGGAGAGGTATATTTGCACTCGATAGGTCCTACAGCGCAGCACGTAGCGACGCTCCAGCTACCGCCACAACCTCACGATGACATGGCGAATGAGATCATAGCTACTGAAGAAGTAAGTAAAAATGGACTTGAGGGAGCAGAGTATGTTGTAGACGAGAAACGGGCCGATAGAGTTCATTACTGAGCAGCCGCAAGCACTGGAGGAGTCCAGATGTAGCCATCTAGACGCTTCGAATAGACCGATATACAGAATACCAGCTTGGGGAATTCCAGTTCCGGTAAAAGCAAGAGCTAGAGTCCCAACACTCTCGTTCATCGCGCACCACTCCACGATCTAGGCCGCCTCGCATACCCTCTCGCAACCCGCACTGCGTTCCGCAGCTCTAGTGCGCCGTCATCATACAAGACCACGCAGCATCCCGCGCAGACGCCGACCCCACGCTGTCAAGCTCCCATCTACTTCCTCCCGCTGCACCCGTTCTCCATCGCCATCAACCTGCAGCGCACGCACCCCACAGCCCTTCCATACCCAAACGTGCACAGTGTGACAAAGAGCGAGAACACTAAATGGTGCGCCCGGCTCTTCCACATACGCCGCAGCTTGTAGCTGATAGGGCGCAGTACACAGCATTGTGTCACTGCAGTGGTATCCGCTATACCGTCGATCTCTCGCCCCCGCCCGACGATCCTGAGTGTTCGGTTCTGGAGTTCAACTGCAGCATCTGCGCGAGAAATGGGTCCCTGAACGTCTACGTGAGGAATGAGTAAGTTGAATTTGATGCTGTGGACATGCGGATACTTCAGCGGAGACATGTCGATGGGAAGAGTCTGTGAAAGGGAACGGCATCCAGAATATAGCATAGGAGCACTGGCATTGGACTCATGATCATGTCTTTCATTTTCGTCGTATATCTTGTAAATCTCTGCAAAGAAAATGCTACTACTGTGAGGACGGGATGTCGCTAAACGGGTATGCGTAGAAGTAAAGTCACATGTGCCAGAATCGAGCGGCGCTCAGCGAGATGTGTGAAATCAGCCTCTTAAAGATCAAACATATGAGACAACCAGATCGAAAGCTTAGGCCGCAATACAGTAGGCGTATCCAGCCCAGAGGTTGGTGCAGTCAGAGTTGAGCTGCGTGTTAAGAGAGCGAAGAATTGCAAAGTCGATGGGAGCAGAGGCGCAAGTGCTACCAGACTGAGGGATGTAGTAGTTGGTGCATCCGGTCACGACGCCATCGATGATGAGGTCGGGCTTAGTAGAGCCAGCAGCAGGAGTCTCGACGAACACACTAGGAGCGGTTGCAGGAGTAGGAATAGGCGTAGGAGTCGAAGCCGGCGCAGTAGGGTACTCAGCAGTAGCGATAGTCGCAGGCGCTGACACCTCTTCTGGGACATCGTTGGTGTTGCCGTTGGCAATAGTGCCCTGAGCACTCGATAGGGAGCCGATGACAGCGTTGTCGCAAGGGCTCCAGTTGAGCGGAGTCGTGAGACGGTTGGCGATGTCAGAAGCATAGCATGGAGTCGGTCCAATACCAAGATTATTGTCAGTGATCCTACCGGCATTGAACAAGCGAGCGGCTTTGTACCACTTGCTGTCATCGGTGGTGCCGGCATCTGCCACGCACTGGGTCAAGGTGGTCTCCAGGCCATCACCGTTGGTGCCGTCATGAATCATCTGACGGATCTTAGTCGAGGAGCAAGGGCTGATTGGGTTGCCGTCTGGGTTGCAACTGCCGGTTCCTTGAGCGCTCTGCATCAGACCTGGGTTATCGTGGCTCCAGCGCGTGGTGGGCGCTCGCACGCAGCCCTTAGACTCCTGCATCATGATGGCGAGGATGAATTCCTGTCTACAGTGAGCATAAATTGACACCTCAGAATGGAGGGGCAAGGTGGCTTACCTTGGGGATACCCGATGACTTGGACTCGTCAACGATGCTATCCTTGATGGCCTGCGTCTCGGCATTGCTGTTGTTCTCGCCCCAGCCCTCGACCTGGCAAGAGTTCAGGATAGTGTCGAGGCTCGCTTTCCTGCCTTTTATTAGGGTTTGCGAACAAGTGTGGAAATGAGACCAACCAAGCGTCGTCCCAGCTCAGCCACTGCTTCTGAGACGGCCAGCCAAGGGCCATTGTGCCATCTCCACCAAACATGATGTACGCGTCTCGTGCGACTATGGCGCGAGAAGCTGCGTTGTGAATTGGAGCGGCGAAGGAAAGCGCAAAGATGCTGCAAGCAGCGATAAGGGAGGTGGTAACGACCATGACTGTGGTTGGTTGCGGTTGTCCCGGAAGTGAAGGGCGTAGATGTAACAGTTCAAGAGCGAGTGTGCGAGCAACAAGAAGAGTTGAATGAAAGTGGTGGCGGAGGAGCTTGCCTCGCGCGAGTGGAGTGAAAAGAGAGACGAGAGCGTTGAACAATATGGAAAGAGTGTTACGGACGGTCGTGCTTTTTATAACACAAACGGGCGGCGCTTGCGCTTTCTGTTGCGCAGGAGCGTACCTGTCAGTTGTGCCAGATGTGGAGAGCCACCAGATATGAGATCTCTGCCAGTTGTAAGTGTCAACCCGCATCTGTACCTGGCACTTGCCTCTCTCGGTAGACGTGCATCGGTGAAACAGAGTTGCATCATGGGAACCACCACAAAGAAGGTGGCGTGGGTCACACAGGCACACATTGCTGTGTTCAAGCCCAGCCCAGATGAGCATCACTGATTATGTGTTCCTGGAAATTGGTGCAAATGTCCGCTGCTTGTGTCACGGTCATGGTGGTGTTGACTTCCTTCCTCGCTGGCGATGCCGTCCGGCTTATGAACCTGGGGAGGCTGCATGCAGTAATCAAACCCTAAAGAATTGGACCCGTAGATTGAACGATGCAGCCTGCCAGTAGGCCTAACGCAAACTCGTGTAGACTCTATCCAACAACAGAGCATGCCGTGAAGCTGCTTGTCCAGAGGGGTACGCAACAGTAGCCTCAGCGTCGAGAGCGCGACTGCATCACGAGAGACGTTACTTTTGTCGCTCGGCACTCGGAGAGGATTCTCAAAAGGAACAATGAGGCTCTCGGCAGCTGTTCAGACGGACGCCACGCCCGGCGCAAGCAGCAAGTTGATGTGATTTGACGCTTGGGCGCTGACACTCCGTGCGGCGCAGTCCAAACCCGCAGCTCGAAAGCGAACGGAAGCGGTTGGCCAGACAGGGGTATTGACATCTACAAAGAGATCTGCCGACGTTCTGGTCTGCGAAACAAGTAAGAGGATAGGCTGGTCAAAGACGGCGTCTCCGCAAGGGCAGGTTGAAGTCAAAGGCGGGGACTACCGGTAGATGCGCAAAGTGAGACTTGCTGCGCAGCACGTGCACAATGACCTCGACGCCACCGCTCACCGAGAGTCCTTAGTATGGATGACTAGCAAGAGGACTCGAAGTGCAGGGCGATATGAGCAGTCGTTGCGCAGCAGAGTAGTGCATATACGGGCGCGGGCTGCTGTGGTTACTGCACGCGAGATCTACCAATGAGGGGAGGCGGCACATGCATGCCGCAGGTACGGCATGTCGGGAGGCACAGAGTACAGAATGTCGTGATCTTGGGATATATTGTAGTTGTAACTGCTCGATTTGTGTCAAGGTTACAGAGGATGAAGTAGATGCGGGGTTGACGGCGCGAGATTAGGAGAGGTGCGACGGAGAGAGGCTGGAGTCGAGCATAGGTGGTTCTATTCCGTCGTCGCACGCATACTACTTTGTATTATCTGCCATCCAGCGCATTCTTCAACTCCGGATATTCTCTCCACAGATTGACTAACGGCAGGAACAAACGCTTCTTGATCTCTGTGCCGTTCTTTTCGGCTTCGGCTTGCTCGCCCGCCCACGCCCACATTTGACTCCATGGTATCCACTCCCACTTCGCACACTTGTGCGGCTCCATTGGCTATATACTATTAGTCTAGTTCTCTCAATGCCATATCTCATGGCCTCTTGCACCGCGGAGATGGTCGTCTCCGAACACAACATACCTGAGCAACCTTGATCTCTCCCGTGATCTCCGCAGTCACGAAGATGGTCACGTAGTGCTTTCCTTCCCCGAACACATCATTCGTAGCGACTAGGAACTTGATGTTTCCGATCTTAAGACCCGTCTCTTCTAAAGTTTCTCTTGCTGCTGTTTCAGCAAAGGACTCGCCGTACTCGAGATGCCCGCCCGGACATTGTAAGGTACCTTATAAGTCAGTAATCACTCAAGCTCCAAAAACCTTCAGTCACTCAGACATCTGATGTTGTGGTGCTAAAGGCTTACCCGCGCCGTGACTTCCAGCTCTTTCGCCCATGATGATGTTGCCCGCACCATCGTGAATGACGACACCAACACCGACCTTGGGACGCTCAGCTTCTGACATGTTCTGTACAACGAAACGAAGCTACTGGATTGGATGTAAGTCCACTTAAGAGAAGATTTGCTGCTGAATATTGGAGTGCGAATGATCGAACTTGTAAGACGCGCTAATGCCGTATGTGGGGCGGTACATTTGACATTCGCCTGTTTGGGCAATGTGGAGGGCGGGGCGCAGTGATGCAGAAACACAACTATTAGCCATGAAGACCCTAAACCTGATCGGCAGGCTCACAAACGTCCGTAAATCACAATCACGCTGTCGAGTGTGGCAAAGAAGACCTCAGGCTCCACTGTGAAGCTTCACACCTTGTGCCTTGCACCTGGAACGCAAACATCCATTACTCCAATATGTTCCTGAGAACCCAAGAGTCAGAGAGTATTGATCGTGTCATGCGATGGCTGCCTAATCGAGCCATTACTTGGAGTTGATTTCACGAGCCTGCAAGTTCACAAGCATGTTGTAGAAGTCTACCTTCCAATCAACGCACTCGAGGTACTCCCACCAGAGGCGCAGAGCCGGCGAGTCGTCAGCGTCAGCCTATATGATATCAGTGAGAGTTTCTAGGAGGTTTTGGAGTATCGGCGGAACAACTTACGGCGTCAAAGGCGTTGAGAATGAGGCCGGCCTTGATCATGGCGGTCCTCATGTCGGCCTCACGCTCCCATTCAACAAGCTCGTGAACGTAGTCCTTGACGTCGCTCGCGACCAGTTTGTTGTGCTTCTCCTCATCGATCGTGCGAGTGGTAGCATCGTCGCTAGTAGGGAGCAGGATGGCACCTTCGTAACTGGGTTTGGGGAAGAAGTGCTTCTTCAGCTCTCGAGTGAACCAGGCCTCGCGGGCCGAGTGAGTTAGATCTACTGCAATGTGCTTCTTGACCTCCTGAGGCACATGGGCCTTCATGGTGTCGTTATCGAGCTTGTCTGACCAACGCGTCTGGGAGTAGTTGCCGAAGTACGCGTAGCGGCCTGGCGTGACTTGAACGAACATGGGCACGTTGGTGTACGAGTTGGTGCCTTCCGGGAGGTTGTCAAACACTTCCTCCGGAGCCTTGTTGAAGAAAGCGGTCAACTTAGCTCCATGTCCCCCAGGAGCTTTGGGCAAGTACGGCTCGTAGGTCGGATCGATCATATAGTAGGTGCGGTTCTTCAGGAGAGGACGTTCGCTGTTTGAGTTCATGTACATCAGACCTGGAGACCACGAAATTCCGCCAAGAAAGGCGCACAGGAAATTGAGGCTGAAAGTCGTCATCTCTCCTCGCGCAGGGATCCTAGCACGGACATTGGTTGGTAATGCCTCGAGTGTAGTCAGGTAGTATGGCTTCCAGGCGTTGAGGGACGAGGCCTCGACTCCATCGAAGGAAGAACCGTCCCGGACAGCGGCTGTGGTGGGAGACAGTAGAGGGCTAGGAACTACTGCTGGAGAAAAAACATGTACCTGGATGAGCGGCTGCCTGAAGCTAGCACTCCGAGTCAAGGTGAGAGAAGCAGTTTTCGTTGGATCAGTCTTGCGTGAGGAAGCCCCCCGAGAAACGTGAGTTACTGATCGCGGTCTTGAGCGTTAGGTATGACAGGTGTGGCGGTTGTCTGTGATATGCCAGCTGAAGTCTGGTGTTGTGGATGGTAGGAAAGATGGGCAAACAGGTGATGTGCGAGTTGATATAGACGGTGTTGTACATCCTGCTACTGAAGCGCTACAGGTGAGCCTGCGCCGTTTCAATGCAAAGTGAGACCAACAGAAAGTGAGAGAGCGAGCGAGCGAGCGAGTGATTGAGCGTATACCAGATATAATGGCCATACCAACTTCATATCCGACTGAAATCGACGGCCAACATATTGATCGAACACCATATTCAAGTCACCCGTGAGCTAGCTTATACTCATCTTCGAAAATCTCCTTGCCCGGTGGTGCTGCTGTTGGTGCCTGCCGTTCGCCAGCCACACCTAGCCTGTTTACGTGTCGACATCATGCGCAGTCTGTTCCGAGCAGCACGACACCGGGAACTTCGTGATTATATATCGGTAAGACATGTCATGGCAAATCCATAGGTCGAGATGATACTGCGGGGACTCGGCTGCTGAATGCACCAGAACGCGAATAGCGCCGAAGCATCTCAACATCTTCCCCACCCGTGATAGCTCTTCTCGATCCATCTCATTTTGAATTCAAGTTCTTCAAGCTTCTTATTGATACTGCTTCGCTCTTTTCCGACTCATGACCACGCGTTTGCGGCTCCGCGTCGAGTCTGCATCGAATATGCTTTTCCGAACTCAACGTGGAGTGTAGACCATCCATCGATGGCGACTGCTCAAGCTGCAATGCGATTAGAGCTCCTCGTCACGCGTCGCTGTCCAGTGTTATGGCCCTAGTGGTTGTACTCGAGGTGCTGACACGCTTGAGGGGTCGCCAAGACGGGCGGATTGGTGACCTCAACGCGCACGCGACAATGTGCTCCCATGAGGTCGGCAGCACACAAACATGCGGCAATCAGGTACACAAAGCCTCTCTCGCAATGTTTGAAGTGTTCTCAGGCGCGTTTGAGGTATCGTGAGTGTCGACTGCAGGGGAGAGCGGAGCGCAACCGTTCCTGACATTATGTAGACGCGCGATGTCGGCAAGCGCGACTGAACCCTGAGAAACGTCATTGTCCGTGCCCGCTCCTCCATTATTCATTTGGCGAGCCACTCCTCACCACCGCGGCTGATCACGATAAGAGTACGTGCACCGAGTCTGTTCACGGCTTGCGATACCCTCTACGCCATCTATGACCCATTTCGAGTACTCGGATCAGTCCAATTACCCACTCTCTTGACTCCACGATGCCGCCGAAGCGCAGTGCCGAGGACGTCCAGACACTCAAGGAGAAACTCCACAACGCGAATGTCCGCGGCCGTCGCACTGGTGGCACGAATCCAACGAACGACAACAGCCTGAAAGAGGTCGACAATGCGTCTACCAACAGTGGCCAGACATCAAACGACCTCGACACCTCGAACGTCAGTCACCGCCTCACTCCTGCCCAGTCGTAATTCCTCACACCACACCACTGCAATGCGCACCAAACACTGACATTCACTTCTTAGATGAAATGGACTTCTCAAGAGTCTGCCGTTCTCCAGGGCTACCGACGAGCATACCGCCTCGACACGCCCTCGACCTTCAAGAACCCGCTCAGCCACGTCGTCCTCGGCCAGGGCATAGGACGCATGTCCCCTACCATGGCACGCGCGAAGTCAAAACGACGAGTACACAAAGCTCAGCTTGCAATGGCTGTACGGAAGAACTTCAATGCTATTGGTGTCAGCGAGAGCGACGTCATCGTTGACTGGCTGTACAAGACGAAACACCAGGGTGCGCAACCCACACGAAACCACCTTCGAATTATTGCTAATGTCTGGGTGATAGATGACGAGTTCCGTATCCGTTTTACGCCGCAACGCAAATGAGCATGAGTTGACTCACACTGCGTACGCGCACACACCTTCGCTTCACTTTCGAACCTTTTACGTCGATACCCTGCCGTGGCCTGACAGCCAGCGATCAATAGATATAATGAGCATGAGCATTTTGGGAGGCGTTTGGAATACACGCACGCCCTCGGTTGGGTGATGCATACTTGCTTTGGATAGAGCTCATCTTGCTCTGGCACTCAAGACTTGGGTATGTCAATGACGATTGCCAACGATACTGTCTATTTAAAATTACGTATGATGGCTACTCGGTATTAAACGATCTGTTTTACTTTTTACGGCCGACAAACCTATGACCGCCGAGAGCTTTCTGCCTTGCTGTGCCACTTGAGCTTCGACATGCACCAACAACTACAGTCGACCTCACAGCGAGACCTCCAGATGATGCGCAATCAACATGAACGTAGCGACTGCGTATTAAAAACTGGGCTTGTCAATTACAGCACTGTTGCGCTGCGAAGTCACAGCTCTCGAAGGTGCTGGAAGACGCGCCCGCTTGTTGCCGAGGGCCAATGCGCTGCGCGTCATTGGTTGGGTTTCTTTGGACGTTCAAAAAGTTCATCCACCGCCATCGACATCGAGGTGTCCACTTGGTATCTAGATATTGTAGCACCATTACATTCATTTCGAGCGCTTCATTTAAATTCACAACATGAGCTTCGCCGCCCCAATGCCGCTGAAGGCAGCCGCTCCTGCGCGCATAGTCTCGGCCTCTCGACAGTGCCAGAGGAGGAGCATGCCGAATGCGAGAGCGCAGATGAGGAGACCAACATTCGCTGCGCAGACACCGGCACCAAATGCGCCCTTAACACGAGTACGTTGAACCTGACCGGTTTCCTGCTTGAAGGGTGTACTGACAAAGTCTACAGCTCTTTCATGCATCACCCACCACACATGCAATGACCGATCCATACAAAACTCTCGGTGTGGGCAAAGACGCCGCGGCCGGCGATATCAAGAAGGCATACTACGGCCTCGCAAAGAAGTACCACCCTGATACGAACAAGGATCCCGGAGCGAAGGAGAAGTTCGCCGCTGCCCAGTCCGCATACGAAATCCTGTCCGACAAGGAAAAGAAGGCGCAATACGACTCGTACGGCGCATCGGCGTTCGATCAGAACGGGGGTTTCAACCCTGGAGCTGCTGGCGGAGGCAATCCCTTCGGTGGAGGCTTTGGCGGTTTCGGTGGATTTGGTGGAGGTCAGGGTGGATTCGGTGGCCAAGGCGGATTTCAGGACATCAACTTCGAGGATTTGTTCGGCGCATTTGCCGGAGGACGGAGGCCACGAGGAGGAGGTGGTGGTGGAAGGAGAAACCCCTTCCAGGAAGAGATCATGGTCGGCGACAACATCGAAGTACAAACGAACATCTCGTTCCTCGACGCAGCAAAGGGGGTCAAGAAGGAGATTCACCTCACACCTATGGTCGAATGTGGGACATGTAAAGGCAACGGCTTGAAGGCTGGCGCTAAGAAGGCGGAGTGCAAGGGCTGCGGCGGTACTGGACAACGTGTCACAAGCATGGGCGGCTTCCACATGAGCGCAACCTGCGGGCAGTGTGGTGGTTCTGGATTTGCGATCCCTCGTGGCTCGTCTTGCGGAACTTGCAACGGTGACGGAGCAGTCAAGGAGCGCAAGACGATACAGATCGATATTCCCGGAGGCGTAGAGGATGGTATGCGTCTGCGCGTCAATGGCGAGGGTGACGCACCGCTCACAGGGCAAGCCATGTCTGGAGGCAAGGTACACGGACAGAAGGGCGACCTCTATGTCCTCATCCGGGTAGCTGCAGACTCGAAGTTCAAGCGCAATGGCTCCGACATCCTCCACACTGCGACCATCCCCCTCACAACTGCCGTTCTTGGAGGCGAGATTAAAATCCCCACTCTCGATGGCGAAGTCATGGTCAAGGTTCCCACTGGTTCAGGGACAGGCGACAAGATCACGCTCTCTGGCATGGGCATGAAGGTGCTCTCCACCGGACGCCGCGGTGCGCAGAAGGGTGACTTGAAGGTCGAATTCAAGGTCAACATGCCGAAATACCTCTCTGTTAACCAGCGAACAATCCTGGAGATGCTGGCCGACGAGATGAACGACAAGAGCGCAAAGAGGATCATGAACCTGAGCAAATTCAAGGAAGATGCACAAGCAGCAGCTGAGAAGCCATCGACTGCGGCAACGGAAGACGAGCACAAGAACGAAGGCTTTCTCAAGAGCGCATGGCACAACCTCACCGGGCAACACAATCACCCAAAGAAAGACCAGACAAAAAAGGACGATGAGAAGAAGGGCCCTGGTTCGACCTAAAGCTCGAACAGCCCTGTGTGTATTCGACATGTTGTACAACATTTAGACTGGCGCATATGGTGGTGTCTGCTGTTCCCACCAGGACCAGCATTTTGCAAGCATTTCTGGCGTTGATCCACGGTCAAGATGTATAGAAGCCCCTATTGTAATCGTTGGCCTCTCGACTCTGACTTGTACTATAAGGTTTATTCCATGTAATAGCGAACTGTAACAACGTACATTCTCTTCACCGACTTGCTAGCTCAGCGCTTCCATATCTACTAAACACCTTGTGACCGTGACCCTTTTCAGGGCGCGTACGAACGGTGATGTTTCCTCCATGGCTGTCGTTGCCCCCGGGACAGCCATCCACAGCGCTCCGCACCGAGCGCTTCGGGGAAGCCACGCTGCGGTCTCTTGAGGACTTGATTGGCCGGGGGCGAACCGCACAGCTGGGATCAGGCTTCATGACACCAACTCCCTAACGCGGATGTGACTGACTCAAATGCAGCGTTCACAACAATCCATGATGTTGAGCGCCTAGACCGCTCGAGTGGGCGTGGTAGACTGCATGGTTTGGGTGTGGGCGTGCTTATGCGTGTGAGGTGCAGCGGCCCATGTGGTGACCGTCCGCGTGTGTAACCCCTCCCAGCCCACCAGAGTTCCATCATCAACACTCGTGAACCTCACCGCCACTGCGCGACATTGCTATACCTCGAGGCTCTCCCTGGGACCCCTGATTGAACAAGTGAAGGATTTCACGAAAACGTATGCAGTGCCACGAGAGACACGCCAGCTGGTGAATAGCACGACTTGGCCACGCTATCCTTGTAACCTCCGTCATCCCGCTGGGCTATCGATTGATGCCGTCGACGCGACCCACGCCCACGCGCCTACCGTAACATCATCTTTTGCATAGCGTACTCGACACCCTCATTGCATACTTGCAGCGCGATTGCACACCTCGCTCCATCATACCTCTTACCAAATCCAATCCAATTGCCGCGCACGCTGCGCCAGGCAGCGCCATGGCAACCCAAATACCCATGATCTCGGTGCCGCTGAAGCAGACCAACGAGATTGATTGGGTCCAACCACTGAAGGGCTACATACGGCAGACCTACGGCGATGACCCGGAGCGCTACGCCGAAGAATGCGCGACTCTCAATCGATTACGGCAGGACATGCGGGGCGCAGGGAAGGACAGTGCGGCGGGAAGAGACCTGTTGTACAGATACTACGGGCAGCTGGAGCTGCTAGACCTGCGGTTCCCGGTCGACGAGAACCACATCAAGATCAGCTTCACATGGTACGCCCGAAGTATTCCGGATAGGAGAGGTGTACGCTGACAGACTAGGTTCGACGCATTTACACACAAGCCCACGTCCCAATACTCCCTCGCCTACGAGAAAGCTAGCATCATCTTCAACATCTCCGCCGTCCTGTCGTGCCACGCCGCGCACCAGAATCGCCATGAGGAAGTCGGGCTCAAGACCGCGTACCACTCGTTCCAGGCCAGTGCGGGCATGTTCACGTACATCAACGAGAATTTTCTGCACGCACCGAGCCAGGATTTGGGTAGAGAGACGGTCAGATGTCTGATCAGCATAATGCTGGCGCAGGCGCAGGAAGTCTTTCTCGAGAAGCAGATTGTGGACGGGAAGAAGGTTGGCTTGCTGGCAAAGTTGGCGAGCCAGGCGGCGTTCTTGTACACGCAGGCTACCGAGGGCGCGCAGGAGAATGTTACCAGTGCGGTATTTGAGAAAGTGTGGCTGCTGGTCGTTCAGGTGAGTACTCGCAATCGAGGGAGGCTATTAGTGCTCACGATTCGCAGGTGAAGGCAAACTACATGGCCTCGCTGGCGCAGTACTACCAAGCGCTGGCCGACGACGACGCAAACTCACACGGCGTAGCAATCTGCAGACTGCAAGTCGCGGAGGCGAGTGCTCGAGATGCCAATCGCCAGGCGATTAGCTTCCCCAACTCGGCGCCCGCAAACTCGAATTTGACGAACGAAACGCATGGCATCTTGGCGGAGATGACAAAGAAGCACCTAGCAAATGTGCAAGATAAGTTGAAGGAGTTCATGAAGGATAACGACTTCATCTACCACCAGGGCATTCCCAACGAGGCTTCGTTGACGGCGATACCGAAGCTTCCTGCGGCGAAGGCGATACCTGTTAGCGAGCTGTACCAAGGTCAGGACATCCAGAGGATCATTGGTCCGGACATCTTCCAGAAGATCGTGCCCCTGGCGGTGACAGAGTCCGCCAGTTTGTACGACGAGGAGAAGGCAAAGCTGATCCGTGCCGAGAGTGAAAGAGTAGAAGTTGCAAACGACGAGATGGCGGCGAGTCTTGATTATCTAAAGCTACCAGACAGCTTGAACGTGCTGCGAGGTGGCATGGACCAAGACATGATGGTGGACTCAGACTTCCGGAAGTGGTGTGAGGATCTTGCAGGACACCAATCGTTTTCCTCAGCATTTGACCAACTCAACCGTGATAAATCGGAGATCACTGGCCAGCTTGACGGAAGTATGAAGCAGCTGGACATGGAAGAGAGTGTTTGCGAGAAGATGAGGAGCAAGTATGGCGCAGAATGGACGCAGCAGCCCAGCTCGAGACTCACAGCGACACTACGAAGCGACATCAGGAACTATTGCGGCGCCGTTGAAGAAGCGAGCACAAGCGATGCACAGTTGTACAATACGTTCAGGCAATGCGAGGCGGACTTCGATGAGATGCGCTCAGCAGGCGAGACGGACGAGGCGGATGTGCTGTACCAGAGGGCTATGATCAAGGCGGGTGCGCAGAAGGGCAAGAGTCCTGGGCCCGCCCAGGGTAACCTCATCGATGATGACTTTGACGATGGCCCGACAGTGGCAGATCAGATTGCGGCTGTGGAGGACTTGCTGCGGAAGCTGAACCTCGTCAAGAAGGAGCGAGCGCAGATTTTGCTCGATCTCAAAGGCAAGGTATGTGGAATGACATTGACATCGCAACTTTACGGACTAACACCTGCAGGTCCACTCTGACGACATCTCAAATGTTCTCATCCTCAACAAGAAAGCGATCGCGAACCAGGAGTCGCAACTCTTCAAAGCTGAGCTTGAGAAGTTTAGACCGCACCAGAACCGCATCCTACAAGCCAACCACAAGCAAGCATCGCTACTCAAGGAGCTTACGCGGACGTATTCAGATCTCCTGAAGGATAAGCGCGTGAGGTCTGAGCAAAGTAAATACGAGGCCTTTTCGAGACAGCGGAACACTGTCATGACCAAATACCGGCGGATCAACCAGAACTTCAACGATCTCGTCGCCGGCCTGCAACGCGCACAGCAGTTCTACTCGGACATGAAGGACACAGTTTCAAGTCTGCAAAAGAACGTCGAGACCTTTGTCAACAACCGAAGATCCGAAGGCGGCCAGCTCCTTGCCCGCATCGAGCAAGGCAAGTCCTCCGGCGCAGACCAAGAACAACAGCGTCTCAAGGACCTGATGGAGCGCATGTCCATGGAGCCTTCCGGCTCACCAGTCTCAACCGGCAGCGGCGGACGTAAGAAATCCGTCCCGCCACCCCTCTCCTCAACACCCGGCTACCCATCCACATCCTCCGCAGGCCACATGGCGTACAACCCCGCGGCCTCACCCCCAGTAACACCACGCTACCCACCCACAACCCAACAACCCTTCATGTCGCCCCAGCAATCTTACACCAACCAAGCACCACAGTCCTTCCAACCCCCGCCACCCCGCCGGGAGTCGTACCAGCAGCAGCAGTACGCCCACCAGCCGCAGTCAAGCCAATCTTACAACCCAGCACAACACCAGTACAACCCCGTAAGTCCGCCGGCGCACCAACAGTTCTTCTCCCCGCCGCCGGCGCAGCACCAGCAGCATCAGCCCTGGGGCCAGCCTCCCCAACAGCAGCAGAATCAGTGGGGCCAGAATGTGCCGCAGGGATATGTGCCGCCGCCGCCGCCGCCGGGTCCGCCGCCGCAGCAGGAGTATGGCCATTTCAGCCAGGGGGCGTATCCGGGGGGGCCGGGTGGGTATGCGCAGAGTGGACGGCCGGGACAGGCGCAGGCGCAGCAGCAGCAGCAGGGTGGGAATGATCCGTGGGCAGGGTTGAGTGGGTGGAAATAAGTGAGCATAGAGTATTTGGATTGGGGGTAAGATATATGGTCGCAAGGCTGTTGGCATATGGAGGGCTGAGGTGAGGTGGGGTGAGGTGTAGATAGTGAACGACAATGGGAGTTGGACGCAAAGAACTTCCCGCCATGATAGTTACGTGCTTGCACATGTCAAGCAACCAGTCTTGATTCTCGCACCGATGCTTTTCTGGCTTTCCGCCGAGACGTTTTATCCAGACGCAACTGTCGGGCACTACTTGGGCGCAGCAAGCGCAAGCCCGAAAGCATGGGAATGAATCTTGCGTGCATCGAGTGTGGAAAGGCAGACCAAGAGTTTCAGCATAGACAAGGGTGGAGATGCAGGTTACAGGGGCGTGCGAGTACCTCGGAAGATGCAACGAGCAGAAGTGTAGTATACCAGTGCTTCACCGGATGGAGTCTATGCACGCCATCCAGTGTCAAAGTAGAGCCAGACAATTAAGCATTACCACAGCATAAACACAGCGCTTACCCTGTTATCTATTGATCTGTCCATCGAATGTTACACGCCAATTCCGCATTTTCTTGGAATGTGAGAACTGGTGGGGGAGTGCAATTGATGGCGTGAGGTGCAAGTAGGGGCTGTCCTTGAGGGGAATTGAGTGGGTAGAGAAAAGCAGACTGTACTTGTTAGCACAGTCGAAGGTAGGATAGGACAGCTGCCAAACGTGCTCGTGAGGTCCAAATGCTATTAAGAGACGTACATGGATGGTTCTAACTCGTCCATAGTCTCCTATGGTGTCACCCAACCCCTGTCTTCTGAGCTCACGGAGCCCTCCGAGCTGCAATCGAGAGTAAACGTGTTACCGTCCCGTCTTCTGAGTAGCTCCGGCCAACGCGGCTGTGTTCTGCTTCTATCGCTACCAACGAGACGTATCGATCCGATGCGTAAGACATCTCGTTGGAAGCGCTGCTTACTTCTTCGCGCGGGCTCTTCTTCTCACAGGTGCCCACCATTCGCTGAGAATTCGAACTTTGTGGACTCGTGAATATACCACCAGGTGGGTTCTTGTTTCGTAGTTTCACTTCTGATGAACCCGTATTGAACGATTTTCGTGAAGGCTAATCCCTCGAGACTCCTGATAAGCCGTTCCAGTGCTCTCCTGTGCTCGCGAAGGCCTAGTCGTTCACTTAGACTCAGTAGCTCGTACATATGCAACGATGCAAGAGACATAATCATGACGACATCAAGAAAGACTTCCTCTGTTGTCCTCTGGTAGTCAATGACTACGCGCTCGCTCGGAGGCACAAGGCTCATGAGACCGTAGACTTTGTCTCTGACGTCCTCGCATTCCTGTTCTGCGAACAGCTCCAGGGCGTTCTCCAGCTCGAAGGTTTTCGCATACGCGCCGTGAAGAAGGTAGTAGGCCATCATCTGGGGTCCGCCTCCTACATCCTCTACGATGGCGTTGAGACGGCTTCCGAGGTCCTCTGCTTTGACCCAGGTATTGCCGCAAAGTATAACCTGCTTGGGTGACAGAACAACCTCTTGCACAATCCACAGACGTCTGAAATAATCGTTTGCAGCCAAGTATTGCCCGCCCCATCTTCTTTGCGAGAAGTCCAAGGCGAGCTGCTCCGATTCTCTGCCCAGCCAGATGATTGCGTGCAAGCATCCCTCGTAGATGCGAGCCATCATGGCGACCTGGTGGTTGCGTTCACTGGTATGGGCCTGGGATATGCAGATCTGGTCGATCCAGATGTGGCATGTGTTGGTCTTGTCGTTGCGGTAACAGGTCAAGAATTCGTAGAGGTTCTGGCGGACTGAGAGGCTTCGTCCGTTGACACGGATAAGTCGTGTCATTGTCGGCGATCCCCACGTGTACGACAGGGTGATGTACTCGGGTGCATTGTCCTTGTCGAATACGTCAAGGGTGCATTCGATGGTGCTGTCTTCTGGTCCTGGTTTTATAATGACGAGCCGTATCTGATCCTTTGTGAGATTGAGCGGCTCATATTCGTACGCCAGTACAGAGCTCTCGGCAGCATCTGTCATCTTTTCAAGTTCCGGTGTCTAGGGCGAGAAGGTTTCGCGACAGCGATGATCAGTTGAGCGATGATCAGTTGAGCGATGATCAGTTGAGCGATGATCAGTTGAGCGGGGAGCAAAGCAATGGAGGGGAAGGTGCAGTGCGGCTGCGCTGCATCGTGGCGCAGCAGCCACAGCTGCCTGACCGGTGAGTCGAGAAGGCGACTTGGGACGTGACAAGGCGGGGAGGAGTTTGAGACGTGTCACTGTTTTCTTACGTAGAGAAGTATAGCAGGTCGTTTGCGATTACTCCCGCACTCAAATCCTACCACGATGTCCTGTCGCTTTCCTGTGTCTTGCATCGTGTGCAGCCTTGTCAACAATCAAGTCAGTTTCGACCTCACACTCACGCGCCCACCCAACAAGGTAGGAAACAAGACTATGCGGTGTAGGAAACAAGACTATGCGGAGAAGGAAACAAGACTATACGGGCAAGGAAACAAGACTATGCGGGGAAGGAAACAAGACTATACGGGGTTGGAAACAAGACTATGCGGAGAAGGAAACAAGACTATGCAGTTCCCTGGTAGGCTCTAACAGATGATCCAGCAAGTCAGTCCGAGGTCGCTGGGCTCCACTTGATTGACTGTTGACAACTGTGATTGTACAATAAAGTGCTTAGATCTTCTAGTAGCCCTGTGAGTACTGCTTGGTGCCATGAAGCCCCAGGATTCGATCAGGGAGAGCATACCCAGTTCACCTGAATCATTTCCCTGGCCAGCAATGGGCGGTTGTATGTCTACGGAACTTTAGATATGACCACTTGAATGAATACCTCTTCCGCTAATTTACGGTAGTTGGCTTCCAGTCTCTCTTTTTTGGGAACAAGACTCAAAAGGCCGTGGAATTTGTCACGTGGATCTTTGCAGTCGTAGCCGGAAACCCCTGGATGCGGTAGTTCAGGGTCTGTGACGGTTAAGAGGAGAAGCGGATCACGTGTTGTTGGCGGTGGTCTGGTGCTGCTTCCTCGTGTTGTTGAGCACCTCTTACCTCAGCTGCATCCCAAACACGTCATCAAAACAGACCCCGCAGCGAGCCAGACACAAGCAGAACAGAATAACAGAATAACAGAATAACAGAATAACAGAATAACAGAATAACAGAATAACAGAACAACACAATACACTCGTTTGCATTTGCCCTGGATACCGCAACAGAGTCTATGCCCCCTTTCGTCAGGGCCTTGGACACATTCCGTCGCCATGGGCATGGAATTTAGAACTCCAAGAAAGTATCCGAGTTGTCACGGCCTCGCAGTGGTGACGAGGGTGTTGGTGTTGGGTTGCAAGAAGTGCATTTCCAGTGAGGTATGCCAGTGCTTGGAGTACCGGTAGATACATGAGTTGGAAGTAGTGAGAGACATGAGTTGGAAGTAGTGAGAGACATGAGTTGGAAGTAGTGAGACGTGAGTTGGAAGTAGTGAGAGACATGAGTTGGAAGTAGAGAGAGACGAGTTGGAAAGTACCAGTAGACGTGAGTTGGAAGTAGTGAGAGACACGAGTTGGAAGTAGTGAGAGACACGAGTTGGAAGTAGTGAGAGACACGAGTTGGAAGTAGTGAGAGACGTGAGAGACACGACTTGGAAAGCACCGGTAGGCGAACCCGTGTCCTTGACGGAGAATTCACAAAATCAAGCATCATGCGATAAACTCTCCATGCATCCGAGGCGCCCGAGCACAGCGTCTCAAACAAAGAAGCCCGCCTCGGCTGGACCAAGGCGTGCATGTGTCATTCCAAGGGGTTTCAAGGCTACACTATGCCCAGGACAGGCCCCAGGAGCACGGCTGGCACTCGCGTGAACAATCCACCCACTACTCCAGCCCCTCCATCAGCCCCCGGCGCACCTTGGTATTGACGACCCCGCCGACGCCGAACGCGGGCACAATGCGCCCCATGCGCGCGACGGCGCTCTTGGCCCAATTCTTGACAACCTGTCCTACGCGCCCGTCGGGCCCGCCCAGCGGCGCGGCGGGACGGTTGTACAGGTCCAGCCCCAGCAGATGCAGCGGTGTGCTCACGACCTGTATGGCAGCCGGGGTAGCAAACTGCGCGAGGCTCGCCGCGGCGACGAAGCGGGACAGCTGCTCCGACATGTGGCCTTCGAGGCGCGGCGCGAGCAGCGGCGGCAGGTTGAAGCTGGCGAAGATGGTGAGGCAGTCGCGGACGGTGAAGAGGGCAAAGGTGGGCAGCGGGACGGGGCGGGCGGGGCCGCGGGCGCCGAAGAGCTGCGTGAACTGGCTGTCTTTGTACAGGCACAGGGCCAGATTGGCGCTCGACGTGGCGACGAATTTGGTGCTGCCGGCCGTGGTGGCGCTGTAGGACGTGTGGGCGCGCGCCGAGGCGAGCGTGTCGATGGCGTTGGCCGTCAGGTAGGTGCCAAAGTAGAGGCTCTGCGGGGTGTTAGCGAGAGCGAGACGGCAGGGAGCCACCAGCCAGACGGCAGCGAGCCAGACGGCAGCGAGCCAGACGGCAGGGAGCCACCAGCCAGACAGCAGTGAGCCACCAGCCAGACAGCAGTGGGCCACCAGCCAGACGGCAGTGAGCAGCGGCCCCCAGCCGCCAACGCAGCGAAGCAACGCACAAAGATGAGCGCAAACGGCCTGCTGCCCACAAACCGCGCGGGTCTGCTCAGCATCTCCCGCGCGCTCGTCCGCAGACTCTCGCCCAGCGGAAGCCGCCCGCTCGCGTTCTCCATGATGCCCTTGTCAATCACCGTGATGACGGGCGCCACCAGCGCGCCCGCGCACCCGGCCGCGAGCGCGTCGCTGAGCAGCCGTCGGGGCAGCCGTGCTGTGTCCCATGGGGCGGCGGGCGCGGGTGGTCTCTCGGCGGGCGCGGGTGGTCTCTCGAGCGAGGCGCTGGGTGGTGTCTCGAGCGAGGCGCTGGGTGGTGTCTCGAGCGAGGCGCTGGGTGGCGTCTCGAGCGGGGCGCTGGTCTTCTGCTCGTCGCGCATCGCGGCGGCGGAGTGGGAGTGGCGACGCGCGGGGTCCGACGGTGCTGCATGTGCTGCGCGGGGGCGTGGCTCGGGGTTTCGCGCGAGATGGGTTCGACTCGACTCCGTCGCTGGACGCTCAAGTTTGCGCGTCGGTCGCGTCGGCGTCTGCACGCGAGCATGGGTTAATTATCTCGAGCCGTCTTCGGATTACCCGATCACGGTAGCTTCGGCTCGGACTAGCGGTAATGCGTCGCGACCGTCTGACAGACAGACACCATTGACTCGTTTGTACGGAAGAAGCAAAAACGCTTTTGGTGATGAAGGCATTACCGTGAATAGCTTCAACAATCAAGACGTCACACCATGAATAGCTTTGACAATCAGACATCACACCGTGAACAGCTTTGACAATCAAGACATTACACTGTGAACAGCTTTGACAATCAAGACATTACACTGTGAACAGCTTCAACAATCAAGACGTCACACTGTGAACAGCTTCGACAATCAAGACGTCACACTGTGAACAGCTTCAACAATCAAGACGTCACACTGTGAACAGCTTCAACAATCAAGACGTCACACTGTAAACAGCTTCAACAATGAAGACATTACACTGTAAACAGCTTTAATAAGTAAGATGTCACACTGTGAATAGCTTCAACAATCAAGACGTCACACTGTAAACAGCTCTGACAATCAAGGCCTCACGCCATGGTCCGTCGGCTCAGCGCCTTTCCCTCGCCGTCCCAGCTGCGCTCGCCCAGGCTCGCCGGCACCGTGATGAACGGCTTCCACCCCATCTCCTCATCCGCGCCCTTGCCGTGCGCCTGCGCGGGCACCAGCACCACCGTGTCCATCTCGAGCGGCTCGAGCGGCTCGAGCTGCGGCCGGCGCGCGCGCGGGCTCGCCATCCCCACCGCCTTCCTGCAGTACGCCCTGCGCTCCGCTCTCTCGCGCCGCTTGAACAGCAGCCGCAGAAACGGCACCGACGCCGACACAATCCCGCTGTTTATCTCCACCTGGCCCCACAGCAGCAGCGCCGACCCGTACACGGCCGAGTCGTACGGCGACGCCGCCCACAGCCGCATCACGTGCATGCGCGCCGCCGACGCCGCAATGGCGAGCATGCCGACGCCAAAGATGGCCACGAGCGCGAGCCGCTGCTTGAGCGGCACGCTGAGGCCGAGCAGCGTCGGCATGGGGATCAGCAGGATGACGACGTCGCTGAAGAGGTTGAGCGCCGCCGTCCAGACGAACAGGATCGTCGGGTCGTAGCACTGCACCTTGGGCGCGTCCGGGTCCGGGAATTCGTCAAACTCGGCCAGGTACGCGTCGGCGTTCCATGCGTCGGGCAGGTGTCGGCACTGAAATGCTGCGCCCACGACGGCGCCGAGCGAGTACAGGATGACAAACGCCATGGTTCCGTTGACCACGTGGCGGAGCGCGCGGTGCGACGCCATGGTCTTGAAAAAGTGCAGGATGCTGAGCTTGACGAAGCAGAGCGCCGCCACGTACGACATGCGGTACACCCACCACGTTATCATCACGCCCTTGATCGTCTCTCGCAGGAACGGTCGTTTCTCCTGCCTCGCATCAGTCTCAGCCCCACCCACAAGCACGCTCTGCGTTTCTTACCGGCAGCCGGTAGTAGCTCGGTCGCGTCTGGCTGCTGGTCTCATCTTGATAGTAGTTCACCACCACGTTGCCCCAGGTAAGCACCTGCACTGTCAGCTGCAAGCTTGAGGCACGTCGTCGGCGGCTTACCAGCGCAGTGAGCATGAGATGGTCCGTCGCCGTCACGGTGCCGACGAGGAAGTACCGACAGTAGTAGCTGTCCAGTCACGTCAGTCCGGGACCGTCAAACCTGCCGAATCGTACGTACCGGAGGGCTACCACCAACTGTCACTGGCGTTAGCGGACGACCGTCGCACTTGGCATCTGCGTACGTACCGTTGAAAGTCCAGTCAACGCACACCCAACAATCACCGCAACGAAGCCGGGGCGAAAGTACATGTCGCAATAATCCTCAGACGCAAGAGGGCTGATGCCGGTCGCGAGTAAGCTCCAATGCCAAACGAGCCGCGATCATCAACACCACACGCGACGCTCCGCCATGGATCAAGCAGCGAGAGAGAACGAACGCGCAGCACAGAGACCAAGGTAAGAATCGACCTCCTGTCTCCTTTCCGCGCGCCGCTGTCAGCCGGCCCGTTGCGCTTCCCCGGATTCTGCCCCTGCGCGCCATCTGTCACAGCAACCCGGCATGTCGCTCTCAACAACGGCGTGCGAGTGGCCGCCCCGCGAGGCGAAAATTCGGAACAGAGTGCCCTCGGCCGCACGTCCGCTTCTAGTGCCACCAGCGCGGTCGAGGGGACTAGGCCAAGGCTCGGGCCACCCGGTGCCAGGCGCTGAGCGGTGCAGGATCGCGAGGCCTGCGAGATGGCTCCGCTTAATATTAGGTGGTTACAGATTTCGCCCCGAGCGAACAGAGCGCTGCTGCATTTTCCCTGTGAGCGGCTGGTGCCCTGGAGCTGAGCTGCGCGAGGCGCAGGATCGCGAAGCCTGCAAGACCGCTCCGCCTAATATCAGGACAGATTACGCACCGGAGCAGTGATTGAATAGGGCGCTGCTGGATTTTCACCTTGGCCTGCGCAGTGTGACCGCCTTCTTCCCACGAACGAGCGCGTTTGCGTACTTGTACGAATCTGTTGCGAGTGTTGTGTACTTGACTGCGTCGTTCGCGGTGCGCTCGGTCTTGTCGTGAGGCATCTGGTGCAGTGTAAAGTGAGTGTCTGGACACTAGGCTGAAACGGTTGCTCCTATGCCTTGCCGTTTTCATCGCCAATCAGCATCGTTCATCTCCTGTTCGGCGAATGGTAGACGGTCGGACAGCGAGGTGTGCTCCTGTGTGGAAGAGCAGGCATGGCATCCGGAGGGCGTCGAGATATATTGTAGGCGTCGAGATATATTGTAGGTAACATGTTGTAGGCAACTCAACCAACGGCGCAGCCCTCGTGTCCGTGAGGAGACGTGTGACGAGGAGCTCGAAAACACGCACGTCTTCGCGGAGGTGCGTTCCAAGTCTTTTAAGCAATCCCGCTCACCTGTATTTGCCTCACCGTCCGCAGTGCAGCGTTCGTCTTGTATGAACATCCCACGTGCCGCGATAAAACGAAGCAATAGGATAAAACGAAGCAATAGGATAAACAAGGTCGTCGTGAATGCTCAGCGCTCCGCTAGTTGATAGTAAATCCGATCGCGAGAATACTCCTCGTACCTACCTATATTCAACCCGCACCGCGTGATGTCGCAGTCGAGAGCAACGTCGTCGAGAGCAGCACAGCATCGCGTGTGAATACTGACAAGGGCTGCCTGCTTACAGACAAGCGCGTAGTCACTACGTCGGCGGGAACGATATAGATCGACCGCGAACAAGTCCCACGCGCGATTCGTCCTGTTGCTTACATCAGCGTTGCGTTTAGCTAGTTAACTTACCGAGTCCCTGCTTGCTTGTTCAGCGGTTCGCAGCGAGGCGGTACGCTAGTGCGGATACGAGATGAGTCTGGATGAGTCATTTTGAGAGAGCTGTTGATGCGAGCCAGCGATGCGTCCGAGTTGGCTTTGACGCTTTGAGTTGGCTTTGGCGCTGGGAGAGGGAGAATCTCGTGTGCACATCGCTGCGAAGGTGTCTAGCAATCACGCTCGATTTGTGGGCTTGTCGCGTCGTGCTTCTTGGCGGCGTTGACGGTGAGTCGACGTGATTCGTGCTGGCTGCCGGCTCGCTCATGTCGAGTGCATATTTGTCGGTGTGAGGACTGGTGATTCAGCGTGAGTAGATGTGATGCTGTAGTGCTGCTGTGAAGCCTGTGTTAAAGACGCACGTCGTGGACTCATCACTAGGGACATGGGGCATCAGCGTGAGCAGTGATGGAGTGAGTATCATCTTCCCAGTACGACTATTACGAAGCAGCTTTAAAGACCAAAGCCTATATTTGCCGCTTTGAGCCACAGTAACAGGGGCATTGATTGCACAATTTTCCAACATCGTCTAAAAGGAGGCGTTCGCCAACGTTCGCGAAGACACAAGAACAGAACGCTGACAGCAAAGGAAGAGGAGACATCCGCCACCCGGAGACGGTCAAGTTACTTGTGCGAGCCCAGGAGCGCGCGAAGAGCCTCCACCTCGCCTTCGAGCTTAGCGCAACGGACCTTCCACTCGTCCCGATCAGCCTTGACTTCCTTCAATTCAGCCTCGAGGCCAGACATCTGGTCAACGCGCTTTTGCCGGTAACGGCGAGCTGCAAGGGTGTTGGCCTTGCGCTTTTCGATCTTAGTAGGGGGTTCATTCGGGGGACTGCTTTTGGCTGAATTTGACAATCTGGTGTATGGAGTTTGTTCGGGTGAGTACGAGTTCCGGTTGCGAAGACTTGTCGATGAGGAACCGGACTGCGAATGATCTGCTTTGGTCAGTTTGTTGCATCAAGGAGCGGGGAGAGCGTCGACGTACTGGGCTCCATTAGGCCTGACATGCTCAAGTCGAAGGATAGTTGAGTAGTGGGCGGCGCCATAGCTAGAAGGTTGATTTGCTCTTCGGTGGTCATGACGAGCGGAGCACTTCCAGAAGGGAGGCCGTGGTGAAGTGCATTGCCGGGAAACTGCTCAGTGCCAGCAGCAAGAGAGAGTGAGTCCCAGTCGAAGAAGTTATTACCGGTCGCAGCTGTAGCGGAGAATGAAGAGGAAGTAGCCAAGGGATGTGAGGTATCAAGAATGCCACTGCTAGAATCTGCGGTGGTGAAGCTCAAGTCGTGATCCCAACTAAGCGGTGGCTGTCCATGGTGGCTTGCCGACTGTTCCGAGTTGTCGTGGTGCTGTATGGCATGAGCTCTTGGTCGTGTTGGAGATGCCACTCGACCGCAGATGGTTGGCAGAGTCGAAGATACTTACAGAACCAAGACAAGACCCGTTGGCTGGGAACGAACTGTATGTTTGCTGCGGTATACTGCATTGCGAAATGTCAAAGAGCGGGTCCTGATACCCGCTGGTGAAATCTAGGAATTCGTCAAATGAAATTGAAGCGGACGAAAAGCCCTCTCGGTGTCGACCTGAAGAGGGCGGGTGTTGGATGAGGAGTGTGACAGCGAGCGGGCGCCTCAGGCTTTAAGAAGGGCGGAGTGCTGTGCTAGCGGGCCTCTGACTACCGGTCGATGCAGTGAGACTGGCGCTATGACCACGCAACCACGGAGAGCGCTACCGCAGCGCAACTTTCGATGCACAGCCGCCCTTTTACGTTCGCAGCAGTCCAACCTCACAATGGCGTCCCCATCCACATGCCGCCTACTGCGGCCAAACCTGTTTTCTTCGCACACTGATGCCGTCCATTCGTTCCTGGTCCCGTCGCTGCGACGCGCGCGGTTCTCGACATCGTCGATGCTGCAGAAAAAAGACAACAACAGCAACCGCGGCGTGTCAGCTGTCAGACAAACCGGCCTGCGCCCCCGACAGACGCTCTCCGTCAAACACAAGGATTTTGCAAACCAGCAGTTGCCGACACCCGTGAAGATCGAGGAGAAGCCAACAGGGACACAGGACCACGGGCTGTGGGATTTCTTCAAGGACCAGAACCTGCTTTCCACGCCCACAGAGCTCTTACAGCATGGCCGGGAATGGACCATGGGAGAGCTGCGAAGCAAGGACTGGGACTCGTTGCACCAGCTGTGGTGGGTCTGTGTGAAGGAGCGCAACCGTCTGGCGACCGAGAAGCTAGAGCGTGGGCGTCTAAAGGCGCTGTACGGCGACCACGAAGGAAAGCAGAGGGATGAGGTTGTGCAGAAGACTATGAAAGCCATCATCGACACATTGGCCGAGAGGACGCAAGCCTACCAGGAGGCGCTCGCACTCGCCAGCCAGGATCCGTCTATCGATCTCAGCAGGACAGACGGGCCGCAGTACACTCAGCTGCCTTATGTATGTGAATTCGGTCATGTGGGAGGAAACCTTTACTGATAAGAGACACAGGACCCATTAGAGCCCGAGGCCTTTGAGGACGAGACGCCTGCCGCCGACACGGCGAAAGACACGGCAACCCAATCGAGCGAGAAGCTGAATCTAAGGGCAGCTTAGACGTGAACACTTGAACACCTTGGTCAGGTCGCAGGAACCTGGGCCAGGGCCATCAACGGAGATCAGACGCAACGTGGGAGGCCTTCACATTCAACGCACGACTTCACGCGTTCATCGGCGCGACTGCATGCGATGAAGGGGACATGACATGTGTTGATATATCGATGTACTAGACAGTGTACAATACTTGGGCTAGACCAGGGGATCGGTCGATACGAGGACTCGAGATCTGCTTCTCAGAGAGACGCAGCATTTGTAAAATATCTGGCAGGGCGAGCACATAGTTTTGATGAAGGAGTCTGTGCTCTGGCATAAATGCAGGCCGAGTTGTGGATAACTCTCTTGTGCCAGCTATGTTTTGGAGATGCTGCATGAACGAGCCTCAACGCCACTTGCATAACGCGAGTCAAGGCAAGCTCCAACCCCACATCGAATGCCCGCTCACCGCCATCCACCTCTGCTTTCCCACGTTCGAGCAGACAACACACACAAACACACAAACTAGCCGTTCCTACACGCAGCAAACATGGATGAGATCGCGCCCGAGTACGACGTCGTGGTCCTGGGAACAGGTGGGCTCCCTCTTACCCCGCCAGACCCGCTGCAGAGAGCTAACACTCCACAGGTCTCACAGAATGCGTTCTTTCAGGGTAATACGCATGCACGCGTGGGCGATGCAGCTGCTGACAAGCTTGCAGTGTTCTCAGTGTGAAGGGCAAGAAGGTCCTCCACATTGACCGCAACGACCACTACGGCGGGTATGTATCATGGACAGCCGGCACCGCTGCACATGAGAGCTAACGTAGTACAGCGAGGCCGCTTCCCTCAATATCGAGGCCCTCTTCAAGAGGTACGGACAGACCGCTGGCGAGCCATGGAAGAAGTACGGCCGCGTCAACGACTGGAACATCGACCTCGTCCCCAAGCTCCTGATGGCCAACGGTGAACTCACCAACATCCTCGTTTCCACCGACGTCACAAAGTACCTCGAGTTCAAGCAGATCGCTGGCAGCTACGTTCAGCAGGGCGCTGCTACCAAGGCCACCGTCGCCAAGGTCCCCTCAGATGCTGGCGAGGCGCTGCGCTCGCCGCTGATGGGCCTGTTCGAGAAGCGCAGAGCCCGCAACTTCCTCGAGTGGGTTGGCGCATACAAGACAGATGACCCTGCTACACACAAGGGTGAGTTGGAGCTGCGAAACGCTATAAAAATCAGTTGCCTAACGTGGGAATAGGTCTCGATGTCAAGAACGTCACCATGAAGGACGTCTACGACAAGTTTGGACTGGAGGCCACAACCCGCGACTTTATCGGCCATTCCATGGCGCTCTACCAGACTGACGACTACATCAACCAGAAGGGTGCCGCCAACGAGGCCATCGAGCGCATCCGCCTCTACGTCAACTCCATGGCGCGGTACGGAAAGTCCCCGTACATCTACCCTCTGTACGGCTTGGGCGAGCTTCCTCAGGGCTTTGCCCGTCTCTCGGCCATCTACGGTGGTACATACATGCTCAACACCGACGTCGACGAGTTCCTCTACGACGGCAGCAAGGTCGTTGGTATCAAGGCCACCATGAAGGAGAAGGATGATGCTGGCCCAGGCATGAAGTTCGAGACCAAGGCCAAGAAGATCCTCGCAGATCCCTCATACTTCCCGGGCAAGGCGCGCGTCACTGGACACCTGCTCAAGGCCATCTGCATTCTTAACCACCCCATCCCCAACACAGACAACTCCGACTCGCTGCAACTGATTATTCCCCAGTCGCAGGTTGGCCGCAAGAACGGTAAGAAGGGTTGATATAATCTTGAAGGCTAGTCACTGATGCGTTTGGCAGATATCTACATTGCCGTCGTCTCGTCCGCCCACAACGTCTGCCCCAAGGGCTACTACATCGCTATCGTCTCGACCATCGCCGAGACAGACGCCAACCACCACCTCGAGCTCCAGCCCGGTCTTGACCGCCTCGGCAAGATTGAGGAGCAGTTCATGGGCCAGCCCATCCCTCTGTACGAGCCACTGGAGAGCGGCAGCAACGACAACATTTTCCTCTCGAAGAGCTACGATGCCACAAGCCACTTCGAGACCACAACAGGTGAGATTTTGCATCCAAAAATAAAAGGCAGTGCACTAACTTGGCGCAGACGACATCAAGGATATCTACCAGCGCGCAGAGGGCCACGAGCTTGTTGTTGAAGGTCTGAGGGATGGACAGTTCAATGTCGAGGCATAGATCAAGGTGGACTTTGGGAGACGGGAAGAATAGCAAGCGGCCGTTTTGGAATACCAGATCATTGACAGACACTTGGGACATGCAGTGCAAGATGCGCGGCCGTGTTGCGGAGAGGAGGTTTCCGTTTTGGGCGATGGTCCCTCGAACTTCAAACCCCACACACGACCGCAACTTGAAAGCTTTTTGAGCCCAGACAGCTACCCATATGCTCTGACGTGGCAGCACGGCCTATTCAAATCACCGCTTTCGCGGTCTCCTGGTAGAAATCTGAGAGGACCCAAAAGCAAAGGCGTCTCTGTCAGGTAGGTCTTGGCGTTTGGCCATTGGGGTACTACGTCGCGTCAACACTCGAGACTTTCTCAGGAGAGCACTGGCTCTCCCATACGATTCAATCCAACAGAGAACAAGCTTGCTCCCTCCGTCAGCCACACAATGTCGCAGCTTAGGCGGTATGCGTTCCTGCTAGCGGCATTACTCTTCCACCTGGTCTACATATTTTCCTGCTTCTCAATCTACTTCGTGAGCCCCATCGTGCATGGCATGCGCGAGCACCGCGTCGAGACACAAGAAGCTCCCGCGAAACGTTTGGTGCTCTTTGTCGGTATGTAACGACAAACTACACTCTTGAAGGGCTGCGGCTGCTAAGGCATACGCAGGCGACGGCCTCCGCGCAGACAAGACTTTCCAGTCCTTCCCCAACCCCGACCCCAATGCGACTACGCCCGACACACCGCAGCTGATCGCCGACTACGTAAAAACTCCCCGCCCGCTAGCGCCCTTCCTGCGCTCCAAGGTCCTCGAAGACGGCACCTTTGGCGTCTCGCACACCCGCGTGCCCACCGAATCGCGCCCTGGCCACGTCGCGCTCATCGCCGGCCTCTACGAAGATGTCTCGGCGGTTGCTACCGGGTGGAAGCTGAACCCTGTCAACTTCGACAGCGTGTTCAATCGCAGCAGACACACATGGAGCTGGGGCAGTCCCGACATCCTGCCCATGTTCGAGACGGGCGCTGAGCCTGGCCGGGTCGACGCCTACTGCTACGGGCACGACTTCGAAGACTTCTCGAAAGATGCCTGGATCCTCGATGAGTGGGTCTTCGAGCGCGTCAAGGGGCTATTCGAGGCCGCGAAGACGAATGCGACGCTGAACGCTGAGCTGCGCAAGGAGAAGAACGTCTTCTTCCTGCATCTGCTGGGACTCGACACCGCGGGACACGCACATCGACCCTTCTCATGGCAGTACCTGCACAACATCCAGATCGTGGATCGCGGCGTTCGGGAAATCACCAAGTTGGTCGAGGACTTCTACGATGACGACCAGACGGCGTTCGTCTTCACAGCGGACCACGGCATGAGCGATTGGGGCAGCCACGGTGACGGGAACCCAGACAACACACGCACTCCGTTGATTGCGTGGGGGGCAGGTGTGGCGAAGCCGGTCAAGACAGTGGGCAAAAAGGCAGACGGCCACGAAGACGGCTTCTCTCACGACTGGAACCTCGACCACGTCCAGCGGAACGACGTCGACCAGGCCGATGTCGCAGCCCTCATGGCCTACCTAGTCGGTCTCGACTTCCCCACAAATTCGGTTGGTGTATTGCCGCTGGCCTTCCTGGATAAGAGCGACAAGGAGAAGGCGGAGGCGCTTCTTGTCAACGCAAAGGAGATACTGGAAATGTACCGCGTCAAGGAGGAGGCCAAGCGCGCGCACGCGCTCCACTACAAGCCATTCCCCGGACTCGGCGACGAACAGCACTCTATAGAGTACCGGACAATCCGAATACAGAAAGCTATCGACGCCGGCCAGTATGAGGAAGCTGTCGACAGGACCTACGATCTCATCGACCTTGGCCTTGACGGTCTGCGATATCTGCAGACCTACGACTGGCTTTTCCTCCGCGCGTTAATCACACTCGGCTACCTGGGCTGGATCGCTTTTGCCATCACCACAGTCTTGGATCTTCACGTGCTGAACGAGGACTCGGAGGCGCAGAGGACCACGCAGAGCACCATCGCGTTCTCGTCTATCCTGGTCGTGCTGTACTCGATCCTCCTCAAGCAGAGATCGCCTCTGTGGTACTATGCCTACGCCATCTTCCCTGTACTCTTCTGGGAAGAAGTCTACGCGCGAAGGTCGTCGATCATCAGGGGAGGTCGAGTACTCTTCAGCCAGGTCAACACCTTCGGCGACAAGCTCAAGCTCATCCTGGCGACCCTTGGATCTCTCGGCCTGCTACAGGCTCTCGTTCAGAGCTACTTCCACAGGGAAATCTACACCGCCTGCTATCTGCTTGCTACGGCATGGCCAATCTTCTACGGTCGAGAATTCGCAAAGAAGAACATCGGAACAGTTGCGACGTGGATCTTGTCTTGCATGATGATGAGCGCCTTCACTCTTTTGCCTGCCAACAAGGCCGAGAATGTTCCTTTAATCATGATTGGCGGTGGGCTGATGTTCGCTGTTGGCGCCTTCTACCTGGCATTCGAGCAGAGAATACTTGCTGCTGGCAAATCCCACGCCACTGCAGCCGATGCTAAGAATAGCCTCAACTCACGGCTTATACTGGGCGTCCAGCTTGGCCTCGTGGCACTGTCTATGATCGTCACTAACAGCAGCATCCATTACGTTCAGGCTCGACAGGGTCTGCCCCTCGGCGTTCTGGTTGCAGGGTGGGCGACACTTGGTAAGTTGTTCGATCTCATGTTTCGATGAAAGATTGCTGACTTGCTCCAGTGGGCTCATTGTTCCTCCCAACCCTCCACAGTCTCTGCCCCAACAGCCACTATATCCACCGCCTGGTCGTCATGTTCCTGCAGTTCGCGCCAACCTTCATCATCCTCAGCATCTCCTTCGAAGGCCTCTTCTACTTCGCCTTCTGCATGTGCCTGTTCAGCTGGATGCGTCTGGAGCACCAAGTCTACCTGTATACCACCTCCAACCCTCTCACCACCCCCCAGCCCCGCCCGTCCATCGTCCCCGCCGTCGCCGCAGTAGAAGACCACCCGCCTCTCCCCGTCCGCACAACCGCATACCGCCCCCTCACCCTGGCCGATGCCCGCATCGCCCTATTCTTCTTCTTCTTCATCCAGTCCGCATTTTTCAGCGCCTCGAACATCGCCTCCGTATCCTCCTTCTCACTCGACGCGGTGTACCGGCTGATCCCTGTCTTCGACCCGTTCAGTCAAGGCGCGCTGCTGATGCTCAAGCTCATGGTGCCGTTCGCGGCGCTCTCCGCTAATTTCGGGCTGCTGAATCGCCGCCTGGGCGTTGCGCCCAGCGCGCTGTTCATGGTTGTCATGGCGATCAGCGATGTCATGACATTGAGTTTCTTCTTCATGGTCAAGGACGAGGGGAGCTGGTTGGATATCGGGACGACGATTAGTCATTTTGTTATTGCGAGTTTGCTGGGCGTTTTTGTCGCTGGGCTGGAGATCTATAGTGAGTGGAGTATTGGGGTGGTTGCGTTTGAGAGCAGGAGAGAGGTCGGGGCGCATGGGAATGGGAATGGTGGACTTGTGGGGAGGAACGGTGAGGCGAAGTCCGGCTGAGGAGACGGTCGGAAGGTGATGCTGATGAAATCGATATGTGCATGTACACACCGCTGAGATGTGTTGGTGCCGTCGTACCGGCATCGTACTGTCCGAGCGCGGCGGCAGCATACGGTCTTGCAGCTGTGGTCTGTTTAATACCAGAAAACTTGACTTGAATCGCGATCAAATGCCCCTCCAGGCGATACAAAGAGACCATGAGCCGCTTGACTGATGTATATAACTACACCCATGCGGCTCTCTGTCTCGACCCATCCATTGCACTCCACTCTACCAGGTTGAATGGATCTTCTGCAACTACCATATTTGCTCCCTTTGAGTTTCTCTTCGAATTAGAGATCCGAGAATGTATTCTCTTCGCCTGCTCTGCTTGCAGGCCTTGCAAGGGAAGGCACGTGAGTCACGTCGGTGTTAAACTTCCCTGCTACGATATGAAAGCAATAGTTGGACATTGAACGCTCCTGATCGAGCTCAAAGACGCTGGGAAAAAGTCGGATGCGTTGTGTTTATTTTGTTGCTGCTAGAACTGCGTCGATGACAGATGCCTGAAGGACGATGCCAGCAGTGAGCCTCCTGTTTATTTTCCTTGAGCTACTTTCCTGGTTTGAATGGTCAGCGGAATCGTTTGTGCTCGTATCATCCAATTATTGCACTGAAAACAGCGTCTGGGGAATGACATACTCTGCCTACCTTTGCGTCACCTCAAAATCAGTCTTGAGCGCGTCGGTGTCCTATATCCTCAAGTCCGAAATCCCAACAGAAAGTTAGACATTTCCGAGGCATGATTCAGCCCAGGTTCCTCTGATGAGTTACTCAGCCTTTGTAGGATCTAAAAACGCCGTTCGTATAGCGTGCGGTCAGATGATAGATCAGGCATATGCTACTGTACCTTAGCATATACAAAACTGCAGCAAGGCTGCAATTTTCACCTTCAACCATTATCTGTTCATCTGCTCCAGATCAGATCGAAATCAATAGTGGCATTGATCATGCTGCGCCTGCTTGGCGCTGGGAATGCAACGCCAGCGCCTCACACTGTGTCTGCCATCAATTGTCCAAGGAGACCATCAACACGACTATGTTTGCCTGACCCTGCTGCTTTCCAAATAACTGTTCGAAACTCAAAGTGTCCTCCGTCTGATTTTCGCTTCCGCTCTCTGCCAACCTTGAAGAGAACCTTGTCTCCGCAGCACAGTTTGTCGCGCCTGTTGCACTTGAAGCTGAGCATGCACGGGGAGTGTACGAAATGAACTTGCAGATATGCTCCTCGCTCATTTCTCCGCAAGATAGACGTTCAGCTCCTGAAAATGGGCACGGCCCCACAGCGTGGCCGCGCTGCCTCGTCTGCGCCCCAGATTGGATTCGACCTTAGTGATGACCCTGCCTCTAAACTAGTCTTCCTTCGCAGACTTGAAGTAATCCGACCCAGGTCCATGTCGTCGCCTCCGTGTTACGCGCCAAACACTCGGCACGAAACGAGCATGGTCAACAACTCTCGCTCTCTACAAAGCTTCTGGCCTTGTTGTTATCGACCACTACATTACTGCTTCGAGTCTACAATTCTTCTAAAATAGGTCAAACTCACTTTGTTCTCTGCAAGGATCAATTGAGCTCATACAAAGAGCGCATGTGGTCTCGCAAACGGCTAATGGCTCATCTGACTACGATAAGGCTGTTGAAGGTGCGGTAAATGGATCTATGGCTTATAGCGTATTTGAACTGCGATTTACTTGGTAGGTGTCCTTTGTAAGGTCCCAGTGCTGCAATATCAAGATCGTCCAGACGTTCGGCGTATATAGCTACATGGACTCCCTGGATGTGGTCGACAGACTGCGTACCATCGACACCAACATTAGGCTTGAGCTATCGAATGCGGGTTCACTGACAAAGCGCCCGCAAGTCAATCTTGTGCCTGTGTGGGATGCTTTTCTTGGCTCGGCATTTCACGAACGTGGAGCCCTCCGCAGAAGCTTGGCCCAAAGCGCGAATGCCGAAAGCGAAGACCAATATCAAGAGTGCAATTGGCAAGTATCAAAAGCTGTATCGCCAGCCCAATCAGGAACAGACCGGATCAAGCGCGGCTGCGCATGCAAGAAGAAACAAACAGAAAATAGAGTAGACTGCATTGGAGAAAGAAGTAAAGATTCCGACCGCAAGACGGGTTCAAGCAGAGAAAGACGCTGCCACGTTGCGAAGCCAAACACAAGAACAAGACGACTGCGCAAAATGACATCATCAAGAGGTGCTAAGACGCGTTTTAAAGCGCAGTTCAAAAGAGAAGATACTGCTCCGAGAAAGACACGGACTGTGTGTGTATTCTGTGCAAGATAATCTTCTTGAATCTGCAGAAAAAACCTAAAGATACGTGCAGGTTACGGACGAGCCATCTCGGGTTTAAAGCTGATGCGATCCTGAAGACCTGGGAGTGTACGACACATTGGAGGCTGGCAAATTTTCTAATTAGCGATGGAAGGATGTATAGGGCAGGCGTCGTGCCTTGCGTGCAAGCTCTTCGTTGGTCAATCTTAAAGACTCATCCTGCCAGTACATCGTCTTTGCACCGGTCTTCACATTTGGCATGTTGGGAAAGCATACTATTGATCCCACGCGATTCTTCGGACTTGAAGGACTGGTGCATCAAGATGGAGTCGTGGATGGAGTGATGTAGGTGGGTCGCCCGTGGACCCTTGATTTCGTCCCGCGGCGGCGTTGAACACTTCGGACGTCATTGGACGGAAACCAAATTCTCCGTATCGACGCAACCTGGTCCTTCCCCAACTCTCCACAGTCCGTTGCGGCTCCCCAGATCACGCGTAGTTTAGGACAAGTCCCCTGAACCTGCAGCCAAAGAGAACTCTTGTTCGTGCGAAATGCGCGCTGTTCATGCATTTGCCACGGAATTCCGGGTCTTGAGCGTCCTGTACCCCGGTCAATGAAGGATCGATCTGCGGATAATTACTCATTTCCGCGCTCCAAGGCGTCGTCTCACAATCAAAATATTGACTCTCCTTGGCGTGTCTTGACTATTCTCGGCCATAGTGCTTGGGTTGCTTGGGTTTCTGGGCCGAGATGGCGGAAGGTTTGGAAACTCGCGTGCAATTCCCGGGCGACTATCTTAAGTACCCCTGTCATCATTTCCAGTATAAGAACAGAGTCGAGTCGTCATGATTCCAAGGTATAAGAAGCTTTTTGTATATTCAAGGCTCCCTTCATCCTTCCAGAAGCTGTAGCGTTGTGACCATGCGTACAACAGGTACATAACAAGCATCAGCCAGACCATGCAAACCAGGCTAATTAGCTTATAGGTCTCTCGGCACTCTTAGCTCTGGCTACTGTAGCGCAGTCAGCTGTCATCCAGGAGCGTGCTACCACAACGTGCACCAAGGATGCCTGTCTTGAGGTATTTGAGCTCTTCGCTGTAGCAGCAAAGCCCTTCTGCTCCGCCTACACGAAGGTACCCACCCACACCTTGCCAGCGTATGCTGCGCGCTGGTCGAAAGTTCCTGCCAAGATCTCCAGTGCTTGCACATGCCTCAACGGAGGACAACCGACCGTTGTCCCGACGAGTGTTGCGCCCTCAGCAACAGCCACAGCTTCCTCCAAGACTGCTTCTTCTGTCGTAGCTACAAGCATTCCCTCAGTCGTAGCTACAAGCACCCCATTGGTTATCGTTACCAGTTCCCCAACATCCACTGTACCAACATCTACTGTCCCTGTGGCTACCGATACACCTTCTGATGCATGCCACGTCACAACGTACTCGGCCATTCCTGCAGCTGTGGCATCCTGTACTGCCATCATCCTCGACGGCATAACCGTTCCTGGAAACTCTACGATCGATCTGTCCAAATTGAAGGCCGGTACCAAGGTCACTTTCAAGGGCACTACTTTCTGGGAGTACTTTGACGCCAACTACCCATTCATCAAGGTCGCTGGAACCAATCTCGAGATCACTGCCGCAGAAGGCGCAATTCTCGATGGCAACGGCCAGTCGTGGTGGGACGGCCTCGGTAGCAATGGCGGTATTGCAAAGTAAGTGAATCGAACTCGCCGTGTCTCTACCACTAACTCCTTGAAAGGCCGAACCATTTCATTGAGCTCAGCAAGGTCCTCGGATCTAGCTCAGTCCACGATATCTACATTCAAAACTATCCTGTTCATTGCTTCAGTATCAGCAACAGCGCTGGGCTTGATATTCACCACATTACACTGAACAATAGTGCCGGTTACGCACCCAACAACCGCTCGAACGGTCTTGCCGCTTCACACAACAGTGACGGATTTGATCTTGCCTCTACTAACGACACGAAAGTTCGTGACAGCGTAGTCATCAACCAGGATGATTGCGTTGCGATCACCAGCGGTAACAACATCCTTGTAGACAACATGTATTGCAACGGAAGTCACGGCCTTTCCATTGGTTCTGTTGGCGGCAAATCCAACAACAATGTCACAAACATGGTGTTTAGCAACTCTGTTGTTTTGAACTCTCAGAATGGTGCCCGCATCAAGACCAACGAGAATACCACGGGCTATATTCACAATATCCTGTTCGAGAACATCCATCTTGAAAACATCTCTATCTACGGTATCGACATCCAGCAGGACTATCTTAATGGAGGCCCAACCGGTAACCCTACTGCGGGTGTTCTCATTTCGGACATCGTGATCAGGAACGTCACTGGAACTGCCACGGATGAGGGCAGAGACTACTATATTCTTTGCGGTACTGGTAGCTGCAAGAACATCACCATCAACGATGTCGACGTCCACGGTGGTGGCGTTCCGAGTCTTTGCAACTTCCAGACAAACGGCAACTTTGACTGCGACGGGAAGTTCAACATTACAGCTGCACCGGCGTCTTAGTATTAACCAAGAACTGTTAATTTTTAGGATAACTTATACGTACTTCAGATAAAGTCTAATGAGCTGCACTATGTTTATCGTTCATTCCTAGCGTACATCCATGCATTACTCTGCCTTGTCATGGAAGTCGCATCACTCTTTGATACGTCCAGGGCTTCGCAATTGATTGGCGAAGCTTGGCTGCCGTTTCCTAGGTAGATAGCGCTCCTTTGCTCATACTTACATCTTGTGCTTCAAGCAAGGTGCTGCGCCACGCTTTCCGTCCCGCAGACATGCAAAGCTGCTGTTCTTCAACACCGTGCGCGTACGCTAGGAAACCAGCTGTTCTTGAGCCGAAGGCTATGGGAAAGTCCATCGCGAATCGATCTCACCTCACATCTTGTCGTCTGTACATTGCGATGAGCTACCATCACGCGCGAATGACGTTGCATCACAGACTCATGACTCCGGCCAAGACTGACCGTACATGCGCCTATTCGCACAGCACGTGTACAGAAGCGGCGTTGAGCGCGTCGCAATATCAATGCGATCGTACTGAGCAATGTCAGCCTGGGTGCGTGATTCACTCCGATCAGTGAAAGATTTTGTCGTTGATCCAATCCGAGTTGCTCAAGGCAACGACCATAATCTGTTTCGACCTCGACAAAAATCTAGTCCGAAATCGTCAAATTGAATCGTCCCACTTTGAAACTTCCAATTTGAACAGAAATGTCAAGGCATGCAAGCCTTCGAAGGCGATCTGGCTGCACCAGCAGGACACCTCAAAAGAAGCCCAAATAGCTGTCAAGGCTATCGATATGGTTTTATGCAAGCTCAAAAATGCATTCGTGAAGGTTCATCAGGATCCAAGTACGCGTTCACCAGGACAAGGCTTAGAAACACACAGAACGAATGTTGCTTTTAGAGCTGCTTTCGGATAACCACTGGCTCACAGTCACCTGGCGCACACTATGAAACCGAATGCACGAGGTCTTTCAAACAGGAACGAATTTTTCAATCTTAATATACCATGAAATAGTTAGTTTCGGCTCTCAGGCGGCGATGTAAGTGAATTAATAATGGCCGTATTAGATATGACATACCAAACGTGCTAAGAAGATGTACCTGCGAAGTTGCTGCGTGAAAATGATCCTTAGACTGCACGCTGAATAGGACAATGTGCGTATGGCACGACTTAGCCTAGTATCTCTAGCCGCGCACATTATTGAGTGACTGGTAATCGTCAGCGATTCGTGTGGAGCGACTTCAACGACTGCTGTGGAGTCGGTATGAACAGGGAACTGTATGGGAAGATGCAGGCAGACTTCTGTAGCTGCACGACCATGTCGCTATGAGCTCATCGTAAAATAGACCCAGGTGACTGAATGTGAATAAGACGAAGTGATATGCATGATGATAAAACCGAAAGGTTGCATACAATGGACAACCGGGAAAAGACTTGTGTAGATTGATACTGCTCGGCGTAAGATCTCAGTCGAAGCTTGTGTCTAGACGTAATCTGGCTCTTACGCATCTGCGTTTCCAACAAACGAGTACTATGAGCCTTCATACAAACGATTCAGGCACTGCTACGGCTACTCTTCTTGTGCAGCATAGCGCGCACAAGATCACGGATCCCTCTCTGCGGTTTGCGCGCGCCAGAGAGAAGCTGCTTCTCGTCCGAGGCGGCAATGATATCCTCGCCTGTGTTGGGTCTTTCCAGTCGACTCTCTTGGTGTGGGAACCAGTGCATCAGAGCCCAGTAAAACACACCAGCAGCGACGAAGGAGTATATGTAGCCAATAGCGAACCTGTGCGTGTGTAAGCTTTGGGTGTAAAATGTTCGAGTTGGTATGGGCCTACAAATTCTTTCCGCCGCTTGAAACATCAATTGTGTTCAAAGAAACGCTGTTTATGAAACCGGGAAGCGGAGGCGCGAAGCCAATGATAAGCGCAACAACGCTACGCCAGTTTGTCGCATACCGAGCAGAGTATCGGTACATGCCATGGAAGTTGTACATGTCTGGAACTGACACGTTGCCACGTCGAGTTATGTAGTAGTCTGTCATCAGGATCGCAGTCATCGGGCCTAAGAGATAGCATTAGCGTTGAACTGTTCAACAGGAATAGAAAACAAACCCAAAAAGATAGTGTAGCCACCGAGGAAAGCGAGGAACTTCTGTGCAGAAGCAAGGATCTTCCATGGCACACAAGCCCAAGCACCGATAATAGCAGCCAGGATCTGGCCTCGTCGGATGTTGATGTATTTGGGGCAGAACGATACCAGGTCGTTGGCTGCGCTGATGGAGTTGGCCGAGATATTAATTCCAAGGGTCACGATGAGCAGACCGATGGCGCCGAATGCAGCAGCAGTGCGGCCTCCGTGAGAACCTCCAGCCTGCCAATCGCTGATGATCTCAATTGGATTCCAGATGACACGGCCATAAGCCGGCTCGGCGGCTGCAGCTGTGAAGATGCCGAGGAGACCGACGATGGTGAAGATAAAGGGAATGACGAATGCTTGGACGTTCTGTGCTGCAGGCTTCTTTGCGTATCGAGAGAAATCGGCGATATTGAGACCAAGAGTTGCATAGTTGCCAAGAACCGAGTTCAAGTTTGAGAAGAAGGCCCAGACGAGGACAGAACCTTGTACTGTGGTGCCTTCAGTGATGACTGTGCTGTGGCTAATAGTGCCTCCGGCCTTGTGCAGCGTCGAGCCGAAGACTGCCAGGAAAATGATGGGCGCGATAATCGACTTAAACCCGAAAAAGTACTGAATCTTAGTGTATGGGATGCACAGGAACGGCAGCTGGAGTAAAAAGTATAAGAAGAAGGCAACGAAACCAGCTGTTGTCAAGCCTTGGCTTTCCGGCACATGGTTGGGAATCTTTGCAAAACTGGGCCAGATCGCAGTGAGGAGGACTTCCATACACTGGCCGCCAGTTACTGTTTGCACACTACGATGGCTTGTCAGCGTCTCTGCATTCACAAACGACATTGGAAATCCACTCACCCAAGCCAGATGATGGCCAACGCACAACGTGAGACGACGACAAAGTAACTGAAGTAGTATCCGAAAGGCATACGAGCTAGGATTGGGAAGGGAGTGTGAAGCTTTGTCAATGTCAGCATTCTTCACTCTGCACTATCGATGATCCTTACCGTTGCTCCAATACGGCCGTTCATCGTGATGACCACACCCATGAGCGTATTGCCCAAAACACAGGCTCCAATCGCCATTCTCCAGCTCAGACCAGCAGCGATCATAGAGGAAGCTGTACGACAAAGTCAGCCCAGTGAGCTCAGGTTAGCGTAGTTGAGTGACTCAGAACTCACCAACTTCCCAGTTGGAGACGGCCCAGGCATCTGCCATCCAATACGCAACATAAGCGCCAGAGCCCCATGTGCGCTTTGAAGGAGGAATGGGATCGAAATCGGCGTTGGACGCATTTGGTGTCGCAGCAAAACTGCTAGGCTCCTGATCGACTGCTAAGGACCAGCGCCCACGCTTGACTGGCTGGGAGTAGCCAGCCTCAGGCCCTTCGCCAGAGGATGCATAGCCCACGAATCCCGGACCTTTGCTATCTAGAGATCCCATAGCGTCGTGCGTCTATGAAAGCTCAAAGTTGGATGAGAGGACAAATCCGAGGGTTTGATAAAGCGAGCCTGGATGGTCTTCAGAGGGCGGTCGACCACATATATCAGCGATTTGTGCGCAACTGAAGATTGTGCGTTCGAGAACAGTCGTCCGAAGCGCAGAGTCCTACGATTCGTATCGGATAAGATGCAGCGCAGGCGAAGTCCAATTAGAATGCGGCGCAATGATTCTGCTTTTCTTCAAGCCGGAGATGGCAGAACAAGTGTGTGCTAGACATCAGGTCTAGCATGGCGAGAGAAATCTGGACAAGCGTGGACTGGTGCAAGAGATACACAATGTGCGCGCCACCTCGACGCCCTTATCTCGACGCGTATGCGATCGGTTCCCACTAGCGACGTAACGGCGATCTTACTGAACCGAGCCCCCAAGGTCAACTGGGACAATGGACCATCTCCATGGAGGCGGGCGCACTCTGATCACTCAAGAAATTCGCCAGATCGACTTGTACATGCAGGTCCATCGTACATCAGACGATCTAGAAGCCAGCCTGCTGCGGGCTTGATGGAGGTTGGGATGTATTCGACGCTATTCATCAAGTGTTTGGGCGCGAAGTTGGGGACTGGCGTCGGTCCGAACTCGCTCGGCGGACCCCGCAACAAGCTCAAAACGGTGCTTGTCCAACTGCCGCGGCGAAGCTTATCTGTCCACGTAAGTGGTTTACTCGACCACTCCCACGCGACCAATTTCCATTTCTCTTGCCAAGTGGTCGCGTGTATTGGGTTGATCTCATCTCATTGACAAGATCAGGACATTGACACTGCATTTCTTGCAGCCGAGTACTCATGTCTATAGTATTTTCGACAAGGTAGTTTACAAGTACCTCCTGCGCAGGAATGGGCACGCACATACCAGTAGTGAGGATCACAGGGCTTGCCTGATCTTAGATCAGACTCGAATGATACAGAGATAAGCAGTTCCTTCGTAACGACGCTAGAATCACCCACAAGCACAACAGACCCTCCGGCGTCGAAGTACCATCTACTTCAACATTCGTTGATGCAAGCCAAACTACTAGCGTCTAGAGAGACAGCGATACCATGCTTTTCTTCCCTTGTGGTGAGAAGCAGCTTCGCGTAACTCTTAAGCTCCTTCACGGGACTGTCGATCTGCCCTGAGCTGCTTGGACCAATTTAGATCTGAACAAGCCTCCCATGTAGCCAGTGTTCGTGTCATGCGCAGTAACATTTCTGCGTCGGTGCTCCTCTAAAGTGGTTCATGATACAGGTAAATTGTCGACATCAAACGTGGTATATGATAATGAAAGACAGAAGCCATAAGGAAATACCGTAGTTTCTGGTTTACGAGCAAAGTGCCGATAGTCGTTCTAGATACCTTCCTTGTACTCAACGTATTTGGCTTCATGGTCGCCCGGAAATATGTCCAACACCGGTGCATCAAGAAGCCGTTTAGGAGATGTGACGGACAGTTTTCCCCCTGAATACGCAATGGCCAAGACGACGTCAGCAGTAATATAGCCGGCTTGTTGGTCAGGAACCCACGCTGTCCAGCAATGGCGTTACAATCGAGGAAGCAGTAGGGTTGACATGGACGCTCTCTGGATTCACCTCCACAGCGAATATCAGGCAAAGACAAGCCAGCCCGCTGTGCAGATCAACGACGCCTTCGGAACAAGCTGGCAAGTCTTGAAGTAAGAGTGCTCCTCTAGCATGTTACCAATTGCTTCTCCCCTTCTTCTTAAGGCTTGACATTGTGGTGCAAATTGACTGTAGCCGAGCCTCAGCCTCCGCCCAGGCTAAGACATTACTTCGCCAGACCACTCATGACTACAGAACCTATTCTATCTCCGTCCAGAGGACACGTCCCTTGTTCTTAAGCAACACCGCACACTCCGCGCTAGCTTTTGCGTATGAGCGCTCGATTTTCGGAGTGAGCCTCCGCTTGCTCGGGGAGTATAGTCGCATGGTCAAAACTTCCACTTCGTTGGAGACGCTTCAAGCTCGAATGGGCCTGAAACTTACAGAACGGACTTCCCCTCTAGCAAACGGCAGGTCGAATCCCCGTTTGAGTATGCAACCTGAAACCTCCCCAGTTTCCTGATCTGCCTATCTCTTCATCCCCATCATCTCATTATTCGTCCTTCACACGAAACCCCATACACCTTTGCAAAGACTGCCTGTAAGATAAGTCACTATGTTCACTGTCCATTAACAAGCCCTCACTAGCATATCGTCAAGCTCAGGGTCCCTTATCTTCCATCCCTTACTGAGTCGCAATTCTCTGACAAAAGCAGGTAGTCAATTTTGACTCGTCACCGTATCGCGCACGTAGAACTTTCAATTCCTCGCCGCCTCCGGATGAATGAGTGCGCCGATAGTCGCGTCAGTGAAGGTGGTCAGAGTAGATACGCTGATCGTCACATCGCCGCCATCATACACACCCTTGGATCCGTCTCGTGTACCTCTCCTGTTCATTGATTGTCAAACCTGGATTCTGCGAGCCTTCGAATGGAGAACCTGGACTCTGTATCGGTCTCCCAATCAGATGACAGGGGTTCAAATTGTGGGTCACCAGAAGTGCTTTCGCTTATGTCGTGACTGTAGAAGCTTTAATCAGCCGCGTCTTGAATTTGTACGTCTAGCCCTGAACAAGGCTCCTAGAATTCCTTCGCCGTGCGTCAGACCATGGAATTACCTAGTGCTTGCGACTAGGTACTTGCCATCTGAATCCGGACGCAATAGCATTGGCATGGGGCATCCGAGAAGCGCGCTCACGACATCACCGACGCGAGTGCTACAAAGCACGGGACTAACGCATCCCTCTCTTGTTGTGGCGAAGATTCTATCACGTCTTTAGCGTGACGTTGGCAAGACCAAAACATTCGCTGTACTTATGTTGACGCCCGTGGGCTGCGACTGCGAATAGGCCTCAAATGCGGAGCGAAGATCGTTCAGCGTAGCGTGCACCCAGTGAGTGGTATGCTCCTCGACTTATTGAACCTTTCAACCGGATGCGTCAAGCTCACGGTTTCCGTGTCTTATTCTCCCAGAGATACCATTTTCCACAATTTCCCATACTGTCTAACAGTCGATCACGTCTATTGCAATCCTTTCGGCGATAGTCGAGCGGTTGCCTTGGCTTGCATGGAGGGACGTAGCTGCGTATTGTCAAGGGAAATGTGAAGTGATGAATCTTCAACGCTAGGCTGAAGGGTCAAGAGGCGAGTTTCGCCAGTCAGAGCAGGATACATGCAAGTGTGCATAGCGTGAGCCTGGTCAAGCGAAAGGAGCTCTGTTGTGTCCTTTGTCTCGTGGAATGTTCAGATATCAGTGTGGTGTAGTCAAAAAAGAAGATTGCGCGTCTGAAATTATTTCGCGTAGTATACATATTGACACCTCAGCTTTGTGCGTGACTGCTAGCCTGCTTGCGGGGTGAGGTGAGGTTATCCCCACCTCGTGGGAAGAATTTGCCATGCTGAGCAGACGACCGGTGTATCGCAGTGATCGATGTCAAATCGTCGACGGGGAACGCTAAGCGTCTGGCACAAAAGTAGAATAACTATAGGTATTCAAACTTTGGATGTTGAGCGTCGACCCCGGATTCGGCTAGCTTAGCGCAGAACCGGTGACCTGATGACGCGCATCGCAGGGGCCGCGAGACGCACCTTCCCTGCCCCAGCCTCATCGCGATAACCGCTCTCAACACCGCCATCGCCATCGCCACGCTCCCCAAACCCATACACCTCGCGCATTCACGACTCGAAAGCGCGCATTAAACGAGACGATCACGATGCAGCTCACAACTCTCCTGCTGGCCGGCCTCAGCGCCGCCAGCGTCTCGGCGGCGCCCTCGATAGGCTCTTCGTGGGTCCCCAACCAGGTTACTATACAGGAAGAGTTCAAGGTGCCTGGCGATAACCCGCTGTACTTCTGCGCCGACCCGGCGGACTACATTCTGCAGATCGACAAGGTCGATTTGGACCCCAACCCACCCAAGCCGTGCGTCTGCCTAAACCCCTCGAGAGTTGAATTTCGGAGACTGAGTACGGATTGTTTACTGACCACGAATAGTGGCGAGAAGCTCTCCATCAAGGCCAGCGGCGACTTCAAGGAGCAGGTCGGCGAGGGCAGCAAGATGCATCTGCAAGTCAAGTACGGGCTGATCACCCTGATCAACCAGGAGCGCGATGCGTGCGATACGATCGAGCAGGCGGACCTTAAGTGCCCGCTGAAGAAGGGCGAGCTAAGCCTGACCAAGGACGTTGACCTGCCTAGGGAGATTCCCCCGGTACGTACAGCCCATGCGATGACGCAGAATGGTTGTGAAGGCGATGCTGACAGGTGACAGGGTACATACACCGTCCTGGCCGATGTTTACACCGAGGAAGGCGACAAGATCACTTGCCTGACTGCCAAGATTGCGTTCCACCGGTAATTGCTTAGCACAACAGCTCGCCTCTCTCCTAAGGCCTCGTCCAGCACTACCGATAACAGCAATGAAAACAACAGCAATCCACCTGAAAAGACAGACGGCTCTAGAGTGCCCAGTTTTGGCAATGTAAAAGCTGGCAAGTGCAAGTTTGAAATGTCTGGACCGGCGGCTGTGCTGGTGCAGCAGAGGATGGCTGGTTGGCTGCGGCGCAATGAGTTGTAGTTGAATGAGTAGTACCATGTGATGGTTGACGTTCCTGGATCTGTTTATGACGGCCATGGCATAATGTATATACGACGATGCAATGCATATTTTACTTCTCATGCTCTGGGTCACTCTCAATAATTGTTTCACGCCTCCACAAGTTCTGTCGACTCCAAGTCATGAACCACCACTTGAGTCATGCAAGCTGTGATCGGTGCTTTATGTGGATATCATTCGCTCCAGATCATGTGTACACTACCATTCACCCCCCTCGACTTCGAATGCATGCCCAACCGTCTACTCTCCGAATAACCTCCTCACGCGCTTCAGCACGCTGTCCTTCTCAGGATCGTACGGATGGTCTTTGGACGGGATCTCGAGCAGCGAGGGGAAGGCAGCGGTGTAGTTTTCGACGCGGTGTCTTATCTTCTCTGCGATCTGGATAATGTATTAGGGCATGGTCTCGTACATGTATTCCGCTTTGTGGGCCGTTCGAGACGATCTCGACATGGTGATCAAGGGTATGTAGACGACGTACGTGCTGGTTGATCAACAGAATGGCTATGTCCTTGCGCTCGGTGGTGAAGCGGTCGAAGGCTGCCTCGATGGCACTGTTTTCCGTCTTGGCGTCAACGACGAGGAAATTCTTCTGCGCGTCTGGGGGCTGCGTGACGTGCTGCATGCTGTCAGTAATTTGTGCTCTTATTCTTCCACACTCTTGCTGTCTCTGTGGGACTCACGCCGACGCCCGCGAGCAGCATGCCAGTTACTGTGTCCTGTCACAGGTTAGCCTCGAAGGTGTTGATTGTATAGTATGGTTATGAGTACCTCATCACCAATGACGGCGAGAAACTGCCGGTCTTTGTACGCAGAGGCCGGGGCTGCCATGATTGTAGTCTGAACAGCTGCACTGAGGCTGCGACGTTGATGTTGCGGGCAATGACGACGGAGCTCAGTTCAGCTTGGGCCGCACGGTGACATCAGCGCACGTTTTGTCTCGCAGCAACAAACAACTGCGCTCTTTCTTTCTTCTTTAACGGCAACGTCGCAAGATGGACGGCTACTCTTGAACTACCGAAACTTCTCTCACCGCATACACGATTACTACGAATACTTGACCGCCGCCAAAATGCCTCGACTCGTGCGGAAGGCGCCGATGAGCGAGCGCATCAAGACGTACCTCGACCCCTCGGACTGGGCGCTGTGGATCTCGGAAGAGCTGAGCAGCAGTGACTGGGAGGACTTTGCAGCTTCATATGCGCTGTCCATCAGTTTTTGCGCAAACATAGTCTTCATCGTCGCCCAGGCGAATACAGGCGCATCCAACAGCTTCGACAACGACGGCGTCTTCAGAGAAGCTTCAGGCCCTGGATGGCTCAGCTGGCTCGCGAACCTGTTAGTGGTATTTCTTTCTACTGCGAGCTTTGCAAATGCGTGGCTGGTGTACAGCAAGAAGAGGTACTACAGGTTGTTCGAGCAGCCCATCGAGACGACGCCTACCACACCGAGTGCGAAGCGCGTGAGGGTTGACTCGTCGCCAGCTGGAGCTTCGCCCTTTAGTTACATTCGAAATGTTGCCCAGCGCAATTCAGCGGCTGCACGGGCTCACCCAGATGCGACACGAGATGTGTGGGAGGTTGCCGTCTGGGACCCTAATCCGCTGTGTCTCGAGCTGTTCTGCCTCTTCAGCCCGCTCCACGTTGCACTCTACTACCTCAACTTGCCGGTTGCACCGCTTGATCCGCGTCCCAGTGTCCGTGTCGTGGCGACAGTCTTCATCGGCCTGGTCCTGTCACTCCAGCTGTGGATGCTAAGGTCTTCGTTCACCCAGCAGATCAAGGACAACAACATCATCAGCCGCCAAGTATTGCACGAGTATGACAGCAAGTACGTGCATCCGTCTATGCAGAGGCAGTCGCGCGATGTTGCTATCCAGACTATCTCGAAGAAGCGCAACAGGGACTCCAGCGTCGGCGTCAAGGGCAGTCCGCACGACCTGGCCAGCGAGGTTCTCACGTACACACCACGCACCATCATCAACAAGAAGGTCTTCAACACCACGCCAAATCGAAACTACCGCAGCCATTACGATCCAGACAACCTCTCACTAGGTCGAACACCTACCCGCAGCGCCACGCGCCCAGCGTTTACATCTGCGCACTCTTCCTACACTTCGACCGCCTCGGACGCCCGCGACGATGATGCAGAGCTCTCGTCACCCATCCGGCCCTCGCAGACACCAAACCCATTCCGCCGCGCACCGTCCATCACACGCACAAGCGGCGACGGCGGCAGTCTGGGTGTGTTCACGCACGCCAATTCGCCCCTCCGCAAGTCCTCAGGTGCAAATTACCTCCGCGATACCGGCGAGAACAGCAGACCTCGCGAGCAGCCGAAGCTCAGCCTCAGTGACAGGTTCGGCGTTTCGAGCAGGAGCTCTACACCTAGATTGGAGAAGAGCAGCAACCCTACGGGTGTTACTAGGGGAAGTGGATTGGGTGCAAGTGGCACGAATTCAGGTAGCCAGACACCGAGTCGCAGGGAGGGGAGTCCGTTGAAGAGGGTGAGCAGGCCAAATGGAGAGGCGAAGGGGAGTGGGTATGGGGGGCTGGGTGTCGGGAGGAGAGAGAGCGGGAGATTCTAGGCAATGACCAGGGAGCTGATGTACAATATTGTGGTGAGAGTGAGCGTTTGATAAGAACGAATAGCGATCAGCCCAGCACCGGATATACCCAGCATAGCTGCAGCAGAATAAAGCACAGCAATTCAGCAGCGGGGGCACCTCGCAATCCCGTGAATTACAAATGGAGGATGTCAGCGGTGGTGGTCACATCGTGCCTGCCTTGACAACCTCGACGGGAAGAACGCCCTGATACCCTAATATTTACCGCCTCGCCCAACCTCACCCTTTTCTCTGAATATAACGACCGATGCCAATCCGCCCAAACTAACCTGTGCCAGATCTCTGATAAACGAGTCCCTGCCGCTCTGCGACTTCTTTGCTGCGGCTGTCGTCTATTGTCAACGAACTCATCGAGACTGCCGTCGGCACCATTCTACTTCCTTCACATGTTCCTCAACAGAGGCAAGCAGATCTTGTATGTGTATGAGCCCGAATCACTGCAACTGCGAATGCTTTCCTTCGATGTGAGAATTTGTAGACTTGGATTGCAAGGCTGTGCTGTGTCATCGCCAAGAAGTCAGCCTGCTGGCGCTGTACCTAAGCCACTCGGCCCTGTACAGGCGGCAACGAACACACACCCAGAAGCGAACGTCATCTCTGATCAACAGCGCATCTCCAGGCCTGCTTCAGACACATTGTCGATATCACAGTTCCGGAGTGCATATCCTTCAACACTAGCATTATTCGAAAACCATCTCACGTGTGAGTGGTTTGTATAGACGCCATGGCATCAGCCTCGCGGCCTGTCCATCGAAGCCATCGGATCGCGGACCGTAGGAGCCAGCTTTATCCAGGCAATAACCTACATCGAATCTCATCGAGATCAATTGTCCCTTGTTCTCTTCCGGCGACAGACTCTCCCGACCACAGCATAACGCAGGAGACCATTCCTCCTACGACTGGACCTAAAAAAACAAGGCTCCACGAGACACACCAGAGGTGCTCTATCCAAGCCGACTACCAGAAGACAGCATTTGACTGCTCACTGTCTTGCCATCAGACGAGTTCCAAAGTCCTAGCAAGACTGAACTCCACCAGCACCATGCTTCCGAAGCACCCAGATACGAAGGTCTCTCTTACACGTGGGGTGACCCGCGGGAACATCTCCTGATCAGGTGCAAAAACCAGAAAGTCAGAATTACGAGAACCTCCGAGATACCCTGCGACGCGTTCGCGATTCGACCAAGGCGAAGATCATCTGGGCTGATGCTCTTTGTCTCAACTAGGACGATGTTGAGGAGAAGAATGTACACATCCCATTGATGGGCCAAGTCTTCTCTAAAGCCACCAATGTTGCCATATTTCTGGGCGAAGCAAGCTTCGAAGAGGCCAATGCGACTCAGGCTGCTTTGACATCCATCATCGCCTTCGTAGAACCGGACTTTAGCGCAACCTTGGACTTGAGCTTTTCGGAACGTATCGCTCGGAAGATGTCTAGCCTGGCAAAGTACGATACATCCTGAAGCGTAATTGAGAAATTCTTCAGCTCGGCATGGTTCAGTCGCGTTTGGTGCTTGCAGGAGATAGTGTTGACCCGAAACTCAGGGTCCAACTCTTATATGATTTACGGTCATCAGAGGGTGTTTTATCGGGATGTCGAGTACGTTGTGACGTGCTTGATTTTGATCATTTCAGTATGTTGTTTATTCAAATCCGACCTCGCTAAAAACCGGTCCTGGACCTGCTCATGGCGACTGAACACAGACGGGATCTCGATACTTAAAGTCTTGTACTTTACCGGGGTACTTCAGGCTACTGATCCACGCGACAAAGTATATGGTCTTCTTGGTATAATGCAACGAGAATGCGGTCGAAACATCAATCCAATAAGGGTAAATTACGCGAAGTCGATCGCGGAGGTGTACACAGATGCAGCTGTCGGGATTATGCGTGGGTGCAATAACCTGGAACTGCTGGAGCATGTCGAACGATTGCAGGGGCATGTATTTGATTGCTTAATGCTATCCTAGGTGCTGAGATGGGATACCGAACGCAATTCTCGTCTGTTCAGTCAGAAGCAAGTAGGGAGTTTTCTGGCCAGCTCGAGCAAAGGCTTTGATGGCCACGAAAGATCCTTCACTGTGGATGAAAACCTTGGAATACTCCAGGTATCTGGCTTAAAATATGCGACCGTTACTTGGGCATCGGCCTCCCTATTACCTCAAGGGTGTTATCGTGAGGTAAACTCGAGATATTCGAATTTCAGGACTGCGATCCTAACCCGGTGGAGCGAGGTCCAGTCTCTTCACTCGAATTTGGTGCAACGACATGACCATTTACTTTTGATGGCTCAAACGCTTATCTCAGGCAACACAAGCGTGGCCGACACCGCTGTCACCGCAAGCGGACAGTAGAAGCGACAATTCTTCGCAAGCTTCTTCAATCTCTTCCACAATATCGTCGAACCGATGACACAACACGGCGCCGAGCTATTGGAGACAAATGGAAACGATCTCGATGCAGGCAATGCTTGTGATGGAGATTGGCGACGATATGCTCAACTTGTTGACACGATTTACCGTTGGCGCAAACTCTTTCGGACCCAACGCGGGACTTATGGTATCGGTCCCGAATGTATGCTAGAGGGGGATGTGATAGCGGCCCTTTTCAAAGGTACCACCCCGTGTGCTCTTCGTTCAACAGAAGGAGGGTTCCTCTGTCTCGGTCCAGTCTACATCCATGCGTTGGTGGACGGGACATACTTCGAGAACCTACGGGCCGAAGAAAGAGATGAGCAAGAATTCATTCTGATCTGAAGGGCTGGCTCACGTTATGTGAGCTGTAATCCAGCTCTGCGAAACAGCTACTTACTGTCCAAGACATGCGATCTCACCACCCTCTCTTGGCAGAATCTTGGAGCGAACAGATCTTCATCGCTCATCGATATCGACGCTGTGAGACCACGCACCGCATACACACTGCTTCTTTTCTGTCGCAGCAGATATCATGCCTATTTACCAGAAAATTCAGGGGTGCAAATGTATGTACATTTTGCCTCTATTTTGGCTGCAACATTTTCAAACCTGTTACCCAGTGGCAGCCCTTCATCTCAACGAAGGTTCGCCGGAAGATCGCCGTTATCGTTTCCCTCGGCTAGGTCTCACAACTTTAGTCTTGCCAACCTGCCAGAACGTCGTTGCGGAGTGCAAGATATTTGTTGATGTTCTTCGACCGTTAATCTAGAAGAAGGGATCGTCATTGACCGCCTTGTACTCACGGGTACCAGTTGCTCACCTCGCCTAGCCGAAGCAATAGTGCCACGGCGCGGCCTACTGACAGATGTCGAGCGATTTTATGCAACCGCCGAGGTTTCAATTCAGCAAGGTTTCGGTCACGCCTTGGGTAAGTCGTAGAAGGACAGCGAATGTTTCGCATCAGTGGGTAGACTACGATGATGAGCGTGAGCGTAAGGACACAGACCAAGCATGCTATGATTGCATGTCGTGATGGGAGTGACGATAGAAAGATGGTACTATTGATTGTACCCCACTACCACTCATGTGCTGACTTTATTATCTTTGTGCCACTTAGTAAACCCTCATGCCCTTCGGTAGAACTCGACCTTGACTGGTCCTGAAGTTTCAAGCAGCGTGGCGAGCTTGGGTGTGCAGTTATTTTCTTCAACCTTGAAGGTGTGCATCTGCAGGAGCGTGATGAGATATGTCTTGACCGCCAGCAAAGCGAACTTATACCCAACCTTTGACAGTCAGTATAACTCAAATGAATCACGAACTTTACTTACACAATCACGAGTACCCGACCCAAAAGCCATAAAAGGCTTGCTCTTATCGATTCCGCCAAGGAAGCGATCCGGATCAAACTCCCCTGCCGTAGCTCCCCAGTACTTCGGCGAAGTGTGCATGTGGAGATAAGAGAGATAAATTAGCATTCCTGGTTTCAGTATGACAGGTTTCTTTGCTGTCACAAGTCTGGTCTCGCGTTCGATAACACGTAGTGTCGCCGGCACGCTTGGGTACAGGCGATTAATCTCCATGATTATTGCGTCAAGATAGGGCATCTTGTTAGTCACTGTTGTGAAGTCCAGCTCGTCGATGGATGCGATCTCCGCTAGGAGCTTTGTAAGTACATCTGGACGTTTTTGGAGCTCGATCAACGTCCATGTGATGTTCGATCCAATGCTGTGATGGCCGCCTGGTGCTTATTAGCAAGGAACTTTGGAAGCAGCTGTATCGCTTACCGAAGATGTTAAGTCTGGCAAATTGCGTTGCGAACCTCGTCAAGGGGCCAGTCCGCTTTCCACCATCAGCCACTGAGAGGCTGCGTATAGTCTTCATAGGCGATTCGGGATTGTTGCGTTCGTAATCCTCGAGGTGTTGTACATTCTTCTCATAAAGATGTTCAATCTCGGCCCGTACCCTTGCTTCAGATGGTGTGGGCTTGCCAGGCTCGACGAGCCCCAAGGTCAACATGAAGGAGTAGAGAGCGGAAGGCCAAGGACTGCCAGCCCGTCTTAGGATCTCATCGGCCACCTTCATCACTCGGCCATCGGTGAGAGCGTCTGACCTGCCATAGAGTGTGTCGCCCCACAGCGTCGCGGCGAAGTTGTCTGCTGCATGTCTGATATCGGGAATCTCAGCTGTGTCAGCATCTCTAGTAAGAGACTCGACGTGCTTGGTCGCCACCCTTACAACATCATCAAACTTGCCAATATTCGACATTGGATTGTTGAACTCTTTGATGAAGACGCCGCGCTGGCGCATGGCTTCGTGACCGACGTCATCGAAAAGGTTGTTGTCAAGCAGTCGAATGAGAGTCCAGAAAGGTGACCAGCTGAACACCCGGGGATCGCCGAGTCTATGACAAGTCAGCCAGGCCCACAATTAAGCTTCAATGTAATGCTACCCACCTCGAAGCAATCTTATCAGTGAAGGCCAGAACCTCCTTGGCCATAGCAGGATCGTGGACGGACACCAAGGTCTTGTTGCCGACCTGGGCATAAGCGATACCTTCGTCACCGAGAGTGGTCAGTGCTTCCAGCATCAGAGCCATACCATCTCTGAAGTAGATGGGTATGGTACCAAGTATGGGGTATCCTTTCAGCTTTGGAACACCAGGAAGCACACCTGCTGACGCTGTAGATGTCAAGGTGAGAAGACCTAGGCACATCAGGATGCCAAAGACTGTTGTCACGGTCACCGATGGTACCATGTCACTAATGTGCTCGTGAAGAAGTTTTCTGATCATTTTGCAAAATATCTCGCAGTTCGTGGGGTGTGAAAAAGACGAGACCCAAGCGGGATGCATTTTATAAAGTGATAAATCCACTGACCTTTATACGCACCTGGAGGGTGTCGAGCATTTGATGCGAGTACTGCGCCGCGGATATGCAGAGGCTCGACCGTTTTGGCAGGCTCCGTTTTATTCCAAAGTTGGGCCCGCACCTTCGAGTTGACGTGCAGGGAGGCTCTGCATGTCCAACGTTTGTCAGCGCGAGTGAACGACCGATCAAGCAACATCATTTGTCACAGTCGTTTTCACATGCCAGGATACTTCAAACAGGCAGCCAATGCATGTATATACAGACAGTTTGAATCCAGTAAGACGCATGCAGTCTGTAGTCGACCGCTTTCCTGCTGCATGCCGGCTTGTTGGCCTGCGTATTCGGGACGTATGAGATATCGGCAAGCAGTCTCGGGCGGTAACAGTTGAACCGTAAACTGTAAATTTAGCCTTATCTTCATCCTCTCAAGGACAAGTGTAAATGCAAGGTAGAGAGAATCCACCAATCACAGCCGGACACTGCTGCAAGAATTGGTGATTGGTGGTGTGATGGGGTGCGAATTAGCGAACAATGCTCAACCAAAAGACTTGCCCAGGATCCTACATCAAACGTGTCGAAGAGTCTTGGATCCGAACTTCCTTCTGTGATTTCGTACACATTCTTGCACTCCTGAAGGCCGACAAGGGGGTGAGCCGCAGCTGGTGGCAAGGTGCAGTACATCGGGCACGAGCCTAGAATAAAGCGCGCGACGAAATAGAAATTGTTCACTTCGCAAAGAGTGCAGTATGGCCTTGCGGGCGATTGTACTACATCGTATGTGTGCTTCTTCCATCAGCAAATCTCGCTATCAGTCTTCAACGTTCAGTTCTCCAGCACGAGGCGGTCTCGCGTCGCACTGGCCATCTTCAATTGTGGTCTATCGTCTTGCGCTGTCTGAGCGACGAGTCAAGTCGGAGTAACTTAGGTGAGTTGCTGTAATAATGTTCGTAGGACGACGGACGCGCGACGGAAGGCACCGGGAAGACCACTAGCTCGGCGCTAGCCCAAAGCTTAAGCCACCGTTCTCCATCACTGTTCACTCTTGCCACCATCGTGAGCGCATACATCCTCGATACCGAGTCCATCCAGCTATCGTGAATCGTTTAATCGTCGATGCACTATTCTCTATTGACTCGAAACAGACATCAATGTGGTCGTTCAGCACTTCCGCTCCTCAAGAGGGCTCCCAGAAGAAGCTTCTTCGTCCCTTCTCTGCGTCGAAGCTGCTGAGGAGCGACATGGATCGTACCCTTTACAGCGCAATGTCGACATCAAGGGATTCAGTGCCGGGCATGTAGATGGAGGACGGGTAAATTCATGGAAGGCATGCAACCCTGCAAGTCAACGAAGCGTGGTGAACTGGCCGATGTCTGCGGAGGCATGCCTTGCCAAACAACGTCACAATTACCACAACGGAAACTGCGGATTCCACGCCTTCCGTGGAATTCTTCTTCACGCTGGCAGCGATTCAGACTTGGCCAGTCCTCAAGTATTCGCCTCTAACATGTGTATCTTTGACCGTGGCATTCGTTTCACAATACGCGTATTCGTATCGACCGGTGACACGCATATTTTTTTCCCATTGTGATTGTCAACACTACTTGTGCGAGACAAGATTTAAAGTGTTCTCGATTGAACAGCTGCGGCGAGTTGCCTACGGAGGTTGACGTATACCCCAGGCTCACGAGCAAAGAATCTCGCTATAGTCGCCAGCAATGTAGTTGTTATCTGTCGCGGCAGACGTAGCAGCTGTGTGTATCGATGGAAAACTGCGCTGAGTTGCTTGCTAGCTAGGAGGCGACCATGTATACATGCCCTGAGACGTGCTAGTCCAAGGTAGTCAACAGAGGTGACGATCAAGGCCTATAGGACCGACTTGCACCGCAACATTAATGGTCAGGTTGTATGTAGCCTCAGCATTGAAGTAGTAGGTTTCCAAAGTGCGCGCCAGTCGCCGCTGTTGCCGATGTGTCAACAGGCATGCGACTCCGAGTGAGACAGATAAAGGCTACGGGCGAAGCTGATGTGTGCTGAGGTCATGCATTCGTCTGAGACGCATTTCAGAATTGCAACGAAAAGCGGGCACATTGCCGGGAGAGTTGTAGATTTTGACCCTGGATTCGAGAATGGACGCGAAAGGAAAGAGACGGCCGGAGGTGGTGTCCGTGACAGACACGATAATTAGAGCTGCTCTTATCGTAGCCCCACTTCCTGCACTTGCAGAGTGACTCAACAACCTACCATACGCCGGCTATGAAGATGCCGTCCTCACCGCGACAACAACTTATTTATCCTCCAAAATCGATACTATGGCAATACTTGACGTTGTGCTTGATGTCTTCCATCAGCAGCCGTTGATATCTACCGCCGCATCCGTCACTCTGCTGGTCCTGGCTCGCACAATTTACCGCATCTACTTTCATCCATTGTCCCATATCCCAGGGCCCATCTTGTCTAAAAGCACCTCGCTGTGGCTCCACTACCACACGTACATTGGTGACGAGGCCAGTACCATCCACCGGCTCCACGCACAGTATGGACCGTACGTACGCGTGGCGCCCAACGAGGTCGACATTGGCGACGCGGACGCTGTTCAACCAATTTACATTGCAAGAGGTGGTTTCATGAAGGCACCTTGCTATGCCAACTTTGATATTGATGGTCACAAATCGATCTTCTCAACTACCAGCCCAGAGTACAGAGCGCCAAGGGCTAAAGCCGTGGTGCCGATGTTCTCGACGAAGAGCCTAAGGGAGAATCGAGATGCGATTACTAGATGCGTAGATCGTATGGTGAAGAGACTGAGCGAAGAGGCGCACACAAAGAAAGCCGTTAATGTCTTGAATCTGACAAGAGCATTGGCTGTTGACGCTGTGTCGACGCACTTGTTCCAGGAGAATTATGATGGTGTGGGCGAACGAGGACCCACCTTGAGTGTCAGCGCATTTGTCGATGCTTTTGTGGCTGTGGGGCGGTTCTTCTACCTGCCGACAGTAGCTTTCGTTTGGCTCGAGTGGGGCATCAGAAAGTGGATGGCTGACCAAGAAACGAAGGAGAGCATGACGCTGGTCGACAAGTTTGTTGGCAAGCTGGTTTCGGGTACTACAGCCAAGTCGCAAACATACCCTGGTCGATTGATGGCAGCCGGCGTCAGCAATGCGGAGGTGGAGGCGCAGTGCAAAGACCTGTTGTTTGCTGGTACAGATTCGACAGGCATGAACCTTGCGACTATTATCAGAGAACTTGCGATGCATCCACAAAAGTACGAGGAGTTGAAGCAAGAGGTAGGGAATAACACTGCACTTGGAGCCCAGGCCGAGGATGTGCAAGCTCTACCTTACTTGACCGCAGTTGTCAAGGAAGCTCTGCGACTGAGTATGGCGAATCCTACTCGCTTGCCGCACATTGTGCCCGCCGGTGGTTGGATGTTCAAGGGTACCACCTTCTTTCCGGCAAGCTCGATAGTCGGGTGTTCAGCTTATGAGCTCCACTTCAATGCAAGCGTATTTCCAGAGCCTCACGAATTCCGACCAGAACGGTGGCTGAGTGCGACAGACGAGATGTCGAAGTACTGGTTCGCGTTTGGTGCGGGAAGCCGAGCATGCATAGCGCGCAACCTAGCGACTCTAGAGCTGCACCTTGCCACAGAACGTTTAGCAAGCAGCAAGGTGCTCGATGGTGCACGAGCAACGAAAGAAGGAGATGTCGAGATCTACGAGTGGTTCAACTGCAAAGTTAAGGGTGAAAAGATCGATATTGAGTGGCTATAAATTCATGGCCGGTCGGCTTTTGTCATTCAGCGGTGCGACTTCCCCAATACATCCATTACGTCATGTCGAATGCAGAAATCTGTTGTTCCTAGTTTGCCAGTTTATTTCTGTATATTCCACTTCTTTCCCATTTCCCTCTGGTCTTACCGTTGCGTTTACAAGGCGCTTTCACCACGAGTCGGCCCTGGATCTGGCCACTATAGCGCAGCATTCGCAAAACGTGTGGGCAGATCATACCGAATTACCTACTTTTGACGTTCTTAAATGGATACCAGTCTCTCAACCTTTCCCTACGTTTCCTGGAGAAATCCGTAACTTGTTCTATCCGTAACGTTATCTGTTGCGTCAAACGTAGCCGCTGTATATCGATGGAAAATTGCGCTGAGTTGCTTGCTAGCTAGGAGGCGACCATATATACATGCCCTGAGACGTGCTTGTCCAAGGTAGTCAACAGAGGTGACGATCGAGGCCTGTCGGACCGACTTGCACCGCAACAGTATCTCATCGCTGGCCTGGACCTTGACGAACCGCCGTACCTCTCTTGTGGTAGATGACAAATTGAAAGCATTTTTCTTTGGCCCCAAAGAGAGAGAAATCTTATCAATACCTTATTATTGACCTCTGATCTGAGTGTGTTGACAATGTGTACTGTTCCGGCCAAAGGCTCATTATCTGACTGAGCATTGATACCTTTTGCGAGGTTACATGGCCAAGTAGGCGGAGCTCGGTCGTTGCACAGGCTAGGTAGTAGCTGAGCTTAGGAAGACTATTTTTGTTGCGGTGCAAGTCGGTCCGATAGGCCTCGATCGTCACCTCTGCTGATTACCTTGGACTAGCACGTCTCAGGGCATGTATATATGGTCGCCTCCTAGCTAGCAAGCAACTCAGCGCAATTTTCCACCGATATACAGCGGCTACGTTTGCCGCAACAATTTTAGCTACAAAACGCTTCTCGCATCTCAAGACTAAGATCCTCTTAAACACATTACTCTACTCAACAAAATACATCTCAAAGTCCTATAGAGCCATAAAACCTCTGTCCTAACTCAAATAATCCTTATTGGTTACCAATCTGGTACAGAAAATAGGATCCATTGTCGCAGCCAAAAAGGAGGTAAAAGGTACATACATTAGTACCCCAAAAGTAGGCCTGCTAAGTAGGCCTATTCTGCCCGCGATAGGGTCTAATCCTCAGCTCGCATTTCCTCGAGACTGCTAGGTCGAGGAGCGAATCGTAATGAGGACCTTCGAGGTATCCTTCGAGGACATGGAACAAATTGATGGTAGTGGAAAGAAGAGCAAGGCGTAGGCCTATGTATCAGGTAGCATTGCGATGCAGTTGACGAAGTTTTCAGGGTTGAGGAACCGCGAAAGACGGGACGGTATGGCGTTTCGCTCGCCCATCGATGTACAAACGATCGAAACCGGCCGTACGATAGCGGATCTATAATGACGGCATACTTTGTACTATCAGATGGTGCGTCTAAATGTGATCTACGTTGCCGTGGAATTTAGCTTACACAACAGCTTGTCGTCGATGGCGCGTAAGGTATGACTGTTACTCGTTGCTCCTTAGCCATTTGTGTACTTGCTTCCAAATGCTCTCGCTGTTATCCTCGCGTGATAGCTAGCTTGAGCCGTGACCATAAGAGTAGGTAGAGGGGCCAGGTTGGGAAGCTCCCGTGGGGCCAGGTCGGTCGCTTGCAAGATGCAGGGTACCGTTGCGTTGTTTGTTTGTCGATCGGGTGGCGCGTCTGTCTCTTCACGAGGTCGGTGTGCAGGTCTTTTAC